GTAGATTTTGATTTTTTTTTTTTTTTTTTTTTTGTGTTTTGTTTTTAAGTCTACGTTGAAAATTGGAATAATTAAGAATAATTGTTTTATTTGTAATTCAGAAAATTCCAATTTGTAAAATTCGAAATGGAAAGTGGTAGATAATTAGATTCGTTAGAAGAATGAAAAAGAAATCATTAGATAAGTGTGATGTGAACGTGATTAGCAGCTCACTAGCTATCATTATTTTCTTCTTTAAAATAATGAGCAGTGTGATGTGAACGTGATTAGCAGCTCAGTAACTGTTGTTATGTTCGCAATTACGAACTATAAATACTTGATAGAGGGAAAGCATCTTCATACAAAAAACATTATTATGATATTTTCGACCATAGATAAATACAAGGTTACATGAGATAGTATTGGAGTGTTAACCTTTTTCCTAAATAAAATGGAAATCTAATGCAATGGAAGTAACGTTGGATCGGTGACTCGGTGTAAACCGTGTAATGTGGCATTGTAGTATGGGTTTAAGCGTTCTTTAGTCCTGCAACTCACTTGTAGACATGCACGATGTCTTCTTCATAGTTCATATGGACCGACCATAATCTAATTTTACATATTCAATAATTTTATACCAAAAAATTTCGGACTAATTAACCTATACATTAAAATGAGATTCTGTGGTATCTAAGAAAACTAATGAATTTTTTACATGATTTAAAGTTGCTAAATAATATAATTAGGGGGAAGGGGTGGAGGTGTATTCGATTCAAAATTTTAGGTGATTTGTATCAAAATGACAATCTACTGTTATTTAAAAATCAATTTCAAAAATTCATCTAAAATTTGATGTTATTAAACTTGACATTTCATAAAGTACTCTAAAATATATTATTATTGAAAATATTTGAAGTTATGGAGTTTTAAAGTGATTTTAGAGTGTTTTAGTAAAGGTTTGTAGTTCAAAAATTCAGATCCTAGGATTTTAGGTGATATTTTAGAGTAGTTTAACAAAAATTACTTTAGACTCTGCAATTCATTGGATCTTAAATCTCATTAAAAAATCAAATCATCTCAAATTTAATTGAAAATTAAATACACCAAACAAAAAGAAAATTTAGAACAAGTTCACAAAGAAAATTCAAAATCTGACAAGGAGAGAAATAACATTTAGGATCCGGTTTAATGTAATTGGGGATCATGATCTGAATAAAACAGAAGCGTCATCTCTAATATAGCGATAGCTCAAATCATTTAAGAGGCTATTAATTGGGCGTCACTATTCCCCTTAATAAGTACATATGATTCAAATTTTGAGCTGGAGTTGATCACATGCCTTGTGTTGAAGATGAAACTTCTAATTTGCATTCTTACATTGGTGGATCTTGTGACTTGCTATGTAAGGCTGAAAAACTAGATGTTTAAAAGAAGATGGTCTAAAAGTAAACAATTTTATATGAATTGCAATGAGGTACAGAAACTAGATGACTAAAAGTAAATAATCTTGTGACTTGCTATGTAAAGAATTTTATATGATCTGCGATGAGGTATAAAAAATAGATGGTCTACAAGTAAACAATTTTATATAAATTGCAATGAGGTATACTCTGATTTGATTATTTATGCATGTGCTTTGTATTGTCATGTGTCATGATATTTCATCTGAATTTAGAGTACAAAAATTTGGGTCTGAAATCTGAATACTCAATGCTATAAAATCTATCTCTGGTTTAAAAAAAAAGTTACTTCTAGGAAATGATCTTGCAAATTCATTATTTTGAATGATATAAATAATCGTAAGATTGATATATATATATACATATATATAATAATTTTGAAAATATAGTATTCTATGAGATTAATGGAAGTGAAGTATGTTTTTGAAAATATATATAGAACAATGGATGTATGTAGCCAATTTTGAAGAAGAAAGTAAATAAACTATTTCACAAATTTTGTTTTCCTGTTGCGAATAGTGATTGATGAGCTTCAGCTTGAGTCGGTAGTGTTTCCAAACCATATTTCATAGTTCATAAGGGCCGACCATATTTGATTTACAAATATTTTAAAATGACAAATTAAGCAATCCAAAATATCCTTAAAACGAATTTTTGAGTATTTTGGATTGCTTAAAATTTGTCATTTTGATACAAAGAAGAAACATGAGGAAATACAATTTGTGAATGTGGGACAAAGCTAAGATCATAGGTTGATTCAATTGTGCACAACAAAACTAAGCTATACTTTTGTTGCCATGTTGACAACCAGCCTTGCCCAAATTTGGAACAACGAGTCTTCAGTAAATCCGAGAACGACAAAGTTGCAAAACAATCACAACCATGTGTAGCATAGGCTTTCACAGTAGGGACAAAGCTTGAATAGCTAATGGAGATTTCCAAAGTGGCATTGGTGGGAAAAATATAAATGAACTTGCAATTGAATGTTGCTGTAAAAGCTATGTATGCGATTGTAAGAATCATGACTATCAAAGTTTTTTCATAGATCAAATACAATAAAAAATTGTCCAAATGACAAATTTTCACATAAATTAAAAAGCTTTAGCCTCAAAATGAACTAGATCTTAACTAGGATCCAATGTCAATAAGATTCACGATGTTGATATATATAGTGACTTTATAAAAAAGAAAATTTTGATTTTGAAACAATCTCAAAGAACATAACAGATAATAGAAAATTAGAAATTACTAAAAATAATTCTTTTATTAAACAATATTTTAATAAACAAAAGAAGAAAAATGAACATAAAATAATCGCTTTAATGAAGTAAAACTATTACACATAGTTACATAATTAAGATAACATAAGGTGAGATATTTAAGTAACTAAAAATACAATACTTTATCATTATGAAAATCATATTTTTTGCTTAATATTTTTAATTTAATTTTTTTATTTTTTTTCTAAACTTTAATAAATAAAAAGTTTTGTTTAGAAAATATAATAGATTGTAGGCTTGGTTTGATTACTCAACTACAAACATATCAATACTCTTTCTTCTTTTCTATCTTTTGTTTAAAAATAAAATAATACTTATCTTCTTTTCAATCTTAGTAGATATATAGTTTTCAACCAACACTAATCTAAGCAACTGTGAAAGAACGCTATTAAAATAAGCTATCTACGTGACGGTATTGGCAAGGAACCTTACAAGACTGTTTCCAGTGTAAATTATTTTGGTGGTTCAGTGGAAATTAATTAGCTAGAAATGTAACAAAGAATGTTACTTAACGTGTGCGTGCTTCAGTTGTCCTCACTCTTTAATTAGTTACGTCTTAATGATTTATGTTTAAAATAAATTCACAAAATTGTTAAAATTACAACAAATTTTCACACACAAAAGCTTCCTCAACATGAACTGTCATGATGACCATCATTTTCAAAAACAAGTAGGTACAACTGTTTGTTTTGTAGTTTAGACTAGATTATAACATACAGAAGTGGTAAATTATGGTTCATAGTCTGAACTCTCAATAGTGGTAAATTATGGTTCAAGGTCTGAACTCCCAAGTAGGTACAACAGATGGTTTGTAATTTTGAATATGTTGTAACATGCATGGATATAAAACAAACCGCTTTCCAAAAGTTAAATTATATTTAAAATAAAATTTATTAATATTATATATTTTATTATTTTGACTAATATTTACTATAAATCTGATTTAATTAAGCAAAAATTAAGAAAAATATTTTTTTTTTTAATTTTAAATTATTTTATTTAAAATTCAAATCTTAGAATTTTTTTATCTATTTATTTTGGTTATATATATTAAATCAACTTTTATAAAATTACTCAGAAAATTCATAAAAAAATTTAAAGTTATTAAAATTATAACTAAACAAATTATAAAACTTATCGATATCTAAAAGAAACTAATGATATTACGATTAAAAAATTATTAATTTTTTACAAAGATGTATTTTTTTTGGAAAATATTAGTAAGAAAACAAATTATAATTATAAAAGTAAAATTATAACATTTTAAAATTTATAATGCATGTTTCAATATATTTATTTTAGAGATGATTTGATTTATGAGTTATTACCATATTTTAAGAAGTTTACCAAAAATATAAATCAATATTAAATGCAATGTATCAGTTATTGTCATATTCTATAAGTTTTACAAAAATATATATCAACAATAAATGCAATTATCCATGTCATATTTAACAAAAATCATTTCACCAATCTTATTAGCCATGTCATCAATTTTTTTTTGTAAAATAATATATAAGGGATGAATTTGTTATGGCAATAATTTTTTATCAAAAAAGAAAAGTTACTTTAAAGTAGTTAAATTACGTTAGTATATATTTTTTTTTTTGACCACATTAAATCCCCTATATATTATTTGAGAATCATTTAAAAAGTTATAACCTTAAATTTGTAATAATTAAAAATAACCCCAATCCTATGTGGCATAGCTCTTTGGCTTCTATTTCAAATTCCAAGGATTCTAGAGCATGTGATATAATGTATAGTCTAAAATTTATACTCTCTAGCAATATAATATTTCGTAGGCTATAGTTGGTCGCATATATCAAATTTATTGTTTTGCATACTTTCCTTAAATAAAACCTACGGAATTACCTATTGTGATTAAAATATATATGACAATTAATGATTTTAAACAATAAAGATTTGATAACAATCTATATACTTTTTCTCATTTTGTTTATTTCTTTATTATTAAAATATATTACACAATTACATTAATCATATAATAAAAATCTAGATTTTTTTTTTGTGTATGTTGTATTTCGAATTTTTCAAAATGAGTATAAATTACTAAAACTGTTAAAAGTCTCACATAAAATTTTAGGATCAAGGTTTTAATTTTTTCTACATTAAATATAATGATTATAAGACCATATGAAGAAATAATTTTAATTTATATATACTTCATATCGTTTTAATTAAACTATACATCGTATGAAAATACATACTTATATTTTGATATTTGTTTTGAACATATATTGAAAAGTTAATATTTTAATTTTGAAATATGTCATTAGTTTTTTTAAATGGTTATAAATTATTGAAACTACTAAACATCTCACATTAAAAAAAATCGTTGGCGTAAGGTTTTGTAAATAATCATAAAATCATATGAGTAGAAAGCTCATTTAATAAATATCTATATTAAAAGTTTGCTATATTAATATGTTTATATCATTTATATTTAATTATATATCATATACAATATATAAGATTGTTTATTTTGATTTATTTACCCTAATTGCAAATAAACAAGAGTGATAGTTAAATTTATATGAATACGCCAATTTATTACATAATAGTAACTGATTTCTTTGTTATTTAATATATATATATTTATTATTTTATAATATGCAGAAAAATATAAAATAAATAGAAAATATAAAATATTTATTGTGCATAAAGTGCAGATCTTAACCTAAGTATGTATCTCTTTAATTATTTTAAATCTTAAGTATTTTCTAAATCACAGGTCAAAAAAAACAAACGAAATGAGAATGAACTACAAAACAAATATTTATATCGAGTAATAAAATAAAATAAAAACACAACGAGAGAAAAAAATTGAAGATAAATAGGATTGACACATGAACGTAAACTTCTCATAACCATAATTAGTTTTTAAAATTTTAAATCATGATATAAAACTGAGTTAATGTTTAATTTTTTCATTTTTTAATTTTTAAATCATTATGGTTATGTTAAATCATGACCATAATTAATTTTAAATTGTTTATTTGTATTTGAAAAACTTAAAATATTTGTTTTAAAAAATAATTTAAAGTTTAACTTAATTTTTTATAAAATATTTTTGTTTTAAAAAAAATTGTAAAAAATATAATTTTCTAATATTATTAGACAAATAAATAAATTAGATCAAATTAGTTTTGAAACTTATATATTTTAAATGCAAATATTTTACCAACTGCTTCTTAAGAAAACATTAGAGAACTTGCTAATACTCTACCAATCAAGTCCAGTGACACTCCGTTTATTTTCCATCACTCGAACACTGAAATGTGAAAAGATATATGAAGTCAGGTCTATTAAATTCTAAGCTTTGATCTACAGTTCTAATTACAATTGTTTGTGATCCTATGTATAGAAAATTATATAAAAATTCCAAAATTCTAAAATTTCAAATATATATAAAAACAATCATATGTAAATTTTAAATTTGTTAATACTAAAATTTTATATTTTAATTACATATATTCACCCTGCGCAAGACGCAGGTCTTATCCTAGTTACGTTAGTATTTTGGTAGAAAAGTAATGCACTGTTATATACAGTAAAACCTCTATAAATTAATATTCACTAAATTAATATTTTTTTATAAACTAATAAATTTTGTCGGTTCTAATTTTGGAGCAGTTCAAAATTTGACACAAAACGATAAAATATTAAGATATTAATCTCTTAGAAAATATGTACATATATGGTCCCATTAAAATTATAAATTAATAATTTCTATGTATATATATTTTATATAAGTAAGAACATATCATTATACTGTTTGTTTAATATTCACAATGAATTATACTTCTATTTGCATAACATTTAATATATTTTGATGAGATTTAGTAATATATATCTGAAATCACATTAAATTCTATGCAATATATTATATACACCAAATAATATAATATAATTAATATAAATGTCAAAATTCAAAAGATAATAATTAATGTCTATATATTTAAATACGCATTTTGCATTAAATTATAATTGTATTTTGGATTTCATGTGTTGTATTTTAATTTGGACTTTCAAACAAAGTAACAGAAGAATGGCGAAACTGTACATATGCTAGACATAATGCATGAAAAACATTCGATTGTTCATATATGAAAAAACATTCAATCCTTCATAGACATTTCATAAAGTGACTCTGTTCAAATTGTCATAGTTTATATATATATATATATATATATATATATATATATATATATTATGTATCATATATGTCGTTTGAATATATATTTTCATTTTAAATTAAATTTAATTATTTAAAAATTCAAAAAAATCTGTTTAAAAAGATTTTAATAAGATCTTACTTTTCAAAAACTATATTTAAATATTTTCAATAATTTCAAAATTAGTTTTGAAATATTATTATATATTAATATATTCATTTATCCTTTATACAACAAAAAATAAAAAAATTATCATATTTTATCTATTATATAATTATACTCAATCATACTAAAATAAAATTATTATATTGGGCTGAATATGATAAAATTGAAATAAATTAATAAATTTCTATATTTTATTTTCATGCATAAAATAGTTATGTTCAAAAATAAAAATGTAATATGTTGGTAAAATGGGTTAACATTAATAAAATATATAATACATGTATAGATATTTACATGTGTTGCAATAAAGCTAATTGTATAAAATCTATGTAGTTATATTTAGTCAGGTCGTCAGGATATGTTTTTATTTTAAATATAATATATATTTATCTATTGTATTTTAAAATTCTTATAAATCTGTTGAAAAATGTTTTAACAATATCTTAATTTTCAATTTTTTTTATGTACACATCTTATATATTAAAACAGAAGTCATGACTTACTTCATGTGTGATATTTTAGTTTGGACCATCTTTAGAGTTTTATAAAATTTTATATAATATTGTAATATCTTTTCATATCTTTAATTTTTGTTTGAAATACAAATAACTAGTTTTCATAAAATTCTAACAAAATCTTTTAAAAATGTTTTAGAATCTTTTTCAAGATATAGTTTCAAAAATTATTTGATTAAAATTTTAACTATCATAAAATATAATTAAAATTTTAATTCCTTTTTAATTTATAAACAAAAAATTAAAATTATGTAAAATACTTTTAACAATATCCCAAAATTTTGTTTAAGTATTATGTAAGTCCAACTTAATTAATTTTTACATAGATTTCAAATTTAGAAATAAAAGAATATATATAAATTAGTAATCTTACATAATAATGTTTTTAAAAATTGTTACAAAAATATAAATTTATAAATTTTATATTAATAATATTATAAGTCGTATAAAAATTATTATAAATTTGGATAGAATACAGAATCAAATTATACTTATTTATTCATAAATTTTATTATATAATTTCGAATATCTATTATATTAAAAGAGAAGTCATGACTCATTTCATGTATGATATTTTATGTTGGACCATCCTTAAAATTTTATAAAATTTTACATAACATTATAATATTTTTCATATATTTAATTTTTGTTTGAAATACAAATAAATAGTTTTAAGAAAATTCTAACAAAATCTTTTAGAATCTTTTCAAGATATAGTTTGAAAAATTATTTGATTAAAATTTTAAGTTATCATAAAATATAATTAAATTTTTAATTCATTTTTATTTATAAATAAAAATAAAAATTATGTAAAATACTTTTAACAATATCCCAAAACTTTGTTTATGTATTATGTAGGTCCAACTTAATTTACTTTTTACATATATTTTGAATTTAGAAATAAAACAAAATATATAAATTAGTAATGTTACATAATAAAGTTTTTAAAAATTGTTACAAAAATTAAAATTTAAAAAATTTCTATTAATAATATTATAAGTCACATAAAAATTATTATAAAATTGGATAACATACATGATCAAATTATATTTATTTATTGATAAATTTTATTATATAATTTCAAACATTTTCGTATTAATATACCGGCATGGTTGTGCGGGTCGAAATCTAATTTTTGAATTAAAATAACTACACGGTTGTGCGGGTTGAAATCTAGTTTTTACTAATTACGTAATTAGCAATGAACTACTATTATGCATCGATATCTAGTTAGCGACTCCTCTCTAGGGTTTTGCTGTTTCACTAGGGAACTCCGACGACTTGAGAACCAAAGCCTCCAGATCTTCAGGCTTCACGACATGACTGAAAGCAAGAAGAAAGTGAACTGGTCGGAGCTTTGTCCGGAGCTGGTGCGATGTGTTTTCGAACGATTGAGTTTCACACATCTGAAACGAGGAAGATCTGTTTGTTCTTCGTGGCGCTCTGCTTTGAGAGGCTGCGTCCCAAAACGTAATCAGATTCCATGTCTTATTCTCTTCCCTAATAACAACGAAAACAACAACAACAGCAGTTGCGTGTTATTCGCTCCAGACGACAGAGACAAAACCTACAAAACGAGAGATCTCGGTGTTGACTTTGGTCAGAGTAGCTGTGTTGCGACTTATGGAAGCTGGCTCCTGATGTTGGACACTCGTTGGGATCTCAATATTTTGAATCCTTTGACCGGTGAGAGGATTGATTTACCAACAACTAACTATGCTCACCACCCACCTAGACCTTATGATAATATGAAACCTCCAAATCTCGTAGCTTGTCTCTGGATAGACGGTACAAGCAAAGATTACTTAGCTGTGTGTAAAATAGACTACCCTATCTTTACCAAGAGAGGGAACCACTGGTGGCGACGTTTTGGGGAAGACGGCTACAAACAAATGGTCTACGAACCCACGTCCCAAAAACTCTACATTAGTCATTACCACAATCGTATCCAGGTCTGGTCTTTCTCTGGAGATGATCCACAACAAATCTTTGAAAGTTATCCTCAGATTGATCGGTATGCATTTTGGGATTTTCTCCCTGATAGATGCAAATACGACAAAGAGTTGTATCGGAAAGAAGAAGAGTTTTATGGGAAAGAGTATGTTGACAGCAGGCTATACATTGCAGTCAGTACACTCTCTGGTCAAGTTTTGAAAGTAGTTAATGTGTTGCAGAAGTCCAAAAGATGGCTCTTTCGCGTCTACAAGATGCACCCAGTTGAGCGTTCTTGGGAAGTAGTCGACTCTCTGGGCGATGAGGCGCTGATCTTAGACATGGGTATCACTGTTGTAGCCACTAAAGACATTCCAGGGATCAAGAAGAACTCAATTTATTTTAGTGGTCTCAATAGTTGCAGAAACAATCCTGACCATATTTTTGTGTTTGATCTCACCACCCATGAGATTGAACCTTTGCCTCAATGTGTTTTCTCCTCCCTTCATTTCTCTAATGCTCGATGGTTCTTCCCGGGTCTAGACGTTTAGTCTAACTATGCAATTGGCTCCTCATCATGTCTTAGTTTGTTTTTGCGTATAAGTGGTGAAGTGATATATAATTTTTATTTATTATCATACCAGTGTTGCTAGTCTCACTAGCTATTCTATGCAATCATAACAATTTCTAAGGTGAATTTTAGCTGTCGAACTTTCTCAATGCTTAAACTCTAGCGAGTTGATGCATATAGAGATATATAATTCTTAAGCCATGTTCGTTTGCTGCGACTCGTGATCAGTCGCAGATGGCCTGATTTAGCACAATCATCGGCACAAACTGAAAAAACTGGAGATCGACCAGTAACAACCTGGAGAATGATTATCAGGCCCATTAGCGTTTAGCAAAGATTGATGGGCCCAATATCCAGAAGAAAGGGAAGCTAGACTTGGTCAAAGAGATCCTCTACGATTTTCAGGGATGGATAGACCAAGAGATCCTCTACGATTTTCAGGGATGGATAGATCAAGATGACCAAGAAGGGAATAGAGATGGCAATTATGGAACTGGATCGCGGGCCTGACCCGTAAAAAACTATCGCGGAATGGTATTTGGATAAAGTTTTCTAGATCTGCAAATTTGCGGGCTTCGCGAGACGAGTTTTTACAGGACTAGGTCTTTTGTGTCTTTGTGGAATTGAGCGAAAGGGGTCATGCGGGATGGACCGAAACGGGTCATGCAGAATTACAAAGAACCGTATTTATTCTTCTTCATTTCTTATTCTATATGAAAAAATGAGAAAGAGAGTGGGAAGAAGACAATTCATTTGATTTCTCCCGAGAAAAAGTAAGGAGCTCCAGCGATGATAATTCAAGCTTCGATGATGATTCGAGCTCCAGCGATGACGACTCTAGCTCCGGGGATGACGATTCGAGTTTTGGCGGTGTTTTGATTTGGTTTCTTTTATTATTTAATTTGGTATTGGTAACTTTGATTTGGTGTTTGATTTTATTTAATTTTTGGATTCATCAAACTAAAATATTGGTTATGACTTACGATTTATAAGATAAAGAAAAACATGCAATTCTCTTTACTTTGTATGTTAATATGTTTTGGGTGTGATAAAAATAACTACAACTATTGTTTTGAATAAAAAAAAAGCAAATCAATGACTGAGGAATTATGTCCAGTTGAACCGACAACTTGAAACACAATGGCCTGAAGCGTTTTGGAGTGGTGTAAAGCGTCATGCTGCATGTATTATCACATATCCCGTGGACCGACCCCCGAAGGCTTGTACATATAGCGGGACGAGTTTTGGGCAGCCATTTTGGATACCGCAGCCCGCGTGGACCTGATCCGTGATATGTTGCATATTTACTTGGTTTTAACCTTGCATTCTTGTTCATGTTGAGCATATAGATTAGATTTAGGCATTCTTAGGTTGCATTTTGCATTCATTTGTCTTTATCAGGTGGTGGAACATGCTATGGAGTTCTTGGAGGTGTTTGGGATCAATTATGTGCCAAAAGAGAGTGCAAAAATATCATTTGGCGAGCCGGAGCAGCCACAGCGGAGTCAAAAGGTCGCTGCAAGCAACACCAGCCGGAGCGGGGTCACGGGCCGGAGTCAGGGGGTCGGCCCAGACGACAGCGGACCCATGCAACGGGGCTAGGGGGCCACTCGGCTTTTCAACAAAACGGAGAGCTTCCCAGCGGTGTGCCGCAGCGGGGTCGCGACTCCGCTGGGAGCTTGGCAGCGGGGTTGTGACCCCGCTGTGCGTCTTTTATGTGGCGAAAATAAGACTTTGAGGACCTTTTTTCAATTTTCGTCTTTTATGTTTTGAGTTTCAGAAACCTAATTAAAACTACGTTGTAAGCCGGTTAGGCAGATTATCTTTTATTCTTGAAGAAAACTTCTTTTGATTGAGATTTCATTGCTTTCATCTTGTGTTCTTGTTGATTTCTTATCCATTTCTCTACATGATTAATCTAAAATCCAATATGGGTTTAAAAGGAATCATGGAAATTAGTGAGTAATCACCTTTTGAATTCATGGGTTAGGGAGATTAAGGGTGATTAAGTTAGATCTAGGATGTTTTAGTGTTAGATTTCTCTTGTTCCTTGCTTATTAGAGTAACCATAATGTCTCTTTTGAATTGATCACTCAAAAATTGATCTCTAGACATTTCCCACTCACAAAGTGTTCGATGAAATGTCTGAGTCAACTCTCTTAAGCTTTTAACAATATACCAATGACACTTGTTGTTAAAGGTGTTAAGATGGCTAATAGATATAATCCTAATGATTACTTTCATAATATTCAACCAAAGACATTTGATGCTTGAGTTATGGTAGTAAATGAACATTCATCTAGACATAGAGCTTGTTTAGAATTGTATCTAGGCCTAAGGTAGATAGTTTAATTGATCGCTTGCCATCCTTAGATCAAAGCTTGATCACCCAAGGTCAAATTCCCTATACCCATGAGTTCTTCTTTATCTTCATTGTCAAAGTTATATCTTTTATTGCATTCTAGTTATAGTTAACCTTAAAAACCAATCAATCACATGAACGCACTTAGATTAAGCTAGTACTTGCATTCTCGGTGCTTTTAAATCCCTCAGAACTGGTTCGACAATCTTCTATACTACAACATTTACCTTAGGAGCCTTGAAAACTCCTAACATCAATCCGCTTTAACCAGCTTAAAAAAATCTCACCGCGGTTTGAGACGGAATAACCTGTTTGCCATCTCTAAGATAGAACACTATAAAAGAAAAGAGTAATCAAAAGGGAGGAGACATTGGAAAAACCCTAGACATCACAGACACGACTTCTGTCACTTACTCTTAATACTCTTATTTATTTGTAATTCATTGTAACATTTGTATTTCAATCTCTATAAATAAAATTAGGTGTTTTTGATTGCATATGCGGACATAATCTTCATGTGAATATTTAGTAATTTATATTTTATTAATTCAAAAATTAGTATAATAAGTAATTGTTCATGCTTTCAAAATAATTAAATCAAGCATCAAATTAATTATAATTGACAACACTCACATATCAAAAATATTTGTATAAAACAGATTTATACAAATGTCTTTGTTTCATTTATATTTAATTATTAATTTAAATATTTATTAAAGAAAATATAATTTCAAGATAACAACATAATACATAACAAGTATTTATTTTGTAAACTATATATTGTTAATATAAAATTATTTTAATCATCTAATAAATTATATTTAAAATTATTAAAAACATGGAAACGATAAGATTAATTAAATTATGGGGAAGTTGACACATCAGCAAATTATTAAATTTAACAATAGAAAATCTATTTTAAAGATAACAACATAATACATAAGAATTATTTTACTTTCTAAAAATATATTGTTAATAATATAAATGTATTAATAAATTATAAATAAAATTATTGTTAAAAATATATTGTTAATAAATTATAAATAAAATTATTAATAACATGATAGAAAAGAAAAATTTATAGTAGAAAAAACATTTTTAAGAAAACAACATAATACATAATAATTATCTTATTTTGAATAATCTAATTTTATTAATATAAATTTGTTTGAATTATATATATATATATATATATGTATATATATTAAACATGGAAAATAAGGAAAATCGACTATATATAGAGAAGTTGACAAATCAGCATATTTTTTGATTTATAGTAAGAATATATTATCAAGATAACAAGAAAATACATTTAACTTATCTTTTTCTAAAAATATAATATTATTGATATAAATACATTTAATTATAATATATATATATATATAATTATATATATATATATATAATTATTAAAAACATGATAAATAAGTAAATTAACTAAAATTATAGAGAAATTGACAAATCAACAAATTTACTTCTCAAATAATAGTATAGATTCATTTCTGTCAACCGGAATCTGATTACATTGTAGTGTTCGACAATACAATGGATAACTAATATCAATTGTTTCCAAGAAAATCTTATTTTATTGTATAAGATAAAAATATGAAAACACATATACCTTATCATCAAACATGATTTTTATAAAATTTGATTCATGTTCTCATTTTAGGTTTTTTACATTCCTGTTTTTCTAAATATATTGGATATATCTTTATTGTATCTAATTTGGTTGCAAATATCTTCCTTTTCAAAATTGAAATTGAGGTAAACTGAAAATAAGAATTAGTGATATTACTATTTATGTTTTAATTGTGTATTTTGATTTCCATTTTATTATATGTTAATTGTATAAATTAACATGAACATATGTTATTTGGGTTTCCATTTATTAGTTTAAATTTCTATTTATACAATTAGCAAACTATCACAAATAAAACAGGAAATATAACTAATCTCTTTTTAAATCAATAGGAAAAATATTTTAATTATTCATTGTTTTCTGGTTATTTGCTTCACGATATATAGTTAGTGACTCCTCTCTAGGGTTTTGCTGTGTCACTAGGGAACTCCGGCGACTTGAAAACCAAAGCCTCGAGATCTTTAGGCTTCACGAGATGACTGAAAGCAAGAAGAAAGTGAACTGGTCGGAGCTTTGTCCGGAGCTGGTGCGATGTGTTTTCGAACGATTGAGTTTCACACATCTGAAACGAGGAAGATCAGTCTGTTCTTCGTGGCGCACTGCTTTGAGAGGCTGCGTCCCAAAAGGTAATCAGATTCCATGGCTCATTCTCTTCCCTAATAACAACGAAAACAACAGTAGTAGTTGCGTGTTGTACGTTCCAGACGACAGAGACAAAACCTACAAAACCAGAGATCTCGGTCTTGACTTTGTTAAGAGTAGCTGTGTTGCGACTTATGGAAGCTGGCTCCTGATGTTTGGCACTCGTTGTAATCTCTATATTTTGAATCCTTTGTCCGGTGAGAGGATTTATTTACCAACAAATGATCGATACCAACGACCCCAAGAGCTCGTAGCTTGTCTCTGGATAGACGATACAAGCAAAGATTACTTAGTTGTGTGTAAAATGGACTACGCTCTCATCTTTACGAAGAAAGGGAACCGCTCGTGGCAACGGGTTTCCGAGGGAATGTCCTACAAAAAAATGGCATACGAACACACGTCCCAAAAGCTCTACGTTCGTCGTTACTACAATCTTCCTCTCGAGGTCTGGTCTCTCTCTGGAGATGATCCACAACAAATCTTTGGAGATTATCCTCGAGATGGTGAGTATGCCTTGAGGGATTTTCTCCCTGATAGAAGCAAAGACGAAGAGTTGTATCTGAAAGAAGAAGAGTATTATCTGGAAGAATGTGTTAGTAGCAGGAGATACCTTGCAATCAGTACAGTATCTGGTCAAGTTTTGAAAGTAGTTAATGTGTTGCAGAAGTCCAAAAGATGGCTCTTTCGCGTCTACAAGATGCACCCTTTTGAGCGTACTTGGGAAGTAGTAGACTCTCTAGGCGATGAGGCACTGATCTTAGACATGGGTATCACTGTTGTAGCCACCAAAGACATTTCAGGGATCAAGAAGAACTCAATCTATTTTAGTGGTCTTGATAATGGCAGAAAGAATCCTGACCATACATTTGTGTTTGATCTCACCACCCATGAGATTGAACCTTTGCCTCAATGTGTTTTCTCCGCTCTTCATTTCTCCGGTGCTCGATGGTTCTTCCCGGGTCTAGACGTTTAGTCTAACTGTGCAATTGGCTCCTCATCGTGTCTTAGTTTATTTTTGCTTATAAGTGGTGAAATAATATATATATAATTTTGATTTATTATCATACCAGTGTTGCTAGTCTCACTATTCGTTCTATGTAATCATAACTATTTGTAAGGAGAACGTTATCTGTAGAACTTTCTCAATGCTTAATCTCTAGCAAGTTGATGCATATAAAGATATTATATAATTCTTAAGCCATGTTCGTTTCCTGCGACTTGTGTGATCAGTTGTCATAGGTCGCAGCTTATTGTTCCTTTACGATTGAACATGTCAATATACGGCTAGTCGCTTATTTTGAAACAAATAACATTTGGTCCCCTTTGTCCAATGATTTGACTAGGGATTCATTAATACTTATACAAGGAATCTTCAACATGGTGCAAGTAAACTCGGTCAGGCGTAAATCTTTATAGGACGGCTCAGGTGATGCAGTTACGTGTAGATCATCATAAGACAGGTAGTATTGTCGATTGTTGAGTCGTCTATGTAATCTTGTTTATAATTGTAATATCATAATAAATCAGCTTTAAACAAAAAAAAAAAATTTAGTTCGCACTTGCATGTCACAGCAAAACGAACAGGGCTTTAGATGAAAAGAAGGTTTGCAAGTCATTTAGTTCTCGAAACAGAGGAACTAAGAATCACCATCACATCAAATTATTCAGTTTCTTCCAATGTTTGCAAAAAGCCCGACCGGGTTCATCCAAACATATAAATGCAACTTTTTTTTATTTTTGAATGAAAAAGATAAAGAATCCTTGTAGATGAAAACATAATCACCTGTGCTGCTGAATATTTCACTATAAATGCAGCATTACCACAACTAAGAGGAAGAAGAGATGCCTTGGGAACCAAGAAAGGTGGTGTGGCCTTTGAGAAAAGCAGAGTACCAATGAGCAGAGAGTTTTGGAGATCTCGTGAGATGAGTATCGCTGAAATTCACATAGTACAACCCATAGCTAGGACCGTATCCGCCAAGTAACTCGTACAAATCCATCAATGACCATACAAAGTAGCCTCTCGTGTCCGATCCATTCCTACACGGTTTATAGTAACAATGTCTGTCTTTCTTTCTCTATCACATCAACAAGAGAAGAGACAAGAAGCAGAAAAAGAAAAAAAAACACTTTACTTACCTAACGGCTTTGAGTACAGCACCAATGTAAAGGTTTAAATACTCAATCCTTGGTGTGTCCTTCTCCCCCTTCATCGATTTACCTATGCGTTTTGTATTGAGAAGAGAGTTAAGAAGACTAGAACAAAACAACTAGAGAGAGACATCAGAGAAGAGAGTGAGACCATTCTCAAGAATGTAGACAGGAGGATTGCCATAGCTCTGCTTTATATACTCCAAGACACCTTCCAAAGCCCATGGAGTAACAGCACACTTTGTCCAAAACAAGAACAAAAACAAGTAAGTAAGACTTTGATATAGTATAAAACAACTTTGAGAGTTTTTTGCATCTGAATCTGCTAACCTCAGCCGAAACTCTTAGCTTAGGAGTTGTAATATTGCAAGAGTCTATCTTCCCATCCCATGCAGTAAACCAAATAATATATGATCAGCAAAATATAAAACATTATAAGTCTGGATTCAAAAAATTTTTAAATAAGGTAAGGAGTTTGATTCAGACATGCCAAAGTTATGCCAGTGTCTGTGCTGAAATCTGTGTATCCTGGAAAATAAGGCTTAGTGTTTGTGACACTGGCTGCAAGGTAGTGGATGATTCCTATAAAGTCAGAGGAGCCTTTAACTAGCTCTGATTCTTCCTCTGAGAAATCTGGCAGTCTTGATCCGACGGTTCTTCTCATTACATGTGGATAGTCTCCATATATAAGAGGGTCAAGCATCCTGTATTTGAAAGTGCAGATTGTTTTTTTTCAGCATAAGAAATTAGAAATGTTGGCTAATGTTGAAAAGATATTTTTGGAACCGTTTTGTAGCCTGGCTCACCAGCCCAAGTAGAAATCTCTGGCTCTTTGAGCTGCCATTTCATCGTCTTTAGAGTTTGTAGAAGGAGAAAACCCTATTGCATACAAGCTTAAGCCAACGGAACCTCCTTGCATATCCTGCACATTACATGTATCATGTTTCTCCTTTGCCTTAAAACTCACATAATCAAGAGGTAGTTATAATATATCTAGACATGTGTGTAAGAAAGTCTACCTTGTACTTTTGTCGGTACAATCTTGAAGCAGAGGCGTGTGCAAGAAGTAAGTTATGGCCTACAATATATGGTTCAGTGGAAGAGTTCCCTGACATGCAGTTCTTGGAACAGCGACCAGGCCCTGTTATCCCATCGTTGTAACCTCCAACGGTGAATATATTAGCCTCGTTGATCGTGGTCCAGTATTTGACGTGATTCCCAAACTCTCTGAAGCATACGTCTGCGTAAGCAGTAAAGTCTTTACTGCATCCGCAAATAAGTTTACTATTTAGAATTGCCTCTTTCTTTCAGAGATCAATATAAGAAGCTAAACAAAGCTTCGCTTACATGATTGTGCGGTTGAGCCATCCTCTATTTTCATCCTCAAGAGCTTGAGGTTGATCATAGTGGAAGAGTGTAGCATGTGGTTCAATTCCTGTGATAAGTTTACTTTAAGTCTAACTAGTATGAAAAACAAAAGAGTTGCTTAGTGGATATGAAGAAGAGGTACTTACCGTGTGTTACAAGTTCTTGGATGAAGTTTTTGTAGAACTGAAGACCCTTAGGGTTAACAGGACCTCTTCCATCTAATTAATGAGAATATAACTCATATTAAACTTAATCCTTTAAAAGTAATTAAGAAACCGGTACAAGAATTAGTCATACTTGGTATAAGCCTGGACCAAGAAATGGAGAATTTGAAAGCATCTAGGCCAGTTTCCACCATGAGCTTCACATCTTCCTGCACATTAAAAAAAGCAAAAAAAAAAAAAAAATCAGAGCTAGTAGTTTAATTAGGAGAGTGAGGAGGTTTTAGGTAATAAAGAAGAGAAAAAAAGAACCTTGTACTTGTGATACCCATCACATGCTATGTCTCCATTATCTAAATTACCTGCCAAGTTCAATAAAACAATCAATCATTTGATGAGCTGTCACAATCACAAGGGCTCAAGGTTTCAAACTAAAAAACAGAAAAGCCATACGAGAGTGGACGAAAGTATCCCAAACACTTGGCTTTCTCCCATCTTCAGCAGCAGCACCTTCCCACTTCCAAAAGACCACCACACCAAGCATGTCAGTTCTCTCAACTCAAAACAACATCATAATCCGAGTAAGATAGAAAGTTAGAACCTGATAAGCAGAAGTACCGGAGCCGAAAGCAAAGCCCTCAGGAAAATCTCTCCTGCTGTAGACATCGCTGCAACTCCCTAGTAAAGGGAGAGCCAGTGAAATTGTAATGATGAGACAGAGAGACAAACACCAATCCATTTCTTTCCACAAACATGGAGATAAAATAATTAAAATAGACTTCTTTAAAAAGGAATAATTAAGTAGATTCTCTCCTATCCTATCACTAAACTCTTTACTCGCGCGCCAGAGAAGTTTGAGTGACGAATAACTAACCAATTGTCTCTATCAATTATTCCAACTTAAACCTTTTTATTTTACTAACAAAAAAAAAGATTTACTAAAGATTTGTTTCCTTTTATAAAACTAGAAAACAGAAACAATCACGAAAGTAATCGTGATTTAAGTCATTTATAGAAAACAAGTAATAAAACGGTTAAGCTTACCTTTAGCGGCATTAAATATGTGAGTTCAACTATTATTACTCAGCAAATAAAGAGGTTCACTTACTATGTAGCTTTTTTTTTTGTCTTTCTCTGATTTGCTAACACATCAAGGCGTGATGATTTTGTGAATCTTTTATTGCATTAACCAGATACTATTTCATGGATATTGTCATATAATTTGTGTATACTATTTTGTGTAGATGTGTGACTCTATTCGGTGGCTTTTACTTCATGTAGATAGTAGACAATCATATTTTTATGGGAAAAAAACACAGTAAATGCAACATTACAAATAGGAAGAAGTGAAGTTGCTTGGCAATTGCCCCAAGCCTTGAGAACCAAGAAATATGGTGTCATCCTTGAGAAAAGCAGAGTACCAATGAGCAGAGTGTTTTGGAGATCTCTTGCGATGAGTATCACTGAAATTCACATAGTACAACCCAAAGCTAGAACCGTATCCGTCAAGTAACTCGTACAAATCCATTAATGACCATACGAAGTAGCCTCTCGTGTCCGATCCATTCCTTTACACGTTACAATAGTAAAAATATTTCTTCCTTTATCATATATACCAGAGAAAAGAGAACAGTAAGAAACACTTTACTCACCTAACGGCTTTGAGCACAGCACCAATGTAAACGTTTAAGTACTCAATCCTTGGTGTATCCTTCTGTTGCAGCTTGAACTCTCCTTTCATCGATTTACCTTATTCGTTTGCATTGAGAAGAGAATTTAAGCAGACTACTAATACAAAAGAAATATAGAGGGAAGAACAAGAAGAGACCATTCTCAAGAATGTAGACAGGAGGATTGTCATAGCTTTGCTTTATATACTCCAAGACACTTTCCATAGCCCATGGAGTATCAGCACATGTGTCCAAAAGCAACTAAGAAAAGACTTGACAGTATAAATAACTTAAAGGAGTTTTGCATCTGAATTTGGTTGCCATAATCGAAATCTTACCCCAGTAGTTGAATCATTACAAAAGTCTGTCATGCCAACCAGTAAAAAAAAGAAGAGATGATTAGCAAAATAAAATACTATATTATCAGGATAGAAAGAAAAAAAATAGTAGGAGTTTGATTCCTACATGTCAAAGTTATGCCGGTGTCTGAGTAGAAATCAGGGTCTCCTGAAAAATAAGGTTTGATGTTTTTGACAGTAGCTGCAGTGTAGTGAGTGATTCCTAGAAAGTCAGAGGAGCCTTTAACTAGTTCTGATTCTTCCTTTGAGAAATTTGGCAGTCTTGATCTAATGGTTCTTCTCATTACATTTGGATAGTCTCCGGATACAAGAGGCTCAAGCATCCTGGATTATAACTTATCTTTGACTAATTTTGAAAGATTTTTTTTTTACACTATTTGTAGCAAGACTCACCAGCCAAAGTAGAAATCTCTGGCTCTTTGAGTTGCAGTTTCATCATCCTTGGAGCTAGTTGAAGGAGAAAACCCTATTGCAAGCAAGCCAAAGCCGACAGAACCTCCTTGCTTTTCCTGCACATTATATGTAATATATTGCTTTTATGTCCTAAACTCACATTTTCAGGGTTAGGCAAAACATATATATATACATGTATAAGGAAGTCTACCTTGTACTTTTGTCGATACAATCTTGAAGCAGAGGCGTGTGCAAGAAGCAAGTTATGGCCTACAATATATGGTTCAGTGGAAGAGTTCCCTGACATGCAGTTTCTGGAACAACGACCAGGCGCAGTTATCCCATCGTTGTAACCTCCAATAGTGAATATATTAGCCTCGTTGATCGTTGTCCAGAATTTGACGTGACTCCCAAACTCTCTGAAGCACACGTCTGCATAAGCAGTAAAATCTTCACTGCAAAATACAGATAGCATCAAGAGCCTGAGGATGAGTATAAGAAGAAGATAAGTAAATGCCGGGTTGTTTTGTTAGCGAACATGATTGTGCGGTTGAGCCATCCTCCATAGTCATCCTCAAGAGCCTGAGGATGATCATAGTGGTAAAGTGTAACATGTGGTTCGATTCCTGTAGTAAGATTACTTTTAAAGGTCAACGAGTAGGAGCTAAAATCAAACTCAACAGAGTGCAAAGAGTTGCTTAGTGGATATGAGGAAGGTGGGCAGTCTTACCGTGGGATACAAGTTCTTGGATGAAGCTATTGTAGAACTGGAGACCCTTTGGATTAACAGGACCTCTTCCATCTAAGAAATGAGGATATAGTTTATTATAAAATTTGATCTCTTTTAGTAATAAAATATAAGGGACACAAGCAGACATACTTGGTATAAGCCTGGACCAAGAGATGGAGAATTTGAAGGCATCCAAGCCAGTTTCCACCATGAGCTGAACATCTTCCTGCACATTTTAAAATACAAAAGGAAAAAGAATCTTTGATGTGAAAACAAAAAAGTAGATCTAGCACTTTAGGGAAGAAGACATTTGGTTGAAGGAAGAGAAAGAAAGAACCTTGTACTTGTGATACCCATCACATGCTATGTCTCCATTATCTAAGTTACCTGCCAAGTTCATATAAAACAATTTTTTATTTTATAAAAAATTTCAAAATAGACTAAAAAGACTTTTTTTTTTAACTACCAAGCCTAAAACCTCCTATAGTTAAAAATAATACTGTAATATTAGTTATGTTTCATGCATCATCCTATCAAATCATTTCTGGACTTTAGTATGGATACTTTTCCAGATGATGTAACAATGCTCAGTAAAAACATTTAGTAAAAAGTATTTTTAAACTAAAATTCCAAACAGGAAAAAAGCCTCACGAGAGTGAACGAAAGTATCCCAGATGCTCGGCTTTCTCCCGTCTTCATCAGCAGCACCTTCCCACTGTAACACTGACAGAACCCATCAAAACATTTTTTTTTTCTTTTCTTCTCTTTCAGACAGAATCCGAGTATAGGAATCGAAATAACGAACCTGATAAGAAGAAGCACCGGATCCGAAAGAGAAGCCCTCAGGGAAATCACTCCTGGTGTAAAAATGGCTGCATCTCCCAGTAAAAGGGAGAGCCAGGATAATGGTAATAACCAGAGACAAAACCCGATCCATTTATTTCCTGGCCTCAAGTTAGCGCAGAGAGATATATAATAAGTAAACTCTCTCTCCAATCCTATTACTTTACCCGCGCCAGACAAGTTTGAGTGACCAAGAACTAAACAAGTGTCTTTTTTTTGGTCAAGAACTAAATAAGTGTCTATATCAACTTTTTTACAGTCACTGTGGAGCAAAAAGAAGGTTCACTTTACAACTCTTTTAAAAAATAATAATCAGAAACTACTTGTTTTTACAATTCTCAAAAGAAAAAAGAACTACTTGGTTTTAGTGATCTCTTTTATTAAATTAAGCAGTGTGTATTGTGAAAGCATACCATCAAGAAAGAAGCTTAGAAGAAACCAAGAAATCAAGTTCCATTTTAAATCCTAAAATTTATTAAGAAGATTAATTTGTTAAAAACGATAATTTGTGATCTTATTAGTGGTTCATTGAAATATCATAAGGTTGTTAAGAATCAATTTAAAAACACAGTAAAAATCGTTAGATTGCCGCATATACACTGAAGGGAAAAAAAAAAAGTTTCACCTTTTCGGGAAATAAATAAATATATATATCAGCGAACCAAATTTTGTATGCTTCCGCAACAACTGTCAAAAAATTTAATGCATTTAAAATATATGACGAAATGTAGTTTGGTCGTTGGGATTTGCAGAAAAATGTTGTTAGAGCAAAGTCCCTCTTATCTTATTTTATCTCCTTCTCCTCTTGTTGTTGTTGTTGACTTTCTTCTTCTTCTTCGTCTCTAGCCATCGAACTCTTGGAATCTAAACTAGCCTTAGATCAACAAAGCCGTAATGTTTCCTGAAAATTCATTACTCTCAGATATCTACGCGACTGGAATCTCCGGCGTCGTCGCGTTCTCGTGCCTAGGTTTCTGGGGAGAGATTGGCAAGCGCGGTATCTTTGACCAGGTCACTGACATTTTCAATTCAAAATTTGTTTGAATCTGTATTATAAGTCTTTTCTGCTTCATAGAATATTAGTAGGACTTTTAGACAGAACTGAGCAAGTCACTAGTTTTATAGACATATGTGACTGACCCACTCATCATGATTGTGTTTTTTTAAATCAGAAACTCATCAGGAAGCTCGTGCACATAAACATTGGCCTTGTTTTTATGCTTTGCTGGCCACTCTTCAGGTAATATACCTTTCAAACATGATCTAATTTAACCTTAGCATCTTTGGCTCCTCTGCTTCATCATTTCACTCTAATATCAACAATTATTTCAGTTCTGGACTCCAAGGAGCGCTTTTGGCTTCTCTTATACCTGGACTCAATATTATAAGGATGCTGCTTCTTGGCTTTGGTGTCTACCAAGACGAAGGAACTATCAAGTCTATGAGCAGACACGGAGATCGCAGGTTTACTGAGTTTTGACATAATATCTCCTTTTTGTCAGTTCACAAAGTGTCTATAATTGCTCTCTGAACCAGGGAACTACTCAAGGGACCGCTTTATTATGCACTCTCCATCACATCGGCATGCATCTTCTATTGGAAGACATCTCCAATATCCATTGCAGTGGTATGCAACCTCTGCGCTGGAGATGGTACGTACGTTTTGTTAGGTTTTTTAGTTTTGTCTCAATTTGAATGACAATTTTATACACTCTTGTTTCCTCACCATTATGTTAAAAAGGGATGGCTGACATTGTTGGGAGGCGGCTTGGAACAGAGAAGCTTCCTTACAACAGAAACAAGTCAGTAGCTGGTAGCATTGGTATGACAATCGCAGGGTTCTTAGCATCTGTTGCGTATATGTACTACTTTGCTTCGTTTGGTTACATAAAGAGTAGCGGGTGGGATATGATTATTCGATTCTTCGTCATCTCTATAGCATCGGCTTTTGTGGAATCACTCCCTATAAGCACTGACATTGATGACAATCTCACCGTTTCCCTAACCTCTGCCTTGGTCGGTACTCTACTCTTCTAGTAATAGTGTATCATCAAATACAGAGTCGTCGAGCTTAGATGCCCACTGTGGTGGAGTAAAACTACATTCTCAGTTACAACTTGTTAGTTAATAAATTTTCCAATTGTTGTTGTTTTTTGATGTCGACCATCTTATTTTTCAGCTGCAACTGCAGTTGGGTGAAATTGTTGTAATGTAGTGAGAGATATAGTGTGACTAATAGACGCTTTTGCAATTTGTATTAGAAACTCAGACATGCTTGTTTGTTGTTACTTTGGCATGTGGCCATTTCAAAATCGATTGTATAATTTGTATGCTTACTACAACAGGTGATGGGCTTGACTTTTACACTCTATGAAGCTTTTTCTCTAGCTGACTTTAGGTCTCCAAATTTCTAAAAGTTAGATATATAAATACAATATAAGTTCCTAAATTGTAAAAAAGGAAAAATTATTAAAAATTTTAGTGAGTTATCTATGATTTCCAAAATTTCAGTGGAACTGGTAACTGTAGCTTCCTCCAGACAAGAAACCAACACGAGGAAAAAAGTGAAGCTTTATAACAATAAGTATGGGAGCATCATTATCGCTCGTATATAGATGGTCTCTTATGATTAAAAGAAAATCAAAAATACAATTAATTGGAATATACGTTTCTTATTTGGGGCTAAACAAGAGACGTGTTTAGAAAACACGTGTAGGCAAAATAAGAGGAGAGGAGGAGCGTCGACGAAACTCTCTGTTTCTTGGCTCCTCTCTCCGGTGGATCCAAAATTCTCCGCGTCGTCTCCGTCGGTGACTCACATCCGGCAACGGAAGATTGTCCCTCGTTGCTTCTTAACGGATCTCTCGACGAGACGGTGAAGCTCTGTGAGAGTTGTGGAGTATAGAATTGTGATTGGTGTTTCTATGTTTGGCTTTTAAGAAGGGTGAGTGACGAGATAAAGGTCACGACTTTATTTAGGGCTCCATGATTTCAAAGGATTTAACTTTGGTTTGTTACATTGTTAGATGCTGTGGTGATTGTTAAGACTTTGTAATTGGTGTTGATTTTCAAGTACAGTGAGTGAGGAGAGAATGAAGATGAACTCACTCGGCAGGCTCTCACTTGTTTCACGTAGGGAACTACAAACGAGTAATAGGTTATGAAAGTTTTGTTTAATGGTAGTAGTGTGAGAAGTGTGGAGTCTATAGACTTGTGATTGGTGTTGCTGTGTTTGGCTTTTAAGTAGAGTGTGTGAGGAGAGAATGAACAAAGATTCATCAGTTTGTGCATCCCTTACATATATTTGTGTGTGTGTGTGTGTGTTTTGGTTCTTTTTCTGACGTAAGTGTGTGTTTTGGTTCTTATGCTGTTTTTCATCAATATTTTAGGGCAATGCCAAGGCAAAGTTTGATGAAACTCTTGAGGCTCATGTGAGGTTGGGCATCAAGAAAGGCTGGTCTGAGCTGGTAATCCTTTACTTTGCGTGTTTCGCTATCATATTCTTATTCTTATCCTGTGTTTGTTAATCTTTACTTTGTTTAAACTGCAAATTGTTCGTGGTCCTTTGGCTCTACCACACTCTGTTAAAAAGGTACATGAAATGCCTCTCTAATCTGTGATAGTAACCTATACTTGTCAGCCTTTTATGTGATACGAAGATATGTTCTTCCTTGTTCAGGATGTGAGAGTGGCTTTCTTTGCCGAGGGTACTGATTTTCACTGTGTGTGTTCGTCTCTTTTGCAGGTTCCTTTTGTATAGGGATGAAGATTTCATGGCTACTCTTCATGATTGATGTGTTGAGAGAGTGTGAGAGAGATGAATTGATGATTGCTCTCTGTTTTGTATTATACAATCTTCCAATGGTTTCAACTTTTGGATCAATTGATTTAAGAGACTTGCAATGAACCCTTATTTTTTAAAGTCTCTTAACTAAATCTTTAATTCACTTTTACTACTTAAAAAATATTAAAAAATTATTAAGAGATCCTAAAAGAGACTTTGGGATAATGATGCACCATGCATCGTGTAGTGTCTGTTTCTTGTGAAGAGAAGTCGCTCGCCGTCTTCAGAGCTTAAGGCATTCACAGGTTAAATGGGCCTAAATATGGGCTTTTTATACATATTATAGCCCAAATTACGAACGAAATTCCTACCGTTCCATTTGTTAAAAGAAGAAACGCTTTCCGTTCAACGAAATTAGTGCCCGTGGCAAGTCACGATCCCTCGTTTCTCCGCCGAGTGAAGTTGTACAGATCACAAAGGCGAAAAGCTCTCTCTCCCTCCCTCCGTTCACCGCCGCGACTCAGCCGTCTACTGTAAGCTCTCTGACTCCATCGAGATTACTTTATTCCTCAAAATTAATTAAGAATCTCCATATCGCATCTGGTAGATAGTGAAATCGCCTCTGTTAACTTCCTCTCGATCATCGGTTCTAATTCCTTCATCTTCTCTAAAGGAAATACGCTTTTTAGGGCTCGTGATAGGGATACAGTCTCTAATAGTAATTGTAATCGCCATTTCACGATTTGTTTGTTTCGCAGAGGCATCTCGTGTTTTAGAGGATTCAATGTCTAATGCAGAGGATACTAAATCTTCTCATGATCAGGTATATATCTTCTTGTTCATTCGATTTCCCAATAAACCAAACTCTTTTGCTATTTAATAACAACATTTTGTATTTGTGTGTGCACAGCTCTCGTCCCAGGTTTTTCTTGATCTTGTGGACTCAGTGATTGCTGATGTGGCGTCTGAGTGTCACCGTGTAGCAAGACTAGGGCTTGACCGAGACTTGGAGGTAGTTGAAGAAGAGTTAAGGTTATCAGTTGAAGCGCGTGCCAAAGTCGCAGATCCTAGCAACAACCTCGAGACCAACACTAAATACGTCGTTGATATATTTGGTCAGACTCATCCTCCTGTAGCTAATGAAGTGTTTAACTGTATGAACTGTGGGAGGCAAATCGTTGCGGGGAGGTTTGCTCCTCATTTGGAGAGATGCATGGGGAAGGTGAGATCTATTGCATTCCCTCCTTAGAAAATGTGTTGTTTTGTTGAGCCTCGGGTTCTTGATTTTGTTTTTTTCTTTGGTTTGTGGTGTAATATAGGGAAGAAAGGCACGCGCGAAGGTGACCAGGAGCACAACTGCTTCCCAGAACCGGAACACACGACGCAACCCAAGTGATAACGGGTTAGCAAGTGGTCCACCTGGTTTTGAAGAGAATGTGAGAAGGACGACCTAAGAGAGGTTTATGCTAAAACTGCTATGTGGCTAGTAATTGCCTCTACCGGATTGGTATGAATTCAGTTTGCACACAGAGAGGAAGAAATCGAAAAGTAAGTAGCTGAGGTTCATAATGTTAATAATTTCACCAGGTTAACAGCCTTGGCATGTCATTCTATAGATTGAAATGAAATGACTCTTTGGGTACATGCACCATCATATATAAACTACAAACTATTAGATGAACTTTGTAGATTCACCTTGTTGCAAAGCTTAGCAACCTCATCAAGCATCACTGACTATATCCATTCATTGCCTATTCTTGGTTTCCCATTGTGTGGCCACTCATATCTCTGCATCTTATCTTCTTTAATTGAGAGTGAATAGTTTTAGCTTTTGTCTTTGGGGAATTAGATAACGTGAGAGGTTTAAAGTCATGTTGAGAGAAAAAAACAAAAAAAAAAATGATAAAGAGTAAGCTAATAAAAAAAACAGACATTTGAAAACAACCTCTTGATGTGAAAATAATACTTTTGATTGAACTCTAAAATATCATAGGTTTGAAAACGACTAGTCTTGATAAGAACTGCAGAGAATGGTGTCCTACTGAATATGAAATGATTTGAAAGGTTGAAGAAGATGCCAAGAATAAAGCTTAGTTTACAGTTTGCAACAATGAGTAAAACAGTAGATGCTTTGACCTCAACTGCCAAGTGACTGATGTTCCCCTCACAGATTCTCTGTCGCGTTCTACGCTTTTTCAATTTTTTTCCTATTAAAAAGTCTCCTTAAAATTTTCATCATCTCATAGAAGCTATAGATTTTACATGTGATATAATGAGTGAGATCCACTAGAAAATGATAAGATAATTAAGATGCATGTACTTGTGTTTTGCCTTTTTTGTTGCAGAAGTAGTATTTGATTTGCATAGACAATAGTCATGTCGTAATCATAATCATTAGCCTTCAACCAAAGCTTAATCAACTAAATTAGTACGAGGCTTTGGTTATTCACTTTACACTGCCAAAATTGTTTTATCTTATTGTTTACGGAGAAGAGTCTTGCGTCGCCGAAGGGAAGACCTTGCTACACTCCGGTCTACTTCTACTACTCAACATTCTCATCAACGAACTTGATGCTGATGAAGTTGATCTCCGTTCACCTCTTGATCCTCCTCCCTCATCTAACACTTCAATTCTAACCTCTCCTTCGTCGTCAACCTCTGTTTTGATATTATCTTCCACCACAGCAAGAGACAGTGAAAATCTCCGATCATCATCTGCCTCGTCGTTTTCTTCCCCTCCAGGTGGAAACAACTGCAATCTAACCTCTTTTTCTTCTTCTACCAAGCCATTAATGGCCGGCTTGAGGCTGTCTTGATCTGAGGCGGCGAGAACAGGGGATCTACAGAGAGGACAAGTAGAGTGAGAAGACAACCACATGTCTATACACTCAACGTGAAACCCATGTCCGCATGTTCTCAACTTTCTTCCGACATCTCCCACTTCCCACAAACCAAGACATATCACACACTCTTCTTCTTCTTCTTGGTGTTTCTCGTCATCCTCGTAGACAAACAGAGGAATCGAAGAAATCACTGAAGAATCCAAACCTTTTTCATCGTTTGTTGCAGCAGCAGCAGAAGGAGAAACTCCACCGTTTAAACCTCCAAGTGGTACTGGAGGTATGATTCTTGTAGTTGTGACGGTTCTTCTCCTTCTTCTCCGGTGGCGTCGTGCGGCGAATACATCTTGGTCGAAGTTTGACCAGAAAAAGCGGGCGTAGAAATGGAGAAGCAAGACGAAGAGGACGACTAAGAGAAGTAAGACGAGAGCAGCTAAGAGGACATTGGAGTTGTAAGAAGATAAGACTTTGAGGAAACTCGAGAGATTGCTTCTCGTAGCCATTGACCCACCTTCTCCTTCTTCTTGCATCATAGTGTTTATAACCATTGTCCAAAAAAGTGTTTATAAGAGAGCTCTCTCTCTGTTTCTCTTTTTCTTGGATCAATGCGACTTCTTTATTTGTTGGAGGGTTGATTTGATTATATATATGTATAAAGTGAATTGTATATAGGGAAAATCAAAAGTACGTATACGAGAAATAAATTTATTAGTCGTTTTCACTTGATTATATACAAATATACAAACCCACATAATCAGGATATTTGGTCAAGAATAAAATTTATAAATTCTGAAAAAATATTGAAAAGTCCTTTTGAAAAGTAAGTCAATATTATATTATTGATATATATGGATTACATGCTGTGTTCGAAAAGAAAAGAAAAAGATTACATGCATAATCTTGGTTTGGAATATTGATGAAGTATGTTTAGAAGTACTTGCAGGGAAAAGTTGTGGGTCTTTGTCTATTAGTGTGTTGTGGTTGCAACTAAATAATAGAGTACGGTTGTGAGTTTAAGAGATTAGTGGGGATTGTTTTTGTATGAATCAATCTCTGTTACTTATATATTACATAACAATCTCTAATCTCTACACTTATGGTTTAGAATCATACAATGCATTACTATGGATCAAATCTCTAAACATAGATTTGTAGTGGAAAGAGTAGGTTATACGTAAGGTGGAAAATAAAGAAAGGGAGCACGAAATACTAAAAGAAGAGAAGTGGTTAATGGAGATCACATGAAAGGTAGCTTAGAAAAGAAGTAAGTAGGGAGAGACCAGAAGAGTTTACGTGAATATAAAGCAAAAGTAGAAGACGAGGAACGCTATGCAACTTCTACCAAACCTCTTTACACGTTTCTCTATTAACCAATTTTGCATATTTATTGTTAAACAAAAGAAATCGTATTAATATGACATGATATTTTCTTTAACGAAACGAGAAAGTGATATGCTATTCATCTATACCTGCGAATATATATTTATTCGATGTTGTCAGGACCTAACCACGAGGAGCCGAGGAGGGCCAGGTCTTTAAAATTTGAGGACTCGTCAAGGCCACGGAGTTTACTCCAAAAAGAACAAATCCCCATGACTTTTTAAAATGAAAATTTCCCTTGTCCACTATAGAATTATGCTTCCTAATTTTAGGTTTATATATTATTAGTCAAACATGTTCATCATTCCATAATCACAGTATTGTAAATAGTTGTATGAAAATGACAATACTTGAAAATGGCAGTCATGAGAAAGCTAATAAATGTAGATAAGTTGGGAGAGGATTCCTTCAAAACTTTATTGACCAAACTCCAAAAGTCATTCGTCTTGCCATAAAATGAGGGTTGCGGTTGCACAAAGCACAGACTCCTTATTTTGAGCCTTCCTTTTTTCATCTTCCAAGCATTTTTAGCTTTATTTCTTCTGTGTGTTTCTTTTTGACCTACTTCCTTTTCTTTTTTTCCCATGTTAATGTTTTTCCTACCTTGATGAAAATGAACAATATTTGACAACCATCACCATGTACAGTTAGGATATACACAATAGTTACCTCTTACATCTACCCTACAATAAACTATCATACATCCACATACTAGCAGTGATATGAAGATGAAATACATTAAAAAATTTCAGACACACACACAAGCCGACAGTGACGTTCATGGAGGATAGATAATAGAAAGCTAGTGCTGGTTGGCGACGAATGATACTAGTTATTAGTTAGCTTCACCCTGGTATAATGCACCATGAGAACAAAAAAAAAAGCTAAGACAGAGCATGGTTCCAATCAAAAGAAACTGATTATTGTTTAGTGACTACCATATTAAAATCAGTGTGAAACATACATAATTGATATTGAATACAACTTGCAAGGCTCAATGCTAAGTGTGAGCTTGAAGGAAACATGCTTAAGACTAAATCGGAATATTACATTTACAAAGCAATGAGTGTGTTGCATAGCTGGAGTAAAAATTACAGAATATGATAATACTCCACTTCACAATAGGAACCTCTTGCAACCATCTACTCATCGCCAATTTTCAATCCTGAGTGTGTGTTCTTCATCTTCTTCCTTGAACATGAGTCGACCTAATCAAATACAGCAGATCGAGCATCATCACTTACTGGGAACAATTCTAGAGAACATACCGGTCAATTTCAGATAACTAACAGTTTAAACTGTTAATCTAACAATACTATACTCAATTGATAAATTCTAAACTTGTTATTAAAATCTTCAACGATTCATAAAAGTAACTAATCCAATCAACAAAAGTAACAAAAATAAACTGAAATTAATGTGTCAGGTTACAAATGAATAATCAGCGGATTAAATCCTCAGCCAGGGATAACTGTTTTTCATATTGTTCTCATCATCCACAACATATTTTCATCTAATCCTTCTGAATCTCCCAACAGGTTTCAACACTCATCAACACGAACTATATATAATCGTCACCAGCTTCTTATTAGATTAAGAGACTAAATCATAAGGAAGTGGAAAATGAAAACAATTGTTTATTAAAAGAAGGAAGAACTCAGTCCCTTAGATGTTCATAATGAAATGCGATCATCACCGCTATCATTACAGGTCTGTAAACTGACTCATCACAGTTCTTCCCACAATCCATTAAAACAAAGACACATTACGATACAACCTAATGGATAATGTAGCTGCTCAAGCTATACGCTCCCGAATAGTTAACATACTAGAATTACCAATATATTAAATAATTAGAGAGGAAATAATCAAAAACGAGAGCAACACAAATAATTTTGCTTCAAGGGAACGAATCATATGGGAACGGACAAAATCCACATAGACTATCTGATGAAGCCAAATCAATCACGATGAACAACAAAATAAAATTCACGATGAAATAAAACTAGAATTAAAACCAATCATCCACAAAGCACGAATCTTTAAAACATGTAATAAAAAAAAGACAAAGAAATTGAGGGAAATGAGAGAAAAGGAAGAACTCAGTCCCTTAGATGTTCATAATGAAATGCGATCATTACCGCAATCATTACAGGTCTGCAAAATTGACTCATCACTGTTCTTCTCACTTTATAAATTAAAATAAACAGACATAACTTTAAAAAAAAAACATGTAACTGCTCAAGCTATGCTCCATAATGAGCAGCATCAAACTAGAATTAACAGTAATAACGCTGTAATGATTAGGAAGAATAATATGAAAAAACAAAAGGCAACACGATTGGTATTGCTTCAAGGGAACGAATCGTATGGGAACGAACATATCCGCATAGACTATCTGATGAAGCCAAGAGAGATCGAGATAGACTAAAACCTATCGTTAAGAGAGTTTGAAACCTACTAACAAAGACTCAGAAAAAATCATATATATCGCCGCTGCTAGAGAACCCTTGCCATCGACTTCTGATTAGAGATAGTGATTCGCTTTCGTATATAAAGAGCGGGTAGACGTTAAAACAGTTGCGGATCTTCGCTGCTATTAACAAAACCCTAAAAGGCTTTTTTTATCAGAGCCCATTGGAGTGTATTATATTTTACAAGCCTTAATATGTTTTAAACCCGGAGAAGTTCATGTCGCCGGTGCCGCACAACCTCTGTTCCTTTTTCTATCTTTGTTAATTGGGTGTTACATCGTCGCTTCAAAAGTTTTGGATCCTAAAATATAAGTAGCTACCACAATTCCACACCTTTACGTTGGTATATTTGGAAAGCAAAATAACTTTTTAATGGAAAAGACTATTTTCAATGGACATTCTTCAATATACAAATATAAGTAGCTACCACAATTCCACACCTTTAAGTTGGTATATTTGGAAGGTAAAAAAACATTTTAATAGAAAAGACGTATTTTCGATGGACACTCTTCAATATACGTCTCTTGAGGTAGAATGTTGATGGAAGACAAACGAAAAAAAAGGAAGTAAATGAGGATCATGAGGTATCTCATAGTTCAGAGTCTTCTAGGATCTCTCAAACTCCTACATGCCAAATTGATGCATCATGGATCGATAATGTTAGTGTCAATGGCTTAGGATGGAGTCTCAAGGATCAAATGGATTATGAATGGTTCGTATTACGGACATGTAGAAGGAGCCTATCAGCTCTGCATGCCGAGATGGAAGACCTACTGTGGGCAATCTCATGTATGAGAGATTTGAGGATGATTTCGTTATGGATTGAGACGGATTGTACGGATCTAGTGTACATGTCTAGTAGACCGGAGGACTGGCCGGCTTTCGTGAAGAGATCGAGGTGTTTCAACGACTACGGGAAGATTTCGAGGATGTGAATCTGTCTCATATTATGTGGAGTAGAAATAGAAGAGCGGATGCACTAACTAAAGAAACAAGAAGTAGAGATTATACATTTTTCATATAGATCAGATCCGATCAGACAGAGTTTCTCCTCGGAGAATCGATTTATAGTAAATGGACAGCTGCCAAAAAAAAAAAAAAAAAGTATAAGTGGCTTTATGTCAATTTTATTGATTACTATCTAGTGCGAGATAGTATTATTCTAGCATCCAAACAAACAAGGCATATATATTTGTCTAACTTGGATCGGGTTTGGTTACTTGGTCGGTCTTCTGACTCTGTTGATGATCATCTGAGATTGAAATTGTTGGTCATGGAGAAAGCGCAATTGATACTGTTGGGTTTACCAATATTCTTATTTTGTTCGGATTTATTCAACCTATTCACTCCTCCGCCTCCGAAACCTCCGCATCACCTTCCTCATCAGCCACCACCGCATGTTGTCCCTCACCAGCAGCGTGTCATATCCGAAACTCTAGATTTCCCTTCTCAGGTGAAGATTCGATTCTAGTGTATTGTTTGTTTGTGATCTCTCTGCACTTATGAACCTTGTTGCTCTATTTGCAGAAAGCAAGTGGCTTGGGAGCAGTTGGATATGGAAACACCGTGGAGATCAACTTCTGCGTCTCCTGTTCTTTCAAGTAACTTTTAATTTGATTTAATTCATTGTTTTCTTATTTGTTTTTGTGTAAACGTTGCTTCTTGTAATTTTGCACTAGTCTAGTCATGGACTCTGTACACTGCATCAGGCGTAGCTATAGTTAGATACATGAATGCCCAATTAAATTTCGATACGTTTCACTGTCTTCAAGTAGTTAAGTAGTTACCTTTAGGCAGTTTCGTTGTCTTTAACAAATAAAGTCACTGCCTTTAAGATGTGTTGGGGATAAAATTTTCTCTGGGGATATTTCTTAGATGTAATTAATATAACTTGAAAATTCCCTGATTTTTGTTTCTTATGCATGAATGCTAAAACTACATGACATGTTGGTTATATGTTTATTTAGTTGTAACACTTTTGACACATCAGATTCCTATTTTCTGTTGATGTTATATGTTAGAAGCTGATACCTTTTGAACTTCTCTAGCTTTTATCAGTGTGTGACTGCTGTTCTGTACATTTGAAAAAGCTTAATTTTTAATTTGCAGGGGAACTGCAGTGACCATGAAGAAGATGTTAGAGACGGAGTTCCCAGGTTTGGACGTGATCCTCGCGAACTACCCAGCACCAACACCAAAACGCCTACTAGCTAAGGCTGTACCAGTTGTTCAGATGGGAGTTATTGGTATGATAGTTGCAGGTGATCGTGTCTTTCCCATGATTGGAATTACCCAGCCACCTGCTTGGTTCAACTCCTTGAGGGCCAATAGATTTGGATCCATGGCCTCCACTTGGCTTGTTGGAAACTTTCTGCAGTCTTACCTTCAAAGCTCAGGAGCCTTTGAAGTTCTCTTCAACGGTGAACTGGTTAGTAGTATTAACTTACACTTATCAATTTTTCAAGATGATTTCCACATTTGTTAAAAAGTTTGTACCGTCTGGTGGTTCTGTTTGCAGGTGTTTTCTAAATTGAAAGAAGGTAGATTCCCGGGAGAGATCGAGCTGAGAGATCTCATCAGTAAAAAGTTGACAAGACCGAGCATCGTCTCAGGTAGTTACTGAAGAGCAGTATCATCAGCAGACAGATAGTGTCGATATGAAAAGGTATATAGAGAAGGTGTAACCTTCCTTTCCACAAGTAGTGTTTCGATCTCTTATGCTTAAAAAGCTGCTGATGTAGCATTCACTTGGTTTAACAAGCTTTTTACTCTTTGATTCAATTATTTTTAGTTGCAACAGATGATTTTATTCATAACCCCTCTTCAAGGAACTTTATTTATAAGAAATTGTGTGGAAATTATACAAGACACACATATTGATATCAATATACATAATGGAGAAAGATGTATACACTGAGAATTTCATTTCATCTCAGACAAACTGAACATGTGTAACTGAAAGTTCTCGTTTCTTCTTCAGTTATTTTTTTTTGGAGGTTTACGCCGAACATGATAATCATCGACGCTCACCATCAACGACCTCCTTTCGCTTCCAATCTTCCGAACACCTAATCAAAGGAAACGAAATCAATCATAGATCCAGAAACAGATTGAATAGAACCAACAAAAACGAAAGAGAAGAGAGCCAAACCTGAAACAGAAACGGAACTTGGGGATGAAGATGTAACTGTAAGCGTCAACATGAGAAGAAACACAACAACAAGACGAAGTACAAAATTCATCTCTCTCTCTCTTTTGTAAGAGCTTTGTTTTTTTTTTTTGTTATGAAAAGGAATCTTAAGAAACCTTCTCTTATATAGAGTTGTGTCGTGAACGTGTTTATAAAGAAATTATTATTGACTCCATGCTTTGCATGGGAATATTTTCTTTTACAAATATTTTCAAGAACATTAATATTTTTCTTACAAATGTTTCCAAGAACATTATTTTGGATATAATATAAATGGATAGTTGCACACTATTTTGAAGAACACATGAAAAAGGAGAAGCATAATGATTTTCCAAATTTTAGATTTTTTTAACCATTCTATGAAATTATATATCGAGAAAGGTTTCAAAAAATTACCGTGGACAATATATATATATATATATATATATATATATATAAAACAATTGACAAATTAGATTGTTCTTACCTATTATTTATGACAGCCAAGAGGATGCAGTAGATTGAAAAGTAATCTCCTTATTATTGTGTATTGATGTATCAAATATTTGAAAGAACATTGTGTATTGAAAGAACTGCACTGATGTAAACATTATGCACAATCGCTGCTAATATGTATATCTGGTAATGTTGTCTCCCATCATCCATGACAGCATTGATATTGCCTTATCTTCCCCCTAGAGGCTACCACAGTCGTAAATCAATTTTATTTCTGAATATCTGAAAGAGTAAATCTATAGAGAAAAAGTATAACTTGCACACTATATGATCCTTTCGTCGTAAAATAATGGAAACGCATTTACCTTGTATCAAAAGATCTTCTTCTGTATTTGTGTGTGTTTTATCTTTCTTTTTGGTCTATAGATTTATATTATGCTTTAAAATACTTCTAGTTGCAGGAAAACATGTGAATTGATTACTCGTCTTTGCCCTCATTTTAATTATAACTATATAAAGATTCGCGCCTTAGATTACTTTATGGCACCCATAACATTACTTTTTTTTTATGGCACCCATAACATTACTTTACAATTAGGTGTTTGAATATAATTTCACTTCAATTCGATTAAATTATAACCAAAGAACATAAGAAAATACAGAAGAACCAGCTGTATAAACGCATGACTATAAAAATACTGTATTATCTTAGAAAAATGTTACACTTTGATATACTTTACAACTATAGTTTACTTGAACATGAGTAAGATAATCTACAACCTAGTTTTGAATAATTCCACCTATTTGATGTACGACCTTGCTTTGCTTGTATGTGAGAATTGAGAAGTCAATGATCCAAATTAAATAGTTTGGGTGTTTACATAGCCCAAAGGCCAAAGCTGTGATGTTGTGCTTGATTTTATTTCACTGTTGTGTCAGCCATCACAGGTTAGTAGCTAGAGACTACACAGTCTCTACTCCATTATTCATGAATATCAAAGTCAAATCTAGGTAAATGAAGCCTTTTTCTTCTGCTTCTAGTCATTCAGCTGCTCTTACCAGTCAACAGTTTTCGGCAGAGTTCTATTGATAATACGGGACGAGATCATGCTCCAATGTTCCTATCAGTTACATACACCTTGTCTGAAGTAAAGGAGAGTCCCCCATTAGTGTTGGTGTCCACCAACAGTCTTCAAACCCGCTGTTTAGGGTCTCCCGCATTTTAGTATATAAAAGGAATATTAAAAATCTTCTGTTATAGAGTCGTGTCGTGTCCTTCGTGTGTTTTATAAAGCAACGACATGTGAGTGGTTTATTGTGTCTATCAACTGATTTTACCTCTCAAATGTCAATCAATTAAATGTTAACACTTTCTATAATAACAAGGGATATATAAAAGTAGCGAAAGCGGATGCCAAAAAGATTAGGACACATGTCATGGTTTATGTGAACGATGACATGTTTAGACGAACATTCTTTATTTATTTCGGTTTGCAGTTCTTGATTTCTTTTAATTCTAAAGATCGAGTATCCATCCATTCGGTACTTATAAAATTCAGTTCAGTAAAACTTTTTCCAAGTTCAAAATGAGAGGTTACGTGATGAATTTGGGTGATTCTTAAATTAATAGATTCAAAGCGAAAGACCACGTGATCAATTTGAGTGTGAGATCAATTAAAAACAATTTTGTTCATATTCACAACATCTTCTTTAGTGATAACTGACTTAATAAAAAAAGTAACTTTGCTATTTTGGTATAAATTTTCCATAATGGCACAATGCAAATTTACTTTAGTGTGAGTTGCCATAATGAAAGCACTTGGTATTTACTATTACTGGACTACAATGATCTCCTTAAACAAATATTATTATCAGCTGTTTGAAATTTAATGAAACTAAAACCACAAATTTAATAATTGTGCTCGTCCACAGTCACTTAGTTTATTGACACAAGAGGCTCCAAGACAAACCGCACGAGCAGTCTCGCGTGCTTGAAGACGTCCCCGACACGATCATGGAGCCGAACGGCACGAAGTCCAGGCCTGATCTCCGACAAAGGAAGACATGTCTGGCCGGCGAAATCGTTCTGACTATTCCGGTCGTGGTCTTTGACTGTGATACACAGAAGAGCTAACTCCGGAACACGCAAGGGGAACTCGAATTCTTCATTCCAAACCGGAAACCATTCGTTTGTATCTGTTTCTGTTCTGTAACTTATTGTGTCTAAAGGTATTCCTGCGATTCTGACCTGAATTTTAAAAAAAAAATTATAGCAGGTAAGGTGACTTCAAGGACAAGTAACCTAATAGGGCTCTTGAAAACTGATTTTTTTTTTGTTTTTTGGTGAGATGCTTCATATGAGTGAGGAACACTAGCCTTTGCGTAGAAATCAGGAGGAGAGTATCGATCAAAATGATCTTGAGAAAAATCCATATTCCATCCTTCTCCATTGTAAATTTTCACCTAATCATACATCACATTCGCATACACAAACACAACGCTAAGAACGTATCTTGCAGTTCAAGAAATGGATGAAAAGGAGACAGAGACAGAACCTTAAGAGTTGTCTTGATCTGGAGATCTTGATTGAAAGGGTCAAAATTTCCACCTCGAGAACCATTAGAGAGCAAAACATCAGGTTTTTTCACATAACCACATCCACCGTTGCCTTTAAACATTCCTTGCATCATCCACAAGAACTTCCCATGACTCTGCGTTTCAAACAAATGTTTAATTATCTATTCCCCACGAAGTATCGTATAGCATTAGATATTTCTAAAACTAAGACTTCATGTTAAATCTCTTAACATCAAAACATCAGGATACCAAAACATTAGATATTTGTATAAACTTTTTTTTGAACAAAGCTTTCATATTTAACACCTATGTTTATAGTGGAGAGTTGAATGTCTTACTTGCATATTGAAGGCAACCATTTGAGCCCCATGAATCCATCCAACAAGAGGATCATAGTTTGATGAGTCAAAACGTGTAGTCTTGGGAAATATTCTCAGAATATTCCTCTGAGTGAACATTACTATATCAGCTCCACGGGTTTTAGCCAGAGTTTCTAGCCACTGCTCGCTCATGCTTAACCGTATAACTCGATTAGGATCCCCATTCAAGCAGTTCTTAAGCCCGCCTTTGCGGTTCCCAGCGTGAATCGAGATCAAGTCTCTGTATTCGACAGCTAGAATCTTCTCATCTTCATCTTGAATCAGTTCTTCAGCATTTACAGATTCAGATGTCGTTGCACCTTGAGAGATATGGGACTGAAGATACTCTTTTGGTGGCTTTGTTGAGATCAAAATCTTGTTCTTGAGTGCTTCTGGTGAAGGAAAACACTTTTTATATTCGTCTCTACATCGAAACAATGTTCCTCCAAAAGTCTTTCTCAGCATCTACAAACATTTAGTTAAAGCAGGTAAGGTGACTTGAACGACAAGTAACATGTTAGGGTTCTTGAAAACTGAACTTCTTTAATGTTTCACCATCAATCAAGCTCAGTGATGTAAATAAGATTTCATGGTTTATCATAATATTACCTTAGCGACTTTCTTCTGAAGATCTGGAGGCAAATGATCTTCTAGGGTAAGTACAACTGGATACTCAGATACCTTAAATGCGTTCTCCTTTACAGCGTTAAGACATTTCTGAAGATCTTCAGTACTTGTTAACGTCCTGTGATCAACAGCAAATCAAATCAAGAAACTGTAATAGACTTTTCTCTAAGGACTAAACTAATGTCATTTTCAGCTCCACTATATTTTTCAATACAAAATAGAGTTTGAAAGAAAAATACTCTAACACTATATATTTCACTCTATAATAGAGTAAAAATAAATTTATTAAATAGAGTAATTAATTATTATTTTTGTTTATTACAATATATATTCACTCTAAAATAGAATAACATTGAACTTCATATTCACTATATAATTGCTTTATTCTTCAGAAAAAATAGAGTGAACCATCAGAGATGGTCTAAGGAGTGATTTAAAGTTAGAGTCAGACCCGCCATGACGAACTTCGGCTTCACTTCCTGAAGGGTTAAGCCATAAATCAAGCTCGATGACACGAACTCCTCTTCTCAAAGCCTTCACAATCGGCTCAGTGCTGCTTCTACTGTTGAATTGATTCCCAGTCAAGTAAGAGTTATGTCCCGTGTACAAGAAGTAATGCGATAAAGGCTGATTCATATCTTGCCAAACCTAAAAACCAAAATCCCATAGAAACAGACACAATTAAAAAATAAAATGATCTTTTATTGTAAACTTTACCTAGCCAGTCTTATAATTTATAATACGATAAAAAAAAAAAACTACTGCTAAAAACTTTACCTCGCCGTGAAGAGGCAATGGAGAGTTGAAATCGCTAAGGAGATAGCGGTAGAATTCTTCAAGATGAAGGCCACTGACGCCGTGATGTTTGAGCATGTTGAATATATCCTTCACGTAGTTTGAATCCGCGTGTGTTTCTCCTTGCACTTGGATCACGAACCTGAGCATATCATCTACAGACATCCTGCCGTTTTGGGAGTAATCGTCGAAAAGTGATTTGATTTCTTGAGGTGGCTCACTTGATTTCACTTTGAAGCTTCTTACACAACAGAAACACACTTTGAACGTTACCTTCATTTTTGTGTGTTTTGTTTCTCCTGTGAGCGTTAATAGAGATGAAACAAAGAGATTTTATGTGCTTGTTGAACACATGTATTCCTCAAGCACTATAAGATATCGTTCCCATGTATTAATAAGGAACCTCTTTTATACTATAAAGAAACTATTCATCGTAAAAAATATATTAAATTTTATTAAAATCTGGACGAGAAATTAAGGTGTTCCGTTGGCTGCCTGAATTGAAGTTAATATTTAAAACCAATTGATCAAAATTAAACGTGGTACAGTGTAGAACCAATGGAAGAGCAACGGGTGGTAAGCTCGCACTTGTTAATTAGTCTGTCACCATATATAATGAAAACTTTATTTATCGTTTACAGCAAATCAGTGATCATTAAAAAAAAGCTTGAGTGTGATTGGTGAGTTTAAGAATAATTAAAGGTATTTAACATTTTCACCAAAAAAAAAGAATAATTAAAGGTGGAGGCATTGAAGAAATCTTGTGGTAAATAGTGAAAGATAAAAGAAAAGTTAAATCCTTGTCCAAAAGAGAAGAAAAGTTGAATCCACAGTAAAATTTTCTTCACAATTTATGAAGAAACAATATATATATATATATATATATATATATATATATATATTGACATCAATAAAAATATTTTATTATTTGTTGAATAGTAACCATTGACGAAATACAATTTATTTATTTTTATTTAGCTAATATAGTATTTTTTGCTCAATTTTTCTTCTATTTTTGAAAATCAATCAAAGCCCTAAGCTACTGTAATTTTGTCAACAGTGTTGTATTTTTTTTTTTTTTGTGACTAAAAGCTTAACAGTTTTGTATTTACTATCGTACACAACTTTTTTTTTTAACACTGAGATAAATTGTTTGGTGAACAAGACATATGTATTTACTATCGTACACAACTTATATTTTATTGTTCATACTTTTAAACCTATTATCAACAATGTTGAAGATGTGACCGTAGTTCCTTTCACACACATAGGATTCGTAAGTTTTGAACTTGTATTTATGCTTGTGGTTTCAGGATTCCTTTCTTTAACTTAACATTCCAGAATTCTTATTTATATTTAGCTAATATAGTATTAGTTGAAATAAGCGCAAGTGAGTAGCTATTTTTCTTGCTCAATTTTTCTTCTATTTTTGAAAATCAATCAGAGCTCTAAGCTACTGTATAATTTTGTCAACAGTATTGTATTTTTTTTTTGACTAAAGGCTTAACAGTATTGTATCGTACACAACTTATATTTTGTTGTTCATACTTTTAAACCTATTATCAACAATGTTGAAGATGTGATTGTAGTTCATTTCACACACAAGGGATTCGTAAGTTTTGAACTTGTATTTCTGCTGGTGGTTTCAGGATTCCTTTTTTTTTTAACAGAACATTCCAGGATTCTTATTGGTTTTCTTCAAATAGTCAAAATGTTTTGGTAACAAACATATCATATGCTTAGAAAAAATTAAGTGCTTTGGATTTATAATTTATTCAAAAGATTATTTAGGAATGCACTTGGTATTATTTAACATTAGTAGTACCATGTTTTGTAAAAAGGAAAACAGTAGTAACCATGTCTACACAATATGGGATCTATTTCCTTTTGTCTTGCATATGTTTGGGTGTTGTTCTCCATTATTGTATGTCGAAGAATATATTGCCTTTTTCTTCACGATGTTGGCTTGTTTAGTCCTAGGGATCTTGTCCTCTAAATCATTCACACATATTATCTCCTAAAAAGTCATTACTCGTTTTGATGCATAATTCGTGTACACATTCAAGTTAAATCTAATCAAACATTTGTCTTCACCCTCAAATTTAAAATAATTAATATCAATAAGTATTATGACCATCAAATTATAACAAAACTTTTATCGAAAGAAAAATTATAGCAAATTTTTTTTGTTAAATTTAATTATTTTAAATTATGGCCTTAATTTTATTTTTATGTAATTTATTATATTTGTGGCCAATTTAAGTACACTGAGCATGTCAAAATAAATTTTATGGCCAGTAGTTTTCTTCTTACAAAAAAAGAGAGAAAACTTGTAAAGGAGTATATTATTGTTCTTGCCTAAGTTGAGTTACATAATCGGGTTAGAACATGAGTATGATGGTAATCAAATCAAAGTGGTACAGTTAGTATATGTGCTCAACTTATAATTGGTAACTTCTTTCGGGTCAAACACTTCTCCGTTCGGACCTTTGTTCATCATAAGGTCCGGCTTTCGCACGTACCCGGATCCACCATTTGGATATAACCTTAACAGCTTCTTCTGTGTGAATCTTTTTTTTTTTGGTCAAACTTCTGTGTGAATCTAGATTATGAATCTAGTGAGCGTAGAGCAAGAAAAAAAACAAACAAAGTGGGTAGATGAATGGGTTATAACAAATATTTAATAGCCCATTACTATTCTAGAAAGAAGTACGGCCCAAAATTTGCAGTTGGGTATTACAGATGGCGGAGTATGATTGGATGTCGACGTGTTCGTTATGCGCAGGTAGAAATAAATAAATATGCAAACAAAAGAAAAAAAAAAAGAAGGTGAGAAACAGTTTTGGAGTGTGGTAGAGATGGCGAGCTCAGTGACGCTGATTCTATGGAGCCTTCTTCTTCTCGGAACCCTAAGCGCTATTCATGTACATTTTCTGATCCCTTTTCCTTCCCACCTTTACGATCTCTTGCAGCAATATCTATGTATTGTTTTGATCTCATGTTTGTGAGGTTTGTTTCCATCATCTCTGTTACTTTCATCACGAGTGGTATACATGTGGTGATTTGGTAATCCAATCTATAATTCTGGATTCAACATCATTGGATTTGTATCTTTGCAGAGAGTTTATTAGTTACTCGTCTGCATGATTGCATCTTATATGTGTTACAAATGTTTATGTAAAAAAATGGGGCTGCTGCTAGCTAGTGATATGTATTTTGATGTATGAATGTTTCAGGCCAAAAAATCAAAGGAAAAGATCACACACAAGGTTTATTTCGATGTCGAAATTAATGGCAAAGAAGCCGGTAATGAATTTATGATGATGGTGCATGTACTATTTGTGCTGCTTTATGTTAAAAAAAAAGACTCCCTTCATCTTTTATGATTTTTTTTTTTGTCCAGGTCGTATTGTCATGGGTCTATTTGGCAAGACAGTCCCCAAAACTGCTGGTAACCTTTTAACCTTCTTGTATCACATTGTTTCTTGTTTGCAGGAGCTTCGCTCTGAGTAAAAGGACTTAACTTTCTGATTTTTTATTTTTTTGTTTATGCAGAGAATTTCCGAGCTTTGTGCACAGGTAAGAGAACAAAATATCTTAATGCCAATTGAATAGTCTATCTTGAAATGGAAAGCTTACCATAAAGCGAATTATCACAGGGGAGAAAGGAGTAGGTAAGAAAGGGAAGGCTTTACATTACAAGGGGAGTTCTTTCCATAGGATCATACCAAGCTTTATGCTCCAGGGAGGTGACTTTACTGATGGAAATGGTATGGGAGGTGAATCTATTTATGGTGAGAAGTTTGCTGATGAGAACTTTAAAATCAAGCATACTGGTCCAGGTTGGTGCCTGCTTCTTCACTATTCTGTGTTCACAACGTCAAATGGCCTAAGTAACCTGGTCAACTGTTTTTTTTCTCTCACAGGGTATCTATCAATGGCAAACGCCGGTGAAGACACCAACGGGTCACAGTTTTTCATCACCACAGTAACAACAAGCTGGTGAGTACATAATCAGTGGGATTTCAAGATACGTTTTTTTTTTCTTCATTTTCTTTTTAAAATGCTGGTGACTTGTGTACAGGTTGGACGGGAGGCACGTAGTGTTCGGGAAGGTAGTGACGGGAATGGACGTTGTGTACAAAATCGAAGCTGAAGGAGATCAGAGTGGAACTCCCAAGAGTAAAGTTGTGATTGTTGACAGTGGTGAGCTTCCTCTTTAACTTAACCTCTCATGGCGTTTTCTCCATCTGATTCTCAATTGCATTGAGCTTGGTGTTTGACACGACTTTTGTTTTTAAAAAACTATCTTAGCCACTAAATAAAGATTCAACCATTGATGCACAGGTGACAGTAGTTGTGTGTTCTAATCTATTATCATTACGTATCTCTATTAGTCCGTAACATAGTCTTCATCATATCCTTTATAAGAATCGTCAGTATTTAAACCAAGTAATTTCTTTATGAAAAATAGATTTACTGTCTTGTGTTGTGACAGCCAAAGTGTTTCATAACTTCTTAGATAACGTGAAAATACAAAAGAGGATGATTAAGGAAGCGAAGTTTTGCTCAGCATTTACTTAATACACAGAGCTAGGATGAGATATAAACAGAGATAATTTTAAGATCTAGAGCTAAAACCTGAGCTAAGTTTTAGTTATAACTTAATCAGAGTCACTCCCTGTGTCTAAGAAACTGAACTCTCTACTACACCCTTCAAGCTTGATAAGCAATGTCCCTCTGTTCTCTTCACAATACCCAACTCCTTCTCTTTCTAGCAGCTTTGTCACCTGATCATCAACAATCCATTATAACTTAACTGCAGTACTTATCTTGGTTTTGTGCACACCAATCAACGGAGGTTGATATATTGGTTCTAGAGTTTGCAAACTATTCAGCTCAAATGTGAAAGGGCGCTGAAGAAACTTACCGATTGTTTCACTTTTGATTTCCCAAACCCATGAGAACCACATCCTGTGATAACACGCAGTGTCTGAACGGCTGGATCATTTAACAATTGTTACAACAAGGAAAGTTATATCTCGGGTTTTATGAAGACAAGACTTGTAACTGAGTTCGGTGAGTACACTTACAAGGGACATATGCTCCGAGTAAGAGATGCATCTTCAATAGCTTCATTGCTTGTTTAACATGTTGACCATGCAGATCTATGGTTATCACATTCTCAAAACCCTTATTTCTGCATAAGTATATATGCAACGATGGCTTAGTCCACACCAAAAAAAAATCGGTGAAAGTATATCAGTATTAAAATCTTTAATGCTCTTAAAACAGCCAACCTCGCAACAAATATATCTTGGCTTGCCCTCTCATCTGCTCGTTGAGCTAATTTAGATGCCACTCTTCCCTAGTAAAAATAAGGACACAAGGTTATGACCACTTCCAATGAACTTGCTTTCATAGCATGAAATATATAGGCCATGAGGTGCACCTTGTCAGAAAGGTAAGCCGCATGAGCTCTCCCTCCTTTCGAATATGCTTCTGCAGCCTTCAACCAAGTGATATATGCATTAGTTGGTGTTCTGTTGAGGAATCCACATGTGCTAGAGATATGGAAGCAAGTAAAACTTACTTTTTGATAGTATGACTTCGTTACATTCCACTGGTCATTTGCACCTTTTCTAAGTTCATGATATCCGTCATCCTTCACTGCAACACATGTATGGATTGATTGGTAATGCAAGTAATGAGTAAGAAAAAAAATTTCAAGCGTTGCGACACAAACAAACAGTCGAGACCTCAGATGTTTTTGCCAATGACACGATAGCAAAAATTGCTTAGTGTTTCATCGGGTAAAACACCAAATATCAGACGCTCTGTGCCTGCAAACTCATGGCAAAATGCGCCTGCCATTTGCAGCGAAATTACGCAGATAGTAAAATCAAGAAACCAAAGTAATATACCAAAAGTATCAGGCTGGGACCCTTCCCCATTAGAGGAAGAAGCATCAACGCCAAGTGATTGCATTTTCTTTGCGACATCTCTCCAACTCATAGTCTTTGGTTCGTGTTTAGTACTCTGGGGAATATTGAACAGAGATTCCAACACCATTTGTGAGAGACAAGACTCAGAACTCTTTTGGCTAGTTGCAAAAGGATCTGCAGAACTCATGAGAACTTTCGCGTAATCCCTACCATGAGAAAAAAAAAAAGCAGGCCATATTTTTTCCACAATGTTGAACAAAAGCAACTATATCGAATCTCAAAAGTAATTTTAAATATCGCCTGCTCATGAATGTAATAGCTTATGATGTACCAATATGTGAACATCAATAACTAGAAGAAGACCTATGAATCAAATAGAAGCACCTTTGAACATAGTCTCCCCAGAATGGTTCACTTTCGGAAGTATCAGTATCATCAAACGATGTCTCCCCCAGCTGCTAAATAATGTCAGGAGATAGCACTTTATTCTGTCAATATATATATATCAAACAGATCTGTGAAGAAAACAAACAAAACGAGTAAACCACTTACACTATCGCTGAATCCTATGCCGGAACATCTACCACTTAATGAATCATCATTAGTTGATGAAGAAGAAGACATGTCAAGCAACACATTCAAGGCCTAAGAAGAACAAAACATCAAACTTCAAAATACATAACCGAGCCAGTATCAGCATATTAATTATACCAATACTGCCCCCAAGTAAGTCTGAAGACAATCTGCTTACCATGTCCACATCGTAGCCACACTGACCTGCAAAAAAGAGAGAGACTTTCAATGTCAAACAACTAACTCTCTTCTCTACTCATCGCACATTCAGTATGTTGATTTAAACTCACAAAGAACATCTCTAACAACAGCCATGCTAAGCTCACAATCATCACCAAGCATCGAAGTTAAAAACTGCTCAGCTTTCTCTCTATCCCCAGCTTTCTTCCCATTCCCTTCAAACCTTTCCATAAAAGGAAACTCTTTCTTCTTCAAGTAATCCTTGGCAATCACGGAAGACACCATCCCAGTAGCAGCAACAACTCTACTCTCCTTCCTTCCCTTCCTCTCTCTCGCCAAATCCTCGCCACAGCTCGAACTCGACCCAGCCCCGTACTCAGAGGTAGACCCGGTCTCCTGACCCGAACTCGTCGTACACACGTCTCCATCGCTATTCTCCACCAGATCCGTCAAAATCTCAGCAGCTCTGTTCAAATCTCCCGCTGCTTCCTTATAAGCAGCCGTAGCTTCCTCCACCGAAACAGAGCAAAACGCCTCCATCAACGAATCCACACGCATCTTCTCTTCCTCCTCCAACTCTTTTGACGTTGCTTCTCCATCACCGGAGGAGGACCTCTTCTTCTTCCTCTTCTGCTCCCTCTTATGCTTCATTATCGATTGAATCGAAAACGACGACGTTCGCAGAATCTAAACCGTCTCTCTGGAGAATTAAAAAAACTGAAATCCCTAATTCCCGACGAAAAGCGTCGTCGTCGGAGAGAGAGAGAGAGAGAGGGAATATAACTGAAAATCAAATCTGGTTTCTATCCTTATAATTAAATAGACGAAGTTTCTCTCAATATCGTAGGACTCGTCTTCCCTATTTGATTGGGAATTCGGAATCTACGTGTTCATCACGCGCTAATGGTGACCACGTTTTTCGCACACGCGCTCACCGACGGTTTGATTCCTCCTTGATTCTTCTACATATCTCGACCCGGTTTATATGAACCAATTAAAATCTGACAACGACAAAAAAAAAAAACGCGCGACCGTGATTTTTTGTTAATTGACTTTTACAAGTTTCAACTGAGATTTTTTGACCAATTGAAGAAGGGGAGAAAATACAAAAGTAATTACTTTCTTTGATTTATTTGAGCTTAAGTTGCATATTGATTTAACTTAATAGGACTAGAAAAAATTTGCAACATGAAATATATCTAAAAATACAATATTAAATATTATATATAGTGTGTATCTAGTATCTGGTTATGTTTAAATATAAGATATAGTATGTAGAGAAATATTATTATTTTTTAATTTATACTATATTCTAACATTTTAATATCGATATAAAATCAATAATCTGTTTGCCTAATAAAAATATGAATTATTTATTTTTATATGTTAGATCTCATTAGATAATTTGACATTTTCAATCACTTAAAAATGGAAATTAATTGAAAAAATAACTTGCTAACAAAACTCTTACAGTGGCGACCACAAAAGAGCGTCTCAAGACGCTAGGCATCACGTTTATAGACAAAACAAATTTCCAAAATTCATCAACGTGGAAGCTTACGTAACTCAGAAGCGCGTTGTTAGTAATTAAGGTGCTTCAAAGATTCAATCATCAACGGTCACATGAGTGGCCATTGACCAATAATTTTGGTTGAAGTGAAAAGTCTTGAAACCGTGCTGGACTTAGACGCGCCGTAATGATCATATGAGTGACAGTGACCATTACATTGCTTCTCTGCACCTCATCCTTTACCTTCTGCATATTGGAGAAAGACAACGCATAGGGAACACATGAAAACATGAAAATAGCATATGAAAGTGCTGAATCTTGGGTTTCAATATATTGATTACAAGTAAGCTACAAGATGCAACTGCTACTGTCCCGTATCTGTTGATTCAGGATTCGTACAAGATGCAATATATCGTTACTCTCACATCGTGCAACTCAAAAACTAAGAGAGCCCTTATTAAAACGTGTTTGGCAAGCTCTCGTACCTAGAAAACCTAAGGAATCATTCATGTGCCATATCAAAAATCAAAGGTCGATCTAAATAAATAAAACGTATGGATATTTTTGATATGAAAAATCTAGTAAAACTAGTACTTATTAATAATCTAAAGAGAAATACTGAATCAACTTGGTTGCTTCTTCAACTTGGCCTTTTCCTCTGACATGGTTAGCTTAAGTTCTTTTATGTAAAATTTTTCATCATCATTTAAATAATTGTCATACACAAATTAAATGTGAAAATGCTCATAAATTTAAAATATTTAGTAATAAATTAATATCATTTGCTCAGTGCATTTCCGAGTTGTTAAGAACACGGTTAGACAAAAAGTAAGCAATTTCATCACCAAAGTAAGACAGGCACTAGAGGGTACACTTTAGGGTAACTACGCGTACTGTTTTTCCATCAGCATAGCAGATTCGCTACTTTGAGAGAGACACAATAAACAAAGATAAGAGAGCTTGAACAAATAAAACTCTTAAAATGTGATTAGACCTAGCTCGCCCAGTCCGGTTCATATGTGGCAAAGTAATTATATATTGACATTAGATTCATTATATCAAGTAGGTGGTGCCCAAGATGATAGCCTTGGAGAAGAAGTAAAAGAAAACTAGAAAAAGCAGAAACAATATTAAATTAACGAAGACTTTACGCATTCTCACCTCTTGTTGAAACCTCTGCAGCATGAGGCGCTTCTGTTCCAGATCAGTGGCGTAAGGATCCAACTGACCCTGTCCTAGAATGGGCGATGGCCATGTCTGCCCTTTCTCCCTCTTTTACAGGATAATGTGCATTATTATATCATCCTATGCAACAATCAAATACAAAAGTTCATAGTAGCAACCATCAGATGCTGAGAGTAACCAAAGAAAAATAAAACACTGAAAACAAGAAACATGGAGTGACAGAATCAATCAATGTAACTTCATACTCTTTGTTGCACAACATCCCAACTCTGATGTTCAACATTGAGATAAGGAGGATTGCCTTTGAGCAATCTGTTTATCCTATTATACCATTAATGCATTTAAGATGGTCCATTAATACCCATGGACTATTAAGAGATAGTTACGGTAATAGACACAATAAGAAGTTTGTTATCACTAAAAGACACAATGTCTATATGACACACTTTCTTTGGACACCTGTCTTTTTTATGACAGAAATAACCTCTTTTACCTATAGAGAAATATATTGGAATTAAGGAGGTAAGGAAAAAGTTTGAGCTTTGTTAACTCAACTATCTCAGCTACAATAAATGATAAAGTAAAACTAGGTGTATGGGGGGAAATTAATTGTTTTTGGACGGTGGATCTGATTAAAAGCACAAGATCTAATGGCTAGAATATGTGGGTAAGTGTGTGTTGAGAACTGTCGGTTGTAGACGTGATCTTGTGGATGTGATCTTGTGGACGGATATACATATTTTGTGGTGTATGTTTGGTGGATAGGATATGATCATGTAAAAAAGGTTTTGTGGATGAATGTTTATGAACAAAGTTTTATGGATGAACTATGACCATCTATTTTATGAAGAGATGTAGATAGCAAACGTAAATATATATAAATAAGTCATAGGTTTGGTAATCTTTTAAGGTTCATCAATGAATTTTCATGGATAACAATTTGTGAACGAGATTACGTGGATGGAATTATGTGGACGAGATTGCATGGACAAGAATCCTATTCTTACATAGTTTCAATATAAAAAACTTACATTACAATATCGTGCACAAGATTCTTGATCCTATGAGTTTGATTCCTAACCCAGATGAGAAGACTTTGACCTAGCTACAAACTTGTATGTGAAAACAGCAATTCATGTGATTTGTGCATAAGTAAAAGAGGAAGATAAAAAAGAATAAACATGTGATCTTATAAGAGTTTTTCAATCACCAACTGAGAACTTTAGAAAGCAGAGCAAAAACAAATGGATCTCAATTAAAGTATAAGACTTTACTTTCAATTCTGGAAAAAAACTACGTTGATGAGGAGAAAGAGACTACGACGAACTCAAGCTCATCCACATCGATGGATTACCTCGGCCTCATCCATGTCAGAAATTCCAAGATCATCCATGGGAAATCACGAGTTCATCCACACCGAAACTCCACCACAGCTTCCTGAACTCACTCATGGTGACTTGGGATCTCACCCAACTCTCATGTCCACAACCACTACATCCACACAACTATCATCCACATCAATTACATTCACACATCCTCTGTCCACAGCAGTCACATCCACACCTCACATATCCTCGACAACGATAATCGCTTCTTCCTCCCTCTCCCAAGATACTCTCTTCTGAAACTACGGTGTTGGATTTCTTGTCGTGTTTTCGATTCATCTCAATGGAGAGAGATGCGACGGGTTATCGAGACAGACGACGATGAAAGAAAGAAAAAACAAGCAAGTCTAGGGTTCTGTTTTTGGATCTAGATGATATGAACTTTTTGGATCTGAAGAGATAAGAAAAGAGATAAGGTCGTTTTCTCTTTTTATTTTTTTTAAACAAATTGAAAGTTAACTTAATAAAAAGGAACCATAAAAGTTTAACTAAAGAGATTATTGTCTAGTTAGAGGACATCTTAGTAAATAGACAAGAAGAATGTGTGTCATCTAGCATAAGTGTCTTTTAGTGTAATTAGAAATTGAAAATGTGTCCTCCAGAGTAAATATTTCGACTATTAAATCCGGTAAATTTAGAGACATTATAAGGCGTACATGAAGGAAAACCTAAGAGATGCCTAATTAAACTGTGTTTGGCAAGCTCTCTTTTAGGGCTGGGCAATTGGGTGACCATTCGATTCTAATCGGGTTTCCGGTTTAAGTTTCTAACCTAAAATCAATGAAAATTCACTTGTTTTTTATAATGAAAAAGTCTGTATATTTTTGAACAAAAATACTACTAAACACAATAGAAGCTGTTGGTAGAAGAAACAACAAAAGGAAAGCTATCAAAGCTCAAAGAAAACTACAAATCATATTTTAAGCAGTCGATGGACTTTTTATGTCCCTAGGCAAAAGCAATTCTCCAAAAGATTCCAGAACGAACGAGGATTCAGCTTGGCCTCCTCGTTTTTTAATTCCGCTTTGAGACCAGAAATGGCACCCTCATGTTTCTTGACCTCTTGTTTGAGTTCCACAATCCGAGCTTCACAAGCATCACGTTTCTTCCTCGCCAAGTAAGCCATCTCGAGCTTTGACCACAACCATTCCAACTTAAAACCGGCTTGCGTCAGATAAGCCAATTTATCCGAAGTTCTGCTTAGTTGAGAATCAGAGAGCGGTCTCTCGTGGCCAAGTATCCGAATGGCATCCAAGAGAACGTTCATATAGTATGTTCTGAGCTTTGGGTCCTGAGATTGAACATTGAGTGCAGTTTCTGGGTATGTCTTAAAAATCCACCGGACTATATTCTCATACCCCAACTCAACTACGAAGCCGTTGATATTTGTCGAGCCAATTAAGTCGCCGTCGGAATTTGAAGAACTATTTCTTCGGAGCTGTTGCATAATAATAATCATAAGGGCAGCACTCATGGTGAGATCTTATAAAAAAAGAAAAATTGTTAAAGAGTTTTGCTTCGTGATATGTTCAATCAGGTATAGCCTTCCCTTTATATAGGCAGCTAAAGACCGACAATTTACTTCTAAATCTCTAAAGATAAAATTCGAATCTTATTAGTGAATCGTTTAGATTTAAAAAAATGAAAGCTTGCTTTGACAAAAAAAAAGGAAACTCATTGGCAGAAAAAAAAAAGGAAACTTGCTAATAAAACAAAAACAAAATCGAGTTCTAGGAGACAATAAAACAAAAAGAAGAATATAATTAAACAGAGACGAAACAAAATAATAACAGATCCCGTACTTGTGACAGACAATAATAACAAGAGAGCTTGAACAAAGAAAACCCTAATATGTGATATTATTAGGTATGGCTTGCGCGCGCGATACGATTCATATATGGCAAAGTAATTATATTTTGCCTTGTTCGGAAACTCGCTAGGTGCTACGCGTGCGGCACATCAACGCCTAGCGATTTTTTGAAAAAGCGGGAAAAAATCGGAGAGTACTCGGAGAAGAATTTTTTGTACTTTTATACGTATAATACTATATTTATACATATAAATTAATATTTTAAGCTGTAGTTGATATCTATTTAAAATTTAAAAATTATTAAACAAAAATATAATACAATTTTCGTGATATGATTTTTTTATTATAGATATATTACATTAAAATGTGAAAAATGCATAATTATAGTTTAATTGTTTAAGTGGACCTCTATTATGATAAATAATTGGGCATGTGATAAAAATATCAACAAGTACTTCAACGCACGTGGTTTTCTTCTTCCTTTGATGAATAATAAAACCAAAAACCATCCGAGTCACCACCTATTACTCGCCGCCTTTTATATTTACACGGCTCAGGCGGACTCAACTCGGACCACCGCCTAATCTTGCCGATCAGCCCTAACTCGCCGCGCTCTGCATCCGATCCACGTTTTTTCGTCCGCGTAATCGGTGAACGGCCGACTTTTAGAACAAGGATATTTTGACATAGTATTTCATTCTACCAAGTAGGTGGTCACCAACCAAGATAGCCTTCGAGAAAAACTAGAAAAAGCAGAACAATATTAAATTAAAGAAGACTTTACGCATGAGACGCTTCTGTTCCAGATCAGTGGCGTAAGGGAAAAAAGAACCAGACATTGAGATAAGGAGGGTTGCCTTTGATGCCAACTTCGAGATGTTTCGACTGGATTCTGCAGTGGAACGCCTTTGGATGAACATTGGGACGTAAGGTTATGTATAAGTTCACTTCGTCAAGGGTTTGATCCCACTCAAACACCTTTTGCCTTATTTACATCATCTCAAATCCAAAACCATAGTCGATCAAAAGGAGATCAGACAGCAGTGACATAAACAGAGAGAGCAGGGGAGAGAAGAGGAGAGAACCGTTGTGAATGAAATCATGGCGCTAGCTTCTCCGCCATCGCCGTTCCCGGCGAAATTAATCCCCGTCGGGAATAAACGATTGTAGTTGTCAAAGGTTATAGGCCCAAAACAAAGCCCATTTAAAAAGACCACTAAGTAAGCCCAATCGCAATAGTGTAATTGGTTTAATGATATAAATTGAGCTAGTGGATGATTTAACTCAATTAATCGAATCCAAACTAAAATTATAAAAACTTTAAATTTGGAGTAAAACACTTAACGACCGAACCTTTTTGATCCAGTAATTTAATTGAAAGATTATCAATGCTTTTACACAAATATTTGAATTTCAAATAAAACATAATATATCAATACTTATTTTAGATTTGAGATTTTTTAAAAATTATATTTTTATAAAAGTTGGTCTCTTTATCGAATAGTGATACTAGCTCACTAATCATACATGTGTCAAACTGATAAGTAGAACTCGAAATATTTTATTTCGTACAACCATAAGCTATTAATGACAAGTGGCAACCTTCTAATGGAAACTGACGAAAAACCATGGGTAGTGCCCAAAACAAGATAGTAAACCCACTATCGAAAATAAGGGCATAGCTGTCAATTTAGTTCCAATTCGCGACTTTTCTCGAAAAAGCAACTTCGAGAAACGTAACCGATTAGCGCTAAATAAGAGAAGATAATATTTACAAAAACACCACTTTTCCTTTTTTGTTTTTGTTTCTCTCTCTTCATTAATGTTAAAAACTTTGATCATCGGATTGGGTTTAAAACATTGAAATCTTTTTTCCTTTTTATGGTATTGATTTGAGAACCAGTGTCAGCTTTCTTTCGATCCTCTTCTATTTGTTCGTTTGATGGGAGTTATTATTTCCCGGGAAAAAAATCACTTTTTGCCATGGCTGCTAAACTGTCTTTCAAGGACTCTCTTAAAGCTCTTGAAGCCGATATTCAACACGCTAATACTCTGTAAAACCCCTCTATTCCTCTGTTTTTTCTGTCTGATTAATAAAGTCTCAATCTTTTTCTGCTTTTTAGCTGTGTTTATTAGTTTGTGTCAGGTCCAAGCTATGTTATGACTTCTGGGTGTTAGTTGATCTCTTTTTTTTTACTTTTCCTCTGTTTGGTTTTGCATGTAAGAGTTCCTTCTTCTTTGAATTGCAATCTGTAAAGATCTTTCAGTTTTATGTTGAACTTGATTAGGTCCACTTGTGGGGTTTATGTGGTGGAGCAATTGTACTCTTTTATTGTATTCAGTTTGATCATTAAGTTTTAGGGTTTTTGTAGATAATAACTGTTTTAGCTCATAGTGACTTCAGTTGTGTCTTTGGATTCTTGTTATTAGCTAAGTTGACTTGTAGCTGAACACGTCAGTGACTTCTTTAGCTGAATCATTTAATGTTTTATCAGAACGGATCAGTGTCTGAGCTGCATCAGCTTTAGTTCTGTGTAGCGTTATATCAATGTATAGCTAACTAGCTCTACATGCATACTTGAATCTTTTTGATGCTTTGACCAAATATACATCAATAAATTAGTGGTGATGCTAATGACCCTTTTTTTCCTTCTCTTTCCCAAAATGAATCAACAGAGCTTTGGATTACCCTCGGGAGAAGGACGGAGCACGTGTTCAGATGAGATTATCTTACAGCCCTTCTGCTCAGTTCTTTCTTTTTCTTGTTCAGTGGACTGATTGTCACCTCGCTGGTGCCCTCGGCTTGCTCAGAGTCCTTATCTATATGGTACATTCTCCTCTCCTTTTGTTTCACTACATTTCACCATACTCTACTTCTTGATTGTTTGATTAACTCGTTGAGCTATGTCTTGGTTCAGACTTATGCAGATGGGAAAACCACAATGTCTGTTTACGAAAGAAAAGCCACTATCAGAGAGTTCTACGGTATAATTTTTACTTTTCACCAGTGTAAGGTTGATATAGTCTATGCTTATGTGTCTTCTTTTCTATCGTAGCTGTTATATTCCCGTCCTTGCTGCAACTACAAAGGGGAATCACAGACCTAGAAGACCGCAAGCAAAAAGAGATCTGCAATATGAGATACAGAAAGAAGGATGAGAGCAAAAACTGTGAACTCTCGGAAATTGAGATGGAGAGGGAAGAAGAGTGTGGAATCTGTATGGAGATGAACAGCTTGGTCGCTCTGCCTAACTGTACTCATTCTCTGTGCATCAAATGCTATCGTGATTGGTAAGTCAACTAAAGAGCTTCTCACATTTTGTTTGAAGTGTTCTGTTTTCTGAAGAAAGGGTAATGTTTATTCTTAGGAGAGGGAGGTCACAGTCATGTCCTTTCTGTAGAGACAGCCTTAAGAGAGTGGATTCAGGTGATCTATGGGTGTTCTTGGAGAATACAGATACAGTGAATCCCTCTGTGATTGCTAGAGAGAATCAGAGAAGGTTGTTTGTGTATATTGAGAAGTTACCACTGGTGGTTCCAGATCAAGCGTTTGCATCTTCTCCTTACGATTGTCATGTGAAGTGAAATAAGAAGAAAAAGGTGTAAACCGGTTCTGGTGAAATCTTTACTTTGTATATTTTCTGAATTTGAATTCGTGGGAGGGAAGAGGACTCCTTTTGTCTATTTATTAGAAGTTAGCCAGAAGATGTAGTAGTAGTAGTTGTTGTCTTCTTAAACTCTGTTTCTTGGGAAAGTTCCACTTACTAGGTGCTTTTTGTGCATTTTTCTGTGGCCTTACCTTCACTTATTTACAAATATAAAAACCTTCTCTTCAAGAGGAAGAGTTTGTTCACAGTTAATCTACTCTTTGTTTATTGCCTGTTCAAGTATTAAGATCAGAGAATGTGGACTACAAAACGATGGTGTTAAAAAGAACTGTTATAGCTCTTCTACTAAAAATTGTAAAAAGTATGGTTAAAGCTATTTTCTTCTCTAGCTTCTACCTAAACAAAATCTTCTATAGTTTAGATTAGCCAAGAGAAGAGGCTTTGGAGCTTTAAGACTTGTTGTCATTTCACATCCTAATACATGAGCTGCATAAATCCATGAGCCATACGATGGGATCATCTTATATATCTGAGGAAATAATACTCTAGCCTTTTATCCATAGTTACGTTAATCGATGAGAATAAACATTAATCACAGTACCTGTACATGTTTTTTGAAGAAAAATATAGTAAGAAAGGACAACACCCAAATCATAGCTTTATTAAGCAAACATTAGTTAGAAAGTATATCTTTTGCATTTTTTGTAAGAACATAAAAAACAAAGTATTTCATTTACATTAAAGGGTATAGTTATAAGCAAAATATTATTGAAAATTTATATTTGGAGTACGTTACTCAAAAGCAATTAGCTGAAGCAATTGTAGTCAACTAATCATTAATTCCTTGCATGATATATTCCATGTTTTCAATTTGACGGCATTTAGATTAACATTGAAGGGTCTCTCCATCTACTACTTCTGCAGTTACAAATTTACATAAATAAAATTTCGATTACTATTGATAGTCTTTTCGTGGATATAAATAATTGAATAAATGATTACACTATTAGCTAAAGATTAACACACTAATCCCTCCCGCCTTTTTTATTCCTCCTTTTTAACTACCATTTAGCTAGAGAAATGAAACTCAAAAGTTACAATTTTTTAATTAGCATTTGACTTTTGACTAACCATTTTGACTAACTTCTGTATGCCATTTAGCATATTACACGGTCTTGATCACAACATTATTATCAGCCTTTGCTATTTAGACATTATCTTTCTTTTTTTATCATTAAGTGAGAATGTGTTGCTTATATTGCAAAATGAAAATAAAGTCTGACAAAAATTCATGTGTTTGGAGAAAATATTGGATACTTTTCTATAAACAAATTTTAAACAATAATGGTGCGTATAAAATATATATGTAATAATAGGAATGATTTTGGAGAAATATCAAATTTGAAAATTTAGTGACTAATAGGCATGGATAAATATAGTAATCAATTCAATATAAATATTCTGTTGTTTTTCTTGATAAGCTTTTTTTTATTTTTTAACTCAAAAATTTATTTTTTATTGTTTTTTTTTTGGTATAAACTACCAAAAAGAAAAACTCAAGAGCTGTAACGTTAATTTATATTCTAAAGAAAATATCAGAATTAATGGAATTTAATGTCTCATTGAGATTATATAGCAACTCACTAACTTTATTCTTTGTTACTAGCTAAAGTCACTCCTTCTTTGCGTTCACCTCTCCATTCTATTAATCATTTCTCTCTTTTTTTTTCATGGAGCACCGACGCATTGCCCACGGAGCTGCGCCTCCGTTGACCGCTGTGGAGAGATTCTTATACGGCCAAAACAATGATGCCTTGTGTTCCAAGAAACAAAAGGTTCCTAGAGACCGAAACCCACCGATCGTGAAAAGGACAGTGGTGACTGAGATTGTAAACGACAACAAAGAGAACACAACGTTTGGTCCAAAGAAGGAGAAACACTTGGTCGTTCATGGCCGAAGCCCTATTGGAAACATGATCGTTAAAGATAAAACCACGAAGAAGCGACCATACAAGAATCTTATCAAAGGGCAATGGACATCAGAAGAAGACAGGTATATATACTCATATATATAATATCTTTTATGTTTTTTTACATAGATTGATTCATGCATCCGTCTATATGAAAATCTGTGTTTATGGTTATGCTTTTGTAATAAAACACGAACATATATTTGTATAGGAAGTTGATTAGGTTGGTGAGGCAACATGGGGAGAGAAAATGGGCAATAGTCTCGGAGAGACTTGAGGGAAGAGCAGGCAAACAATGTCGTGAGAGATGGCATAATCATCTCCGTCCTGATATCAAAGTTTTTTTTCTAATATCTCTCTATATATAATATAGTTTTTTGGATTTATTCATAACATATAGTGTTTCCTAGATCTAGGGTTCTAACATGAGTCTCTCTTTATGTTTTTTTTTTGTCGATTGTGTGTTTTCTAGAAAGATGGATGGAGCGAAGAAGAAGAGAGGGTTCTTGTAGATGCACACACAAGAATCGGGAACAAGTGGGCAGAGATCGCTAAACTCATACCAGGACGAACCGAAAACTCCATCAAGAACCATTGGAACGCTACTAAACGACGCCAAAACTCAAAACGCGAAAAGAAACGTCAAGCAAACGCCGATAACAATGATAGCGATCTCTCTCCAGCACCTAAGAGGCCATGTATTCTCCAAGACTACATCAAAAGCATCGACAACAATAACAAGGACAATGACGATAACAAGAATGATAACTCCATCAGTGTTATTTCTACACCGAATCCTGATCAGATCTATTCTGATGGAGACTCCGCATCGTCAGTCCTTGGTGATCCATATGACGAAGAGCTGGTTTACCTACAAAACATCTTTGAAAACCACCCGGCTTCTCTTGACAACATAGGTCTGAGCCAAACATCATATGAGGTGAACCAGCTGTCTTCATCATCTGAGCTCATGATCAAGAACCCTAACCCTAACCCTAACTCACACAACGTTGTTCAGAGTCAGCATCAAGATCAGGGGATGGTTTATGTTCCTACGAACACTCCCCACCTTGCGTCTGATGTCTACTTGTCTTACTTGTTGAACGGTACGACGCCGTCCTACGCCAACCAATATTTTCCTTCTTCCTCATGTTCCACGTCATCCACCACCGTAGAGCAGGGAGCCCATTGTGAGTTTCTTGTGCCTCAAGCTGACTCTACAAGCGAAAAAAGAGATATGGATCTGATAGAGATGATCTGTGCTTCTACTCAAGGGAGCAACATCTCCTTCTTCTAGCTACCAGCATGATCATGTGATACTATGAGATCATCATTATGATCATTCTCTATCTTCCCTTCCTTTGTTTGATGATTTATTTTCTTAAAACATTCCATAGATCATAAGATACAAGCTTATTTTCGTATCAAAATAACTAGGGTAAAGCCTCAGTTCAAAAGAATAATAATAATTAGGGTTTGTTGTCGAATACTTTCTTCGTTTTATTATTTAGTCATCTTTTTTTTTCTTTTCATTTTAAGTTATGTTGTTTAAGTTATTCACTGGTTGTTTAGTTAGAGATTTACTGCTAAATTGATTCCCACTTACGTTACAAAATTGTTATTAATCTAAATTAAGTCCACTAAATTCAATTAAAAGTGTAACCACTAAACTTTTATTCAAAAAGAGTTGAGCAAACTCAAACAAACAAAGGTACAGAAAATGCATATATTATAATACGATCTTGCAATGGAGTAAAACAAACGAAATTAAAAGTAGGTTGCTTACAACAATTTAAAATTCAAATGACAAACATATTCTCCAACCTCAAACATATTATCCTTAACATTAATCACGCACTGACCACCTCACCACGAGGTTGCAAGTAGACATGTAGCCCATTCTTCATGAAGAGCGACAGCGACATCTTCTGCTCCACGCGGTGACCGGGAACTGGAAACAGACGGTAACGGAGGAGAACGGCTGAAGCCACCGACTTCATTTGGAGATAAGCCAAGTCTTTGCCCAAACAAGTCCTTGGTCCGGCGTTAAACGCTACGAACTTGTAACCATCATTTGGAGTCTCGAACCGGTCACCTTCGGCCGTGAGCCACCGTTCTGGACGGAACTCGAGACAATCTTGGCCCCAAATAGTTTTCATTCGTCCGATCGAGTAAATTGAGTAGGTCACCGTCGAGCCTCTTGGCACAAAAGTCCCGTCAGGCAAAACGTCGTCGGCGACGACGTACTTGAAATCCTGCATGGTCATTTGGAACGTTACTAATTAATACGATATGAGTGACAAAAACAGCTAAAATAAATAAAATGATTGTTTTGTGTCAAATTTTGACATGTTCTTTTGGTAAACAATAAATCAAATTAAGTAATAGTTAAATGGAAATATTATAACCGTCATTTGATAGTACTAGCTAGCGGCCAAATATATATTAAGAAAAATAAAATATTTGAATTGTGATATTCAGCTTAAAAAGAAAATTAATATTCAGCTTAAGAAAAATTAATTGAATGAACTAGCCAATTTTAGAGATTTATTTCAGGAACTTTTGTGAAACTTAGCATGTATATATTTAGAAACATATCAATATTTACGTAGTAATGAATTATGACTACGTAAATTTTACGTGTCTCTCCTGGCCATATGCGTTACGAATAATATTCCCATGAACGAAATAATCAAAATTAAATTGTATTTTCACCTGAGGCACAGAAGGGTATAAACGCAGCGTTTCAGCCAAAGCAGCTTTAAGGTAGACGAGCCTATCTGCCTCGTCGAACTCCAACGGCTCCTCCGTCCACTTTCCCTGATCACTACCACGTGTCTCCTTCAGAACCGTCGATAACTCATCAACAATCTTCTTCTCCACCTCAGGATTATTCATGACGAGCCAAAAGAACCAGCTCAGAGCCACTGAAGAAGTGTCACGACCCGCAAGAACAAAGTTAAGCGCGATACGCTGAAGAACATCCGTGGCAAGCACGTTACCGTTAGAGTCACGTTTCTTCAAGAAACGCGACAAAAGATCATCGGAAGGAGAGTTTTTCCGAGCGTCGATGGCATCGTTCATGTAAGTCTCAACGATCTTAAGGCTCTTCTTGAGCTTATCCTCCGAACCAATCCCCATGGCTTTCTGAATCCTCCACAAGAAACCGGTGTAGAGAAGCCTCTTCAGAGTAGCCTCAGTCGCGGTGTCAAACGCGACTGAGAACGGGTTCACGGGAAGATCCGGAGATAGAGTCTCCGGATCTTTCCCAAAAGTCAAACCACAAATATTGTCAAAAGTCAATCTCAGAAACAAATCTTGAAGATCAACCGGTTTGTTGTCCTTAACCGCCAGGTCTAATATAAGCCATAACCGGTTCTTGATAGCACCGTTAACCCACCGAGCCATGGCTTGTCTAAGAGTCCTAGTAGTAAACTCAAGCGCTGCGGTCTTACGTTGCATGAGCCATGTGTCACCATCGCTGTTGAAGATTCCTTGTCCTAATAGATCGTGGAAAGCAGCTCGCCACATCGGACCTTTCGGGTAGTTATCGAACCTTGTCTTAAGAATATGCTCGACGTTTTTTGGGTGGCACGTCACGGTGTAGAACCCTTGCTTCTTGGCCACGAAAGGTATCACCATAGTGCTTGTTTGGTACGTACCACCAGTGGCTCGGAGGTTTTCAGCGATCCAGTCATGGACTCGGTTCCGGTTCGCGATTAGAAACGGTAGGCTTCCGATGATAGGTAAGACTTTGGGACCGGTTAGTCTCCTGGAGATGAAGTAGAACCAAAGAGCGTAAATGGATAGAGCGGCCACGGCGTAGCCAGTTAAGATAGGACTTAGGGCTTCCATTTTTTGCCTGTTTATACTTTCTTTTGTTTTTGTTGTATGGAGAGATTGGTGCGAGATATGTATATTGTGAAGGAGAGGGATATGTTGTTATATATATGTAGAAATGAGAGATATTTTTACCATAGGCTATAACAAGAAAAAAAAATGTATTTTGTTTTACAATTAGGAGAGAGTAGTTGGGACATTTTTTTTTACATTTGGGTTGATAAGAATATTGTGATTTGTGCGTGTGTGTGTGTGCATTTGGGTTGGGCCAATAGAACACGAAATCAAATTAACTGTCCCGTTTGAATTTAGTTATGATTTTTGAGCATCGAATATCCACTTTAGTTATCAATAAAATACTTTATTTCATATGAAATGAGCCTAGCAATGAGATCTTTGCTTCGAGAATAAAGATTTGGTCAATGGTAGTTTAGCCTACTATAAGAAATTGAGTTTGCTTGGAGTCGAACACTCAAAAGTATAAACACACTAGCGAAAGATGGTTGTTCATTTTTTTTTATTTGTCGCATTATATATATTGATAGTGAATTAGACATTTAAACTCGTAATAGAAATTTTTGTCTCAAAAACCAGAATATCTAGGAGAAAGTTTTACTGATAAAAATATGAGTTAATCCAAAATGTAATACACATTTCAAGTACTTAAGCTATTATCTAATCAAGAAAATATTTTAGAAAACCTATGCTTGAAGATATATTCCCAATATTATTTCCAAGACTCTTTGCAGTCAAAATTTCAGATCACCCAACCATACAAAAAAAGAATATGTTTCCTCCTTTAAAAATTACACAATTTTAAAATAAATCTAATTATAAAAACAAATAAAGACTTTCTCCACACATCAAATATGTGGAAGTTAAAATGTTGCTTATATAATATGACTCGAAATAGATTAAAACATATCCACTCGAAATACCACAAGGCCGGCTCCACATTTATATGTTTAAATTTGAATGAATCATCATACCATAATCACCATGCTAATCCTAAATTCCTAATCAACATGACAACATCATATTGAGAGCATACATACATGTGTAAGGGACAAAAAGAAAGGATAAGACACTAGTGGAGAGCTCACGTCAAAACGATCCAACGGCTCGGATTCACCAACAATCCAATCTCTTTGCAACATAAGCCACACAACACACAATACAAAGAAGAAGATTAAGAGAGATACAAAACAGAAGATAAAAAAGAATGGCCTCTTCGATACTAATGTCCTTTGCTCCGGGCACTGTGAGGTGCTTTGCCACGGGGGCTAAGGGAACCAGCAGCACTAGCACCACGAAAGAAGAGAAGAGTATCATCGACTTCGTTCTTGGCAGTTTAACAAAGCAAGATCAGTTTTACGAGACTGATCCCCTCCTCAAGAAGGTGGATGAGAAAGATGGAACCACTGGAAGTAACGGTGGCCGGAAAACGATTTCTGGCGGAAAGAACTCGGTGGCAGTGCCGCAAAAGAAGAATGGTGATGGCTTTGGTGGTCTCTTTGCCAAGAAATGAGGAAAATAAACAAGTAAATATTTGTGTAATCTGCGTCCTATCCATTTGAAAAGTTTTATTGATTCTTCGTACATTGATATCATATAAAAAACTTCATGTTATTCAACGATAATGGACTTCAACTGTGCCAATTTAAGTTTGTATATAATATGAATGGCATCTAATATACATGACTCATGAGTCGTCAACAATACAATTTCTAATAACTTTGCATAAAAGATTACCAAATGTTACAACAAATGCTTGTTTGCCATCAAGCAAAAGCTTTATTTCTATACATAGTGTCAGTCCTTAAAACTAGGCATCAATGGGACAGTTTCCAAGGAGATGGTACATTCATTGGTGAATAGATCGTTCGAGCTTTTGATTCAGTAATGTTTTTTTTTTGTGTGGCAGAGTCATTGATGCGTTGTACAGGCCTTACCTGAGAGATACATGAGACTAGTAGATGTTAACTGGAGCTAGATTGTGCTAACCAAATCAGATTTAAATAATTTCTAATTTAAGTTAAATCATAGATTTTCATATATAAATTTAAGAATCAGTTATAATCTTCTAAACATAAGGGCAACCACAACCGTGTACCCCATAAAAATTCTTTAAAAAAAGTATTTTCTATTTTTCTAATTATTATATTTTTTGAATTTAAAAAAAAAAAATCTAACTACTCGCAGACCGCCACGTATCAATGAGATCCACAAATAATTAACAGACTCTACCAGATAAACCCCATTTGTTTTCATAATAATTTTTTTTGTTAAGGATTCCAGTTACATACCACCGTTGCATGTGCTCTAAAATTAAAACTAGTCTTACTCTTTTATTAAAAGTAATAAAATCATGATATTCTTCATTTTCTTAAGATTCACTAACTTTTTGGTATAATTGATAAGATTCTATAGGTTATTAACCTATTAATTTTTGTTTTAGCTAAAGAATATATAATTTATTTATCAATTTTAATTACTAGAAAATTTTGGTGTTAGTTGTTCATAATTTTACACCTAAATTTTGAAAAAAAAAATTTAGATAAGATGTTTATTGATTTGTAAGTGTTTTTTGACTTAATTTTTTAATTTTAAAATCTACTTATCTAATCTTTAGATTTTGGAAATTAGGGGTCTGATTGGTAATGGCTGTAGCTTTAAAATTTTTGCTGTAGAAAAAAATCTGTAGATTTTTTTCTGTGGCTTTAGATTAAATTGCTGTAGATTTTTTGGAAAGCACTAAAAAATTGCTTTGGATATTTGGCTCTACAGAGCACTTGTATAACTGTAGGTTATTTTAAGAGCTGTGGTTTCAAAAAAAAATTTAAAGCTTGATTGATCTGAATTTAGTGATGTAGAAATAAAAAGAGCTGTGGACAGCACCTACAGCAACTACCAATCACCCCCTAGATTTTGCGGATTTTTTTTTGTAATGCTGGGCCGTTTTAAAAATGAATGAAAAACAATCGGAGTAAAAAAAACTACTTTTTATCAATAACTAATTTTTTGTCATTTTAATTTCCTCCTATAGAAAACAAGCATGGAGCGAAAATAATAGAACTACCTGAAACAGAGGATCTCCAGACAAAAAAAAACTGTCTAACTTTAGAAACCCCATTTATCAACTTTTTTGTGTGATGGTACATTCTTTTCTAGATCTTGCAATGAAAATCACCCAAATCTTGATCACGTTTCAATAGATTTCTTATCGATCTCGTCTATAGATTAGTGATTGTATGGAAAATGGGTATTGACGTGAAAGAGACCGGCGCAACAATATGGAAAGTTCTTGGATTCTCAATGAACACAAGCATCAAATTCATGAGAAACCACCCAGTTTTCTCAGGGGTTACCATATTCTTACTTGCGATATACGTCATCCTCCCTTCCTTGTTCTTCTTCTTAATATACTCGTCGCCAGTTCTTGCTTGTGGTGTAGTATATGCCCGAGAAAAGATGGGATTGAGTTTTCCCTCTTCAGGACCAAAGAGTTGTGAAAGAGAAAAGGATGGTGTTAGAAGAAGTCACTTAAAACAACAACGAAGTGTTAGACGAAACGCTAGAATGCAAGTTGAAGAGTGGGATTCACAGACAAGCGAGGAAGAGAAGGATAAAGTTATCTTGACCTCTCTTTACAATGACCTTCTTGGACGTACACCACATTTCGAGGAGTCTCCTAAAGCAATAGAAACAGAAGTTGTAGAAGACAATGAGAAGTCTTTGGGAGAGGAAGAGTCAAGAATGTCTTCTCAAGATTTGTGTTATCTTGACGTTCAAGAACCAATGGTTTGCAAACGTGAGATCAAAGAAGAGAGGAGAGAGGAGATGAGCAATGCTAATGAACATGGGGTTTCAGAGATTGATAGAGATAAGAGACTAGAGAGTCTAATAGCCAGAAGAAAAACAAGACGTCTTTTCAAACTAGCTCTTGATCAACACAACAAGCTTCAAGCTGAAGAAACATCTAGCCCTAAACACAACAACAACAACCTTCATGTTAACGTTCCAAGGAAAAATAACAACAACTCTTTTGAAAAACGTGGAAGCTACTATCCATCAGATGATAGTACTGTTATGGGATTACAAGTTCCATCTTCAGCACCTTCCGTGATGTCAAAAGCGAGAAACCCTTTTGACATTCCTTATGATCCTCAAGAGGAAAGACCTATTCTTAGTGGAGGTAGCTTTGATCAAGAATTTTCGTTTTTCGACCATAAAGATATGTTCTTCTCTCGTCATGAGAGTTTCCGTCACTTTGATCTTTTGTCTCCAGAACATGCTCAGTGTATGAACAGTCCACCTTCTAATTCAGACATCACAACTACTAGGAAACCTTTAGGTAACATGTTCTTAAATGAGTTTTTGTATATAATTTTTTTGACTGAAGACATTCAAATTAACATAAATAAAGGATTACATGATAAGACTAAAAGTCTTATAATTTTTTTTTGTTTATACTCAGTGAGTAATGATTTTTTTAAACAGATTTGGAGAATGAACAGTTGGATCATAATGAACAAGATACAATAGAAGATGATAATAAATGTGTTGAGGGTGGAGAGCTAGAAGTGAATAATGAGACAGATTCAAACAATGAAGAAGAAGATGATGATGATGATGATTCAAGTTGTTCAGAAGAAAGTGAATCAGAACTCAACCGTTTCAACAAAGCAGAGCTAAGAGAAGCTATAAGCCACACAATGGATAACCACCCTCTTTTTCTTGTGAATCAAGCAAGAAATGGTATCCCAAGCCCTTTACCTAGAGGCTTAGCACCGCAAAAACTTGATGATAACAATATGTTATATGCTCGTAGACGCGAAAATTCGCATAGTAGAACATTCTCAATGGCCTCGGATATGCAAGTTGAGGTTTCAGAGATTGGTTCACCTCCTACAACGGTTGATTGGCTTGATGAGTGGTCTAATGACGGGGAATCATATATATATGATACTGATATTGATAGAGAAGTCATACGCGGTGAAGAATCAAGCAAGAGGGTCTCTAGCCAATTTGAAACAAAAGAGGAGGAGAATAGTTGGGTAGAGACTAAACCAGTGATATGTATAGATGAACACCTTAGAATGGCTGATGATGTGTATAGAAGAAGTCAAGCTGATGAAGAGAATTTTGACCAGAAACTTTCTAGTTTGAGTGATGTTTCTAAGCCAACAAGAGGTTCATTGTCGTCTATAACAGAAGAACCTGAAGTTCTTACAAAAGTAGCTGAACATGAGGTCGTGGAAGAGAAGGGTCCAGAACCAGAAAAAAGTATTAATGATGAGTATGCAAAGCCAATAGAGGTAGATAAAATTCATGACGTGTTGGAAGCATCTTCGAGCCAGCCTTATATAGAATTACTTGAGGACTACGCAAATGCAGAAAATAGAAGTGGTGTGTTTGTTTTGCAAGTTCAAGACTCTAATAACTCAACAACATTGGATGAGTCAGCTGATCATGTTCTCTCTAAGGAAGGAGAAAGTTCACAGTTGTTGAAAGATTTTCATGATGAATCGAACGTTGAGGAAGAATCAATAGTTATAGAAGACACACAACAGGTTTTACCCTATTTTCTAATCATTTTTCATATAAGTTTCTTCCACTGTTGTTAGCTTATGATTTAAAGTTTTGTAATTGTTTATTTATCTATTGAATAGAACGGTTTAGATTCTTCCGAAGGAATATCACCAAGAACATTGGAGACTATCCAACAAACAGAGCATAATGATGCTATTTACCCAAACACAGTCCCTCAAGATATTGCTGCAGCAGCCAAGGACTTAACTGCTACTGAGTATAATGATGAAGAGAATCTAAAACCTGATGAGCAAGTTATAGAAGAAGCTGTGGAAAAAGATTTAGAGCTTAATTCTCAACCAATGCACCATAACACTGGTTTCATCGCTAAAGAAGATGATGAAGAAGGCAGAGACACCGTTTTAGGTTAGCCATCTAGTAATTTCACAATGGAGATTTTATACATATATTATTGAGGATAAATCATAGATAATCTATAGTTTCATATTCATTTTCTATAACGAGATGCTTATTATTTTGCAGAAGACTAGCGTTTGTATGATACACACATATCAGATAAGTAATGCTATCCACGATGTACAATCACACCGAGAGGTTACTAATTGTAGATACATTCTTGTAAAAAAAATAGTTGAGAAATTTTCTTAGAAGTTTACTTTATTATAGTATGAAATTTCCTTTAGGTGTAAACCATTATAATAAAACACTTAACGGCTTAACGTTGTAGCTGAGTAAAATTACATTGAACAAATTAACTAAAAAGATTAGGTTCAAGAATTTTTAAACAACTATCTGAACTTGGAATCAAATAAAACAATGGACGTTTATTATACAATTTTCAAATACGATTTGTTTCGTCCATATGAAAAATTAAGAATTTAACACACACCATTTAATTAGAGATCATTCACCACTCGCTATAGCTGAAACATTGTGTTCTGCGCGTCATAGCAAGAATCCACGGTGTCAAACGGCCCTAGAAGAGCCTGACCATAAGAGTGAACGCCACTAATAGCGTTTCCAATCGTTATGTTGAAAGCCTCTGCATGCGTTCCGTTGCTATCCGTTTGGCTCCAAGGAAACGCGGCTAGTCTTGAACGCTGCTCTCGTCCAACGATGGAGCTCTTGTTGGTCTCCAAAGAAGCTTCATCTTGGAGATTCACAGTGGTTATGTCGTGAATGCTTGCTCGTCTCTTGTCCTTACCGCCGGAATGTTGTCGGATAAAGTATTTTTGGGCGTGACTAGCGACTTGTGTTGGCGTTCGCGTTATCACAAAGTTCCTAGATATGTTTCTCCAATCTCCTTTCCCATATTTCTTCAAACCCATTAGAAATAGCCTGTGGATATATTGCAACAAATATTTAATCAAAGGTATTTTCATAAAGTTATATACATTACAATTTACAAATAATATCAAGATGTAAGTTGGTCAATCCAGGTTTTATGATGATGAAAATGCTTATAATATAGCAGAAAAATGGTATAAAATCATCTTAAATCCGGTTTAATATATATTCCAAGTAAACCGGAAAAGACAGAGACTTACTTGTGTTCTTCCTCCGTCCAAGGAACACCTTTCTTCCGCTCTAACTCCGGCGATCTACCGGCGGTAGAACGTTTACCACCAACCGGATGACCCGGTTTAAAGCCGTTACATCCGCCGCCGCCGCCGGTCCAATCAAGAGTGAAAGGGGAGGTGATGTAACCGGGAACAGGGATTAAACCGGCCTCGATGCTGCTGAGGTCAGCCTCTAGGTCGTTATACTGTTTGATGACGTCACTCACGGTCTTCCCCGGAATCGCCGCCGCAACTTTCTGCCACCGGTCAGGAGTGTTGTCGTCGTAAACTGCAAGAGCATTCTCGAACGCCTTGTTCTCAGCTACCGTCCACGTGGCGGCATCGCGGGAAGCTGCCAAGGGGACGTTGCTCTTGGTCTCCTCCATGAGCCAGTTCTCACCGGAGACATAAGACGTCGTCGCTGGTCTTAGAATCTCCATGTTTGCACAACCCTATAACCAGCTCTGTTTTTTTTTTTTTTTTATGATTTATATGAAATAATCATAGAAAAAACTCAAGAATCACTGTCAAATGATACTTCATTTTTATTTTGAGTAGAGAGCTCATAAAAAAAAAATTGAAGTATTGTTTAGACCCACCTTAAAGGAATCTAGAAAAGTTTCAACCTTTTTTTTGAGAAAAAGAAATGATAAAATCTAGGCAAGATCTGGGTAATGTGTCAAAAGAGAGTTTTTCTGGATAGCTTTGAGATTTTGCAGAAAGAAAGACAATGAATCTATTGGTTTTCCAGATTTGGTGGAGATAAAAGCATGCGTGGGTTTTAAGTACCAGAGACTCAGAGTTGAGATTTGGTGTGGATAAAATTTCTCGGGAAAATAAACATATGGCTACAGAAAATGAAAATAATATTATTAATGCAATTGATGAAGCTACCTTGGAGCTTACCCAATTGGGAAAACTATAACGTGCAAGAAGAAGCAAATGATTCCATAAATGGAAAGAAAACTAACACCAGAAACCAAATTCTGAAATCTTTCTCTAGTAAAAAAAAGAGAGAGAAGATGCAGAGAAAAAAGTAGGCGATGATATGGGTTCGTTCCGTTATTGAGAAATTATTTCTTGTGTGATGCTGTCTTTGTTTTCTCCTCTTATTACAGAAAGTAAAAATATTAGATTTAAAAAGAAAAGAAAATTAGAAACTCGTTTTTACCTATTACCTACTTTTTGTCACCTTACATATTATTTCAGTGTGTACCATTGAGTAAATGTCCCCATGTAATGTACATCATCACCAAACTAGGTTTCTGTTTTCTTAACCCTATTTTTAATTCCATATTACCAAACTAGGGTTATAATGTAATTATATTTATAAATTAATAGGTTTGTAAAAGTATATTTTAAAAACTTTAAGTTTAAATGTAGGTTATTATTTTTTATCTTGATAATTAGCCAGTTTTATTGTTTAAAGCTTTTGAGCTGCCATTCATAAACATTGTTCACCCGTTAATTTTTGTTGTTGTTCACCCGCTAATTACAGACTTACAATCACCTTTTTATTTATTTCAATGCTCTTTCTAATTACTAGAATATGTTGTTATTGTTCTTGTTAAAGTAAACTTATTAAACCATGTCTACTAATCAGACACTAAATACGTATTAGCACTTGTTGATCTTAGTGAATATGAGTTGTGTTTAATTACTTTATATATACCATTTAGTTCTTTAAATACAAACATAAATGCCATAAAATTAGTCTCATATTCGAACTAAGTGTAAAGCTATTAAACTGAAGTTCGATTTTTAGTCTTTGTAAATTTGAATTGTTTAAAGTTTTTGTCACCAGAAAGGCATTGATATAATCATGTACTTCTGTTAACGAAAATAAAAATAATTAGAAGAATAATTCCGGAGATTGCTATGCTTACAAAATACTCCATTTGTTTTCAAAATGTTCAATATTTTACAATTTCTTTTACATATATTAAAAAATTTTATGAAATTTTCATTATCAATACATTATTTTTTTGTAATTAATTATTTCCTATAACTTTTAATCAATAAAATTTTAGTAAACACTTTAAAATTTAAAATTTACCATTAATTGATGTATTAAAAATGTAAAAATGGACCATTTTGAAAAGAAAAAAAAATTCTATAACATATATAGAACATATTGAAACGAGTGAGTAATAATGATGGTGAACACTGACATATTGCGAAATACACAAATAATGTTCACTGAAACCAAAGAAGAAAAATGATTTTGTATACTGTTGAATGAAAATACACGAAGTTGACATTTTCTGGGAGTATACGATGCCTCTCAGAACGATTACAAATTTTCAACATCCTTATTAAAATAATACTAACTATATTCCAAAGAAAAACATATACGTTACTGATACTGCTGTACTTTGAATTTTTTTATTTTCGCTGATTACGTACAACTTTGATTTTATTTCGCAATTTGGGATTTATGTGTCAGAACAGAAAAAGCAGCCGCCAAATGAACGGTCAAGATCAGCGGTAACTTACATGGCCAAGTTGTACTTAGGGGTCCACGTGAGATGCGCGTTTTGCATTATCATTGGTCGGTCTCTAACTTTAATTGTCTTTTCTTCTGTTTTTTAAGATCTCGAGGAATCTATCTGTCTTCTTATTGTGATTTGTTCACGTGGCCGCATTCTATTCGTTCAATCTACCATTCGAGTTCATGCTGAGTACTCTGTTTCAAACAGTTCCATATTTTAAAATTTTCACATATATTAAAAAAATTTATAAAATTTTGATTACTAATATATTATTTTTTATCTATAATTTCCTAGAACTTTTAACCAATAGATTTTCCTAAATATTTTGAAAATTACAAATCACTATTAATTGATGTATTGAAAATGTAAAAAATGAATCATTTTGAAACACCAAAAATAATCTAAAATATACAACATTTTGAAACAGGAAAAGTATATAAGTAAGAATTTCGATGGACTCTTATTCGGTTTGGTAAATTTTTATTGTAAAGTATATCGTATGCTTGTCTATCGTGAAGCTCAGGATATTCGACCAATCACCTTTCTAAAATATTGAAATGTACGATTGGATTTAAAATGTTCTTTGTTATCGTAAACCCATAAATGACTTAAGAAGATCTAATCAAACACCCTTTTCTGATAACGTTCTAATCAGATTACTTCTGTACAGGGTTTGGTGAGATTTACCTTTTATATTTTTTTCGTTTATATTTGTATATTGCATAATGTCCCAATCGTTGACCATAGCATAAGTTGTTCTATATTCAAAAATGCAATAATGTTTTATTTAAATACAAATATTTATTTAATGAAGAATCTTGGAACATGTCAAAGAAATCCATTAGCTAGAGTTTGCTACAACATAGAATTCCTAATATCATGGATCACATTTATGTCATAATCACAGTGTTTAGGGACTAGGGAGTATTAATCAGTTATATTTTAGTCCAATTAATGGTTTACATATTTAAAGTCAGGAAGCTTTCTTATGTGGCCGGTAACGGTGCCTTACTGTACGTAGAATGGATATTATATATATCCCAGTTCAAAATGTTTGTAGTCACCTTGATCATATATCATTTATATGTCACACAGTCACAGTGTACAACTCGAGTGATAGTAACATACGGTTAATATACATGCTTGTTTATTCCGCTTTTGTATGTATGTATCTAATAAGAAGTTTGAAATTTCTCAATTACGTAACATGTACAGTTTTTGATTTTTTATTTTAAGTCTAATCATTGTACTCTACTAAATAAACATAATGCTTTGGAAGTATTCTTATTCAATTGACAGCTATTACTGTACACTTATGTTTAAATCATCTATGTCATTTCTTATAGAAAAAGAGTTTAAAGTAATCATATATGATTAACAAAAATTCGTCCATTCTAAAATCTTTCGCGCACGTTTAGTAACTGCTAATTCAATTTTATGTATGATGAGGTGTGGTCGTCCAAGATTACAACACAAAAAATGTATATCACTTTCAGAATATATGTATGTTTATTTGCGCATATTAACGAATTAGTTTAGTTTATTATCAAAAGTATGCTTACATCGTTACCGTATTCAAATTGTAACAATATTTGTTTAATTAATTGCCCTTTGGACTTTCCAGGAGCCATAGGTAGGGGAAGGTCTATATGTTGGAGATACATGGCAATAATTAAATACTTATATTGCCAATTCTGGTACAACAAACATTTTCCCCATTAATAGAAGTCTTTCAAGTTTAATACTCTTTTATTCATATGAATACTTAAGTAGTATTTCAAACAAGGAATAAGTCAGAATTTTTTTTTAAGCAGAAAACTAAATCAAACTAAGGTTTTAGTGCACCAAGGGACATATGTCTTGCGAAATGGATGAAACAGCCAAAGTCTTTTGGAATCAATTCCCTGAAATTTTGTTTTATTTTCCCATAATAAATTATTATGATTATTTTCATGGAAATTGTGATTCCAGTACTTAAGCTGAAATATATATATATATATATATATATATATACGAAGAACCAGATCTGAAATTTTAGAGGTTATAAAATGTTTAGTAAAACTATAATATTTATTTTTATATAATTTGTATGTCTTTGTTCATAGATATTAACTTTAGCAAAGTAAAACAAATATTCCACTTGGACATGCCAAGACCGAAAAGGAACACCGACGACCGATGGAACCCTTTGATTTAGCGAAGAGGATCCGTGACATTCTACTACTTGAGCAACGTATGTTTTTTTGCTGGGTAAAAATAACGTTTTATGAGTAGTTCAATATATTAAATGTCTGATCTTCCAATTTGTTTACATGCAAAAGTTATTGTAGCCATGCACTTATTTCCACCAAAGTACTCCTAATTAAGTATAAACTAAAATTACCAAAAGAGTCCAAACTTATGGGAGATCGGCGGGTGGAAGAAGCAGTGACTGGTCATGGCCGTGACCTTTGTCGACGACCAACATCTTTGGTCCCCAGTTTGTATGGATTTCCAAGAGGCAATGCATGGGCCTTACCCCTTTATAATATTTAACAAAAAGAAACAATTAGCATATATAAACTTCAGCAAGTTGGACGAATATTCCGATAAATAAAACACTACATGATTATAAAACGAAATAAATAATTCGTTATCGAAAAGGACCAACTGTTTGACAAAAGTAATGCATAACAAGCCTAGCCACCTTTTATATGAAAACACCTCATCATCTAAACCCGCACATACTTGGTCTTTAGTTTTGAATATGATTAATCAAGTATATAACTTTGATGAACCTATAAACTAGCTAGCTAGTGGAACGAATCATCATATTGTTTGTTATTGGGGGAAGCTATGTGTATTAGATCAATCTATTGGCCAACCGGAGACTCGACTAACGTTAAGAGCATTTCATATCGACAAAGTATTTACAAAAAAAAAGTATTAATGCCGAGCATATCAGTGGCATTTTACCTTTATAATCAAATTTCTTTTTATAAATAATAGGTTAACAACTACTATATGTGAGTGATTATATTTGCGTTATGTTCACATACTATATTTCTCTCGTTGTTTAAACAAACCCGTAAGCTTAAACGTCTTAAGTGAAATCTATTTAGTCATTGAATATTGAACTAATCCCAAGCAAACGTGTTTTGACTTAAAGAAAGCATATTCTTTCACAACAAATGTGATTTAACATAGTTCAAGAGATTATTATACTAATTCAAGTCACACCATATCTTGATCTAATCTATCGGGAATTTATGTGACTACTCTAATCGGCTGATGCAAGAAAGAAATTTTATCCAAACTAGTAAACACATTAATTCTTCTAAGACGTACATAGTAACAGTTTACAATTATATATATACTACTACTACTTAGATAATATTGGTTTAGATATGGTACAAAACGTATTAACTTTCAAATTCTTTTACGATATAATTATATTTTAATATTTTTTTTTATTAGTTTGATCTGAAGTTATTTAGAAAAGGTATATCTATATAAATAGGGCCTTAAAAGTTATAAAATAAATAAAACCATAAAAATATATGGTATTGACTCATTGACATTTGACATGGTCATGGAACTTCAATAATTCGTTTGAAAGGTGAGCTAAACAGCCTAAACCAACTTTTTTAGTTGTCATATAACAGCTCATCCAATCCAATTATATAAATCCACCTGGAAAATCGATGAATATTCACAAAACTAATTTAATAAACCGGAGCCTAGCATTGCTCAACGGCATCGTATCGTCTCAATGATACTAAACAAGCCCACGACGTCTAATATCTATCACTTCGTAAGCCTTTTTCACTCATCTAACTATATTAAAAGGGCGATATGAGAGCCAAAGAAGCTGTCCACGTATGCAAATATAATCAACCAATTATAAAGCTCCGTATTGCCACGTCATCCTTGCTAGGTATTACGATTGGTTTGGTCGTCTTCTCCGCTTCCATTACCCTTCTCTCCCAATCTGTTTCAGTGAATTACTTCACCACTAACTTCGCCAGTANATCTAACTATATTAAAAGGGCGATATGAGAGCCAAAGAAGCTGTCCACGTATGCAAATATAATCAACCAATTATAAAGCTCCGTATTGCCACGTCATCCTTGCTAGGTATTACGATTGGTTTGGTCGTCTTCTCCGCTTCCATTACCCTTCTCTCCCAATCTGTTTCAGTGAATTACTTCACCACTAACTTCGCCAGTACTCTTCTCTTCCATGGCGACTCTCGACAGTGGCATCTCCAGAGATGTTATCACCGATCAAGAACATTGTGGGTCTGGTGCTATTCATGTTATCATGGGTCCTATGTTTTCTGGGAAATCGACCTCTCTCCTCCGCCGTATCAAGTAGGAGATCAGCTCGGAAAGTAAAACAACAATCACCATCGCAAGAGTCAATGGCAGAGAACCGCGAAATGAAACGGCAGAACCCCACCGCTTTGTTCTTCGATGACTTAGCTCCAGATTTGGGAGATTTAGAGTTGCAATTCCGGTTAAACCACTTCGAGAAGCACGAAGCACAGCGAATGGTGGATTCCTTATTGGTCTTGAGCTTCGTCTCATCAATGATCAGGTTATGAGAGTACTGTTAACAACTCTTCAGATTCTCCATTTTGTTTCCTTCCCTACAGTCAGTGTTATTACTTTTTGAATCTGCAGAGAAGGTAGATGGAGTGATACAAACAAAGAGAGCACTCTACAAAGATTTAACTAATTAGTTATCAGAAAAAAAAAGATTTAACTGGTCAACCAGACCATTCCAGCCTCTGTTGCTTCTAAAGCAGTTCAAAAGGGGCTGGAGCTGCTATTCCTTCTGTTGAGTAAGCACTAGAAAAAACTCAAGAATTGTATAAGGTAGTGTTGAGATGCTGTTCTTATTTGTATAGTACCATTACTTCCTCTGCATGATGAGTTAGCTTTGTATTATATTTTAGGTTTTTTTTTCGGTCCAAAGTATGCATATTCACAATTAATATAAGCAAAGATAAATTTCCTTTTACGTGCATACAAATTTGATGGGCAAGAGAGCATAGGTTGAGATTGCTCGCTGATATATATGTTCCTGTTAAATTCCGATGTTTTTTTTGCATGTTATTACATTGGCAACAACTGTTTCAAGACTAAAGCAGAGCCACATTTTCAATATGCACCAATGAAGACTTTGGCATGAGATATGGAGCAATACAAGAGCAAGTAAGGTGTAGCTTTGTGAATGAATGTTTTAACATACATGCTATGTGATATTGGTATGTGATTGGTGAGGTGTGGGTGCAGGAACTAATGGATAAGGAATTTAAGACGCATACGATGGAGCACAGGCCAAAGAAAATGAAGAAACCTAAAGGAGGAGAAGAGAAGAATGTGAAAGTAGAGGATGGCAATGGTGGGGAGGATGAGGTCATGATGGATGATTTACTGGAAGTTTGAGAGGGAGGAGATGGAAACGGCAAGGGAATGTGCACTAATACAGTAACAATAATAGTTCAAAAGAGTGTCAACAATTCAAAGAACAAGAGTAGAAACATGAAATCAAAAGATTTTTTTTTCTAATTTGCAGCTTGGTCCAATACATTGTCTTCAAATGAGACTTTTTGTGGTTTGATATTGGCCATCTAGATTGAAATCAAGACTCTTTTTATTCTTTGTTGTAGCTAGGTTTATCCTGAGCAACCCAGATGTCGTAGAACGTGTTTACACTATGGGAACTGAGATAATGAACAGGGCTAAAGTAAACTGTATCCAGAGCAATTGGGCAGTAAATGTTGTAAGTAAGCTTTGTTTTTTATATATACTTTTTTTTGTTGAATTGATAGTCTTAACGTTGGAATGTATCAGCGGGTGGATGATGATCAATGATCAAACATATCATAGAGTACAAAAGGTATGATGTAATGATGCCGACAACTAAGATTTTGTTTGCCTCTTGGCCCTTGATCTTAAAATTTAACCAATATTTGAGAATATGGATTAGGTACCAGGCCATTGCTACTTCTCAACGAGAAGAAAACTATTGCCCTTAACGAGGTTACTGAGAACCAAAATGGTTTCTGGAATTGAAGTGGTTTTCTTCTCAACTTTTTCTTTGTAGGAAACAATTAACTCCATCTTCTTCCATCTCTGCAGGGAAAGACTCAGATTATGTTCAGAACTGTTGCAAGTGTACTATTGTGATTATAGATTCTAACTTTTTGAATGTCAGAGCTTTGTCTAATTTACGCTTCTTTGAATAGTATTCTCTAAACAGTTTATGAGCCATTTATTCATAATTTATCATAATATAAGTGCCATTTATTGTTTGGAGAAACAAGTATAACCAAGTCCTGCTTTTAGCATATTTAGAGTTTTGAGCTTATTGTTTGGAGATTTGAGTCTCTTCTTTCTACATGTATTAATTTATATTCTGCAGTATTTTATTACTTTTGCTTTCAGTCATATACTGTATAGATAAATTAAATTTTTATATGGAGATAAACAACAGAGGGTTGTTTGAACATTATGAAGAACACCAATGACAGCGATAGGAAAAACAAAACCTAGAGTTCTAAGAAAGTGACACATTATCTTATATTAGCAAAACACCATGAATTCCATAAATAAATATAATCAAGAAGATGGAAATGATGACCCTTGGGGTTATGGTGGATGGGAGTATGTTGCTCAAACGAGAGAGCCTGCAAAGGATTTAACAAATAAGGTACATGCTTCAATTTAATAAACACAGTCCTTGCATTGGCTTATAGAACAAGCTTTATTTGTTGTGTGGTTACAAAGAATCTAACGGCTGGGGGTCGAGGTTTGGTTTTCAACATTTCTTATCAATAAAACCTTGAAAAGGATCCGCAAAAGGAGGCAAATGGATCCATTTTCTTACAAGCAGTAAAAATGTGATTTCTGGAGGTTTTAATCAGCCATCTTTTGAAAATGGAAACAAGGAAGACGTATTATATCTTGCCATCTGTTTAGTGATCGATGCAGACTATGGATTACATATGGGTTTCACAAGTATCGTCGTGCTGTCTTTGAAATGATGAGTTTTGACTTTTCATTGTTACACATATTTATTTAGTATGTGTATAAACTAAATATATTTTGTTTGACTTTGCTTGCTTCACCTGCTATTTGGTTTCTTAATTACATCTTACTAAAACTTTTCATACGCACATTTTAAAGCCTGTGTTATCTTATGCAAAGTTGAAGCCTATATATTCACTACTTAATTTGGTTAGATTAAAGGAAGTGCCCTTGATATTATTTTAATTTTGCTTTCAGGTAGAGGAAATGCAGACAGACAAAAAAGAGTCTTACGTACCTCTGTTCTTTCCGGAGAATGAGAACTTGGAAACCTCTGCCACTTCAGTTTATGAGGATACTCTTGAACTGAACGTGGTGATAGATTCCATTTTTCAATACTCTTGAAGACGACCAAACCAATCGTAATACCTAGCAAGGATGACGTGGCAATACGGAGCTTTATAATTGGTTGATTATATTTGCATACGTGGACAGCTTCTTTGGCTCTCATATCGCCCTTTTAATATAGTTAGATATGGATATTTATAAATTGTACAAAGCAATCAACCACCATCCCTTATATTAATTGGTAGTGTATAAAAGAAAAATAAGTTGGTCAATCTCAATATATAATAATTTTTTTTATAAAATCAACTATGCAATTAATTGGTAGTGTATAAAAGATTATTTTCCATTATTTTCTTAAATAAAAGTTACAGAAATACCTAATACGATTAACAAATATATGACAATTAATGATTTTGAATAATAAAGATTTGACAACAATTTTCTTCTTCCGTAATTTTGTTAATTTGATAATCTTAAAATAAATTAAACAATCATATTAGTAATACAATAAAAATTTTAGATTTTTTCTTATATGCTACATTTTGAATTTTTTTAAACGATTATAAATTACTAAAATTGTTAAAATTCAACATTGAAATTTTTGTGATCAATGATTTAACTTTTTGTTTTAACAAAATACAAATGATCATAAAATCATATAAATATGAAATCGCTTTAATATAGATTCAGAATAAATAAATAAATAAATAAATATATTTATATATATAATACATAAACATGTTAATTTCCAAATTTGCTTTAAGTAGGAAGCATCGGTTAATAAATATTCATATAAATAAAAATAATATTTGTTACAGTAAATATAAAAATGTTAGTTAAATCACATGAGTACGAACTTCAGTCAACAAATATTTATATTAAAATCTATTATATAACTGTGTTAATATCATTTAAGTTTAATAATATACCATATAAAATAAATAATTAATTATTTTTTACTAACAAAACAATATTGTAAATACAAAGAGGGAAGGGTTTTATTTATATGTTTACTCCAGTTTAACTATATATAATCGTTACTCGCTTCTCAATTATTCAATATACTTTTACTGCATAATACGTAAATGAACATAAAATAAATAATAGTATGTATAAATGATTTGTATACATAACTAATGTTAATACTGCGCAAGTGCAGCTAGGGTCGAAGGAAGGTGCGAAGACTAGGTTCCTGATCGACTTCATTCGCTTCAGTGACACAGTGAACGAGAAAGTCTTGGTGTTTAGTCAATACTTTAATTTATGTGTATAAATATATTTAAAATTTATAAATATTTAAATTATGTTATTATATTATATTTTATGTGTATAATTTACCAAATGTGTATAAGTCTAGGGGCTTTTATGTTATTGTATTACACAATTGTAGTTTTGTAGGTTTATATGTTATTTCAAATTTTTGGTATTTTTAATATACTTTATTTTAGGTGTATAATTTTACCAAATGGGGTTGTTCAAAAAAATAAAGACTAATTCAAATGGGACATAAAACACCAAATTTGGTGTAATCTCATCCCCAATGGAATACCATAAATGACACTATCCCACCAAATTTGGTTTAAGGTGAATAGTGTTACATCAAAATTAATGTAACACTATTCATCACACCAAATATTTTATATACATATTTTATTATGTTTCATTTAATAGTATATTCTAACTATTATTATTAAATTTGTAGCCAAACACAAATATATTTTATTGTTTGTATTTAAAATTATTTTAACATAATTACAATATCTTAATTTTTTTTAGTAGAAATTCACTAAATGACTATTATCGTTTACTTTATATTTTAAAAAATAAAATATCATAGAAATTTTAATCAATAATTAATACATAATTAATAGTTATGTAATATAATTTTGAATATAATTAATAATTTATATAAAATAAATACATAAAAGTATAATATTGTTAAACCAAAAATATAAATGTAAATAAATTTATCAATATAAAATTATAAAATTAACAAATATAATATTTAAGTGTGATAAAAGAATTATTTATCAATTAAATATAATAAAAATATAAAATTATTCAAAATTTAAAACATTAAAGAATTTTAAAATTACTTTTGGTGTAATATTTTATATCATGGTTGGAGATGACAAAACTATTGATACCAAAATGGTAAATTTGGTGTAATTTCAATACCAAATTTAGTGTTATGTTTATTTGTTTTTATTTTTTTTATGACAAACAGCCGAAATACAAACAATAACATAAAAACCTACAAAACTACAATTATTAATCAATATATTAATTGTGTAATACAACCATAAAATAAATTAGAAATATACATATATATATATATATAAAGTATACGAGATAAATAAGACTATTTAAAGAGATAAAATTATACACATAAAATAAAGTATAATAAAATAATTCAAATATTTATAAATTTTAAATTTAAAGTATGTAATCCGCGCGTAGCGCGGAAAATGATCTAGTNTATATTAATTGTGTAATACAACCATAAAATAAATTAGAAATATACATATATATATATATATAAAGTATACGAGATAAATAAGACTATTTAAAGAGATAAAATTATACACATAAAATAAAGTATAATAAAATAATTCAAATATTTATAAATTTTAAATTTAAAGTATGTAATCCGCGCGTAGCGCGGAAAATGATCTAGTAATAGTAAAGGCCCATACCAAATTTGTAAACGGCCAATATCTCTAATACGACAGCGTTTCTCTTGAGCGTTTCTGTGTATGTCGCTGAGCTCAGCTCGTTGATCATCGTGCAGAAGCTTGTTCCTTGGACTCCTAGAAGAAGAAGATGGTGCGGAAACAGTTTCAACAGGCTAAGACAGGTAAAACATTTCAACCATCCTTGTCTTGTTTTCCCGATCTAATCTGCCTATCTCTTCTGTCTTTTTCCCCGTATTATGTACTTCGATGAGACCCATAAGAATAGATCTCCAAAATTACTGTCCTAAGTTCGTAGTGCCGCGTAATCTATTCAAAGGTTTCGTCTTTTACTTGTGGGTGTGATCTAAGTTAGTGGTGGCACGTAACCTGTTCGATGAAATGCCTGAACGAAATTTTCCAAGTTCATTTTGTGATTCAGCTGTTTTTATGTGTGTGTGTGAGACAGGAGTAGAGGCCTTGAAGGCAATGGATGCAAACAAGTACCTGAAGAAGGTTGGATTAGGGCGTGACGATATGTTCTTTTGGAAACAAGTGGGGAAAGCTTTGCTATGCACCTACACAGTCTTTGGCATGGCGTGGCTATACAACGAAACTTCTCCTTTAGGGTGGTGGACGTTGAAGCCGAGACCAAAGGAGGAGAGAGAGTTGGCGCATTTGTATGAGCGGCGTGAGTTTCCTTATCCAGGTGATACGGAGGCTATGGAGGATTTTGTTGCGAAGGGAGGAATGATTGGTACTGCTATTGGGCCTAAAGGGATTGTTGAGTCTGAAGGTGAAGCTGATAATTACCAGAAGGAGATGGAGAAGAAGAAGTTTGATAAAGAGGCTCAGAAACTGTGGTTGCGGATGAGGAATGAGGTTATGACTGAACTTCAAGAGAAAGGGTATGATCTTGAGTAAGGTATAAAAAGAGTTGTGATCAAATAAAACTTGTGTAATTTAGGCTGTGTGTAGGTTCAAACCATTGGTTCAAGTATCTCTACCAACATCTTATTAGATTTTAGAGGAAAGTACAAAACTTTATATGACCCATTTGTGTTCTACGGTGCCATTGATGTTCTTGGTCTTGTGATGTAGCTTTTGTCCTTTGTTGCTGACTTGATTCATCTTTTGGCTTAAACCCTTTGGAATATTACTTGATGCTATATGCACTCGTCAAAGTTATTCAATACCTTGAGCTTGAAACTATTGTTTTTATTAGTCTAGGGACTGTTGTATTGATCCCCAACACAAGTACCTTTGTATTGAACTCTTGAGAGCTTTAATACACTTAGAAAAGTGGAGGGAACATGATGGGCATAAGATCTTACTTCATATATATATACAGAACAATGTGACAAGTAAAATACATGGTAATGTCTGGTGAGTAACCTCAAGCTTGGCTTCTCTCTGAAGAAGATGATTCCGTTTGCCTTCAATACCATGAAACAATCCGTCTTCGCACGAGCTTCTTATTCCAGTCTCAACGCCAGTAACAGAGCCATGGAACAGACCATCACAAGAGCTTCTTCCACCTTCAAAGCCACTAACAATAGAAGCACCATGAAACATACCATCACAAGACTTCCTTGCGCTAACACTGTAGCTTCTCATGAGTTTCTCGCTAACATTGCTTTCTCCTTTAGCCACTCTCCTAAGCTTCAACAAAGAGTCAACAAATTGACTCTCCATTGCATCGGTTTTGATTTCCTTCTTCACCGCATCAGTCTTCCTCTGTATCAATCCCCAAAGATTCCATCCTTTAGGCCATTTCTTCTTTATCCTAAAACCATCCTGTTTCACCTCACCAGCAGCAACACAACCAACACCTTTATAAGCTAACTCAAAGCTCTCCGGTTTAATTGAATACCAATTACAATCCCTCAGTTTCCTCTCAGTAACAAGCAACTTAGCTCCATGAAACAAACCAACACTTTCAGATGATGATAACTTAGCTTTCAACTCATCAACCTCTACCATTCCATGCCTCAATGATCGATCAAAGCTTCTTCCCCTTCGTGAACTAAACGAACCAGCTTTGGATATGACTTTCCGGTTAAGCACCCGTCCCATGACGCTCTAGGCTCCTCAAAAGAGATACGACCCTTATAACCTAGGATCTACAACATCACATGAGCGAAGGCTAAGACTTGTGTCTTGATTGTTTTCCTTTATTAGGAAGTTTGAATAAAAGCTTCTTAAGCGTTTTTGCTGAAAACGGAAGCGACTTCGTTTTTCTTGATTTGAAGAGAGAGTGGGGTTGAATGGGTCAGTGACATGTCTAGGATCTCGAGAAAACAGAGAGTTGTGTTGTCAGCATTTTAGGTGATTTTATTTCCTAGCTCTATTCCTAAAAGATACACTTTCTAGTGTTTTTACACATAATAAAAAATATATTAAATCACTATTGTTTTCCGTAATTTTCAATTTTTAACAACTTTTAGCCAATACTAATCTAATAAAACCAATTAATTTTTTTGAAACTTATAATTTTCTCATAGAAAACATAGAATATACATCTTTTTGAAACAAAATGTTTTTCCAGAATATGGATCTATCAGGAACGGAGCGTGTATTTATTAATCCTCCGCGCTTTTAGTGTGTTATATTTATAAGGACAGAGATATGAAGGAGACAAATGACTTGTCTCTTCTTTCAGTTTCTTCGTCTTCTTCACCAACACATAGCTTCATTGGTCTGTGATTCAGACAATCACACGTTCAAATCAGTCTCTCTGTGTGATGAGTGTTGATGTCGGATCGACATGAACGATAAATAAAAGACGGAGTTAAGGAAAAATAATCAAGTAGACATGGAGGCGAGATAAATCTCTTTCCTTAATTCTTCATATTCGTTCCGTAGTGAGACGAATCTGTACGTATACTGAGTTTCAGGATACAACCATGACAGACGAATCGCGCTTCACTCGTGAAACGACCTAACGAACTATAACTCTACGAAACACTCTCGTATTGACTTACGCTAAGGGATTTTCTCAGTTGGTTTTCTCGATGTGAAAAGTAGTTCAAAATATGGAGGAGGAGAGGCAGTATATAAAGAAGAGATGAGGAGTCGATTTTTCGAAACTGTTGAAAATGTTTTCCAAAAATCTCTCAAAGATGAGGGAGTGGAACGTTGAGCAGCTTTCTCCACAAGTTTTTCTCTTTGTTACTCGTTCTGTTCTATCTCGAACAGATAAAACTCATGTCATTTTTAAGCGAACTACACGTCGTTTATTACACAAAAGTCATGCTATTATTTTATAAATGAAATGACAAAACATTGAGCTTAACTTGGTCCAAAAAAATCTTATTGGACCGGAGACCCTTCACCATGGTACGCACGCGTCAAACCGGACGGCGACGGCACGCGTGGGGGTGAGTCCAGTCTCTCTCATCCGCCATTTGAACAAGTGATAGAGTGAGCACATATATAAGTCACTCTATTTCACCTCTTTTATCCGATGTAGGACAAATCTCATATGTTTCATTAAAGCTAACAAGTCTTTTAATTAATCACTTAGCCCATTTCTTTTCAATACATGCCTTTTTATTAAATAGCCATTAGGCTTTAAATAAAATGGCCCAACAATGAGACCAACTTGTGAATTTTTTTTTTTACTTTAGATGAATATAAATGGGTCAATGATCTAATTCCCCACGAGAAGTATCGTATAGCACCAAATGTCCACGGAATTATGACTCTGTTCTATTTATCCCAAAAATAAAGTTCGAAACATATTTCCCCACCAAATTAAAGTTACATCGATAGTTCCCCATAATTATAAAGATCGAAATCTAAAAACTCACAAAATTGGTTTTTATTGGTTTACTGTTTGTAAGAAAATCGTAAACCGTGTTAAGCCAATGACTAATCAGATTAAAATCCAATCAGTCGGATCTTTTTTAGTTTGAATGTTGGGTAGGATTAGTGTTCTGATCCATTGATCGTTTTTTATTTATTTATTTTGTCTTGGTTTAGTTTTACTCAATTTATTATATGAAAGTGGAGATTTGAAATTCGGTTTTTCAGAAATCATAACTAAACCAAATTTGATGAGGAGATATGTTTCGAACTTTATTCTCGGGGGTAAATAGAACGAGGTCATAGTTTCGTGGACATTTGGTGTTATACGATACTTCTCGTGGGGAATTAGATCGTTGATCCAATATAAATACCATAAATTAGGAGAATAGAATCAATGTAGTCTGACAGTATATTGTCTGACTAGTTGAGACGATACTGAATTCCATAAACATCAAATCACAAAACCATTCCTCAGTTTCACATTACACAACAAATCTAGACAAGAAGATGAAAGATTCATATCAAATCACAACTCACAAAACAGGACAGGATACAACACATTACAAATACAAAACCTTTTGTTTTTGCATTTTTTTAATATATAAAATTCACAAAAGATACTCTTACACATCTCTCGAGCTACGAAGAACGCTGCTGCTGCCTCCTGCTCCTCCTCCTCCCTGGACCGGTCCAAGTTTCTGAATCCAATGCTGCAGACTTTTCCTTGGGTCCTTCCATATCTTGTCTGAAGCCAGATTCAAGCACCCATCACGTTCTAGTGAAGCCTCAAACTCTTCAAGCACTTTCACTATCTGCCAGAACTCCGGTCTCTTATCCGGTGCATCCGACCAGCACTGCTCTATAAGAGCTTTCATGGCTACTGGACAATCTGCCGGAACAACAGGCCTAATGTTCTGAAACATAAATCAACATTTTAAAAATCTCAAATGGATGAAACAACCGAACAGTATTACAATAATGAAACAGTCATAACATTTTTACCTTGTGTATAACTGCGAAAGCAGCTTGAATAGGAGTCATCTCCTCATAAGGGATTGCTCCAGCTACCATTTCCCACAAAACGAGTCCAAAGCTATACACATCAGCCTTTCTCCCATGTGGTTTACGTTTTATCATTTCAGGTGCCATCCACCTATAAGTCCCTGGATCATCAGCCAACATGTCACAGCACTCCTCCTCGCTGGCTATGCCAAAGTCAGCAATCTTCAACTGAAAGTCCTCGTCGATCAATACATTCTCTGGCTTAAGATCCCGATGAATAACATGTCGTGAGTGAATATATTCCATTCCTCTTGCAATATCCAGAGCAAACTCTATCAGCTTCTTTCAAGAAAGAGACCTATCCTCAGGCTTGTCCAAGAAAGATCTTAAAGATCCTTCAGGTAAATATTCAGTGAGGACATAGTATGAAGGCGGATCTTTATACGCTCCCACAAACTGTTTTAGCACACACAAATAAGAGAAGAAAAGTCAGCACAAACCATAGTATCAATTATCATAAGAGAGTTGAATCACCTTGATAACATTTGGATGGGACAATCTAGACAAGAGGGTGACTTCTTTGGTGAACTTTTTTTCTAATCGAGCTCCCAAACATCCATTCTCGTCATCATCAGGGACAGTGATCAGCTTCACCGCAACAGCTTTTTCTTCATAAATTCCATGGTGCAGTCTGCTATACAGTCCATGACCAAACCTAAGCCCCAAGATCAGCTTGGACGTATCGATACGGTACTCTTCAGAAATAAACATGTTACGATTGTGAAGCTCAGGATAATCGACCAACCACCTTTCTAAAATATTGAAATGTACGATTGGATTTAAAATGTTCTTTATTATCGTAAACCCATAAATGACTTAAGAAGATCTAATCAAACACCCTTTTCTATAGAGTCAAGAGGCGGAGGCACGTTGGCTTAAGGTGGGACAGTTGCCCACTATGGAAATTTTAATACTAGTCTAACTTTGTAACAAATTAAAGATATGTCTATGTTGTTATATTGTTTTATGCCCCCTATGCTTCAAATATTTGACAAAAGTTGAAGAGACAAAAAAAAAAGCTTTGAATTTGTTTGTATGGTTTAATGGCTATTTATTTTGTATTTTATCTAGTGTATTTTTTTTGGAGATAATTTGCTGACACCATATTGGAACCTCTAATTAGAGGTTTACACCTCATGTGATTTTTTCAGATTTGTTGACTAAATTGCCCTTCGTTCTCTCTCCTTCTACTCCCGTAACTCTGTTATCCTAATGACTTTTTCTGAAACAACTTTTTTTAACTCTCTCTCTCTCCCTCATCTCTTCTTTTAATATTTTTCTTTCCCTCATTTCCTCTTTAAATCTACTGTACGTTTTGTTCTTGTTTTTTTCTAGTTTTATCTCATCTGCTTTTCTATTTTTTTCATTTGTATGTTTTCTAGTGTTATTCGGCTTAAAAAAATATTATATCTATGTTTATTATATGTGTTAAAGTTACAGCCAAAATCTTTATTAACGCATTACAAATAACACTGAGCTTGATATCAAATAAGTATCTTAACATATAGTTTATAGAGTTACCATTTATGACATATTTTTTTAAAAATCGTCAAAGATGTTAACACTAATGTTAACTGTTAACAAATAATGTGGATGTCAACAAATGTGATAACTGTTAACAAATACATGTAGCAGATGTATTAACAGAGGCATTAACTGTTAACAAATTTTGTAAATGTTAATAGATGTGTTAGCCGTTAACAAGATATGTATTATAAGTGTTAACAGAGATGTTAGTTGTTAATACATTTTGTAGATGTCAATACATGCGTTAGGTATTATATGTTAATAAATAAATATTGTTGAAGTTTCATTTCTCTATCAAAATGAGTAAACTTAAAAATAATTTACATTTAAAACTGTAGATGAGAAAAAAAAATCAAGAAAATAGTGTAAAAAGAAATAAATGAATATGAAAAAGAGATGTGTGAAAAAATATGTGTTGTTTAAAGAAAGAGAGGAAGAACCATTGGAGAGAGAGTGTCAGATATAGGCAATGGGATTCAAAAGGGCATTTTCGTCCAACACCAACCAAATTGTAAAAAAATTGTTTTAATGTCAACTTATGGGTAATTCACTAATTTCACTCCCTTTTATGAGTATTTGGCTAATTCTCTTTTTTTTTTACCCCCGCATACAAATGGTCTCTAGATCAGCCATGATAATATAGTTTGTTACAACATAGAATTCCTAATATCAGGGATCACATTTATGTCAAATTCACAGTGTTTAGGGACTAGGGAGTATTAGTCAGTTATATTTTAGTCAAATTAATGGTTTACATATTTAAAGTGAGCAAGCTTTCTTATGTGGCCGGTGCCTTATTGTACCTAGAATGAATCATATATAATAAAGTTAGTTTTTTTCCATAAGGTGCAAAAATGCTATGTATCACATCATTAAAATTTAAAAAGTATTTATTAGATTTTTAAAAAGGTTATATTATTTTTTTAAATAATTATATTATTGATAAAATGTATATTTGTTTTTGGATTTTTATTGTTGTAGATTGCGTTTAAACTTTTGGATCATAGAGATTTTTTAATATTATAGGTTTGTTCGTCATCTTCTTTTGAGATCTTTAGATAAACCGACGAAAATTGTAGATATCAGAATAAATTCTCAATTCTCTGTAATGTCTCGATGCACGCTTGATTCACACTTTCTTTCCTCATATTTTATAAGTGATTAACTCACTCTGGATCATTAAAATCACCTTATCACATCCCAAAAATAACCATATAGAAGTGTAAGTATATATATCATTAAAATCATCTTATCGTTTGAGATCTTTCCATAAACCGACGAGGATTGTAGATATCAGAATAAATTCTCAACTCTCTGTAATGTCTTGATGCACTCTTGATTCACACTTTCTTTCCTCATATTTTATAAGTGATTAGCTCACTTGGATCATTAAAATCACTTTCTAGCATCCCAAAAATAACATTATAGAAGTGTAAGTATATATATCTTTTTTTGCAGACATAACATCAAAGCTTCAATTGCATTAAAAAAAAGTTTGTTCAAACTTTCCGATTGCTACAATGGTCATTTATTCCATTCTCTTTACCGATTTGAAAGCTGGACCCTGCTCCAACACCACCGAGGTTTAACAGAGAACCCTCCATTGCATTTCCTCCATCAAAGCTTCTCCTTCGTGAATCAAAGTAGTAATACCTCGTCTGAGCTGTCCCGCCTGGATCTTCAGTCAAAGGAACCAGCTTTGGATATGTCTTTCCGGTTAAGCACCCGTCCCATGACGTCTAGCTTCCTCCAGAGAAGAGACACGACCTGCGTCGAGAGACAACCTAAGATCTACAGCATCACATGAGCGACGGCTAAGACCTGTTTCTGGATGGAGTCTGACAGTATATTCTGTGACTAGTCGAGGCGATACTGAATCCCATAAACATCAAATCACAAAACCATTCCCCAGTTTGACATTACACAACAAATATAGACAAGAAGATGACAGATTACAGATCACATCACAACCCACAAAAACAGGACAGGATACAACACATTACCAATACAAAACCTTTTGTTTTGCATTTTTAATATATAAAATTTACAAAAGAGACTCTTACACATCTCTCAAGCGAATTTAGGCTTAGGCAAGGACGAGCTACCAAGAACGCTGCTGCTGCCTCCTCCCTGGACCGGTCCAAGTTTCTGAATCCAATGTTTCAGACCTTTCCTTGGGTCCTTGCAGATCTTGTTTGAAGCCAGATTTAAGCACCCATCACGTTCCAGTGAATCCGCAAACTCTTCAAGCACTTTCACTATCTGCAAGAACTCCGGTCTCTTATCCGGTGCAACCGACCAGCACTGCTCTATAAGTGCTTTCATTGCTGCTGGACAATCTCCCGGAACAACAGGCCTAATGTTCTGATCCAAAAATCAACATTTTAAAAATCTCAAATGGTTGTCACAGTTAAACAATACTACAATAATAAACAGTCAGAAAATTTTTACCTTGTGTACAACTGCGAAAGCAGCTTGAATAGGATTCATCTCCTCATAAGGGATTGCTCCAGCTACCATTTCCCATAAAACGAGTCCAAAGCTATACACATCAGCCTTTCTCCCATGTGGTTTACGTTTTATCATTTCAGGTGCCATCCACCTATAAGTCCCTGGATCATCAGCCAACATGTCACAGTACTCTTCTTCGCACGCTATGCCAAAGTCAGCAATCTTCAACTGGAAATCTTCATCGATCAATACATTTTCCGGCTTAAGATCTCGATGAATCACATGTCGTGAGTGAATATATTCCATCCCTTTTGCAATATCCAGAGCAAACTCTATCAGCTTCTTCAAAGAAAGAGACCTATTCTCAGGCTTGTGCAGAAAAGATCTTAAAGATCCTTCAGGTAAATACTCCGTGAGGACACAGTAAGAAGGCGGATCTTTATACGCTCCTACAAACTGTTTTAGCTCACAAATAAGAGAAGAAAAGTTAGCACATACTTTTATATTGGCCAAAAGAAAATAGCATAAGGGAGTGGAATCACCTTAATAACATTTGGATGGGACAATCTGGACAGAAGGGTGACTTCTTTGGTAAACTGTTTCTCTAAACGAGCACCCAAGCATCCATCCTCGTCATCATCAGGGACAGTGATCAGCTTCACAGCAACAGCTTTGTCTTCATAAATTCCATGGTGCAGTCTGCTATACAGCCCATGAGCAAACCTAAGCCCCAAGAACAGCTTCGACGTATCGATACGGTACTCTTCAGAAGCTTCAGCAGCACTCACTCTACGACCACCACCGTTATCAAAAAGCTTAGACCATCCTGTGTCCTTCTTACTCTTCTTCACCCTCTCTTGAATCCTCAGAGTGCCTAGATCTCTGATGGGAACTGAAGAGGACGACCGCAGGTTGAATGATCTTCTCTTCTCAAAGGAGTCTTTATGAGATAACCTCACCTTCATTCCTTTTTCAGATTCTATTCTTCTCGGATGTGGAGTAGAGAATCTCTTACTCTCAGACCTAGCTTCCTTAAAAACATCAGGAAGTGGCATCTGAGGGGAAGGAGACACAGATCTTTGTTTATTAGTTACAGGGTTTGTCTGTACTTCCGAATCAACAACACATACATTACTGGAATCCTGCTTAGTGTTCAACTGATCTGATGATAATGATGATATCAGGGGCCTTGTTTTAAATTCAGAAACCTTATGTTGGTTTATCATAAGAGGGAAAGAGGATAACTTTGAGGAGTTGAGACGATAAGTAACAGTATGAGAAAACCTAGTCCTCCTAATCCAAGAGGTATCCTCTAATTCATCCATCTCTAAAGAATAACTTAGTCCTCTCCTAATCCAAAGTCGTTTGCTTTTTTTAAGCAAAACCGTGAATAGAACAAATGAGAAGACTTGCAGCAATCTCCAACAATCTCATCTTCTCACACAAACCTTTTCAAAACTCAAACTTTTCCTCTTCAACCATAAACCCATAAGCTCTAAAAATCACAAGAGAGAAGCTTTTCTACAATTACTATACTCGAAAATCTCTCCACCAAATCGCCGGAAATTCTGAATTAGACCAATCATATATATATGCCTCTTCCTACAGAAACAAGCAGCAAATACATCATGAAACCAAATATCTCTGGATCTATTGAGAAACGAATTGGGAAGCTAAAATGTTTACCTCTGAAACACGGAATCAGAGACCCATGAAAGCGAGGGAAGCAGATTCCAGAAGATCCGGCGAGAAGCAAGAGGAGGAAGAAGGGAGGAATCGAGAGCTCCCCTTTAAACCATATATGCCGTTTGGATTCTGACAAGACCTTTTTGACGAATCCCACACCTCTCACGACCTTCTCGTTTTTTTATTTTTCACAGATAAAAAAGGTGGAAAAAAAGAAAAATTCTTTTTGGAATTTTGAGACAGTTACGTTTTATACGACAGCGTACGGTCTATCTGTTTGTCAGCATCTCTGATATGGTCTTAATATTTAAAAAAAAAAGACTAGCTTTTTTTATTTATTTTTGTCTTTTTATTTTTATTTTTTTTGTCAACTTTTTTTTTTGTCAAATCTGATAGACTAGCTTAAATTATTAATTTTTTATTTTTTCTATGTTCAGATGTTGAGATAACATTTGAAGACTTAGTTTTGGCCCAATATTTTAATGTGGTCGGCCCACTTAACCTTCTATCAGAGCCAGATGTCAGCTCAGCTTCAACTTGGAAGAACCTAAAGTCTAAAACCAAGACAATGTTAATAGATCAGTATTACTAACCTGTTGACTAAAATCAGTCTTATTGCCATTGTCAATGATTAAAGTTCGCACTGTTATATTTTTCTATCTTATGTTTAGATTTATGAATTCACTCTATCTACACCTGCAAATGATATATAAGTTTTGCTTTCTAGAAATCGAAATTTTCGTGTTCTAGAATCACATATTTGTTTCTGATTTTGGATCTCCAGTGAAACTACGCAACAAGTAGCTAAATGTTGAAGCTTTAGACAAGGAAAAAAATCTCACCTCTCAATCATATTCATTGCTGAATAATAATGTTTGATACTTGTCAAATCAAAACCTTTCTCTCATTAGCCTATATCACTAATTCTCTATTTATATGCCAAACTTTGAACCTCAGTTTTTACATCACTCTATTTCTTCTTATTCCCCTTCTTCGTATAGCAGAGGGAGAACATGTTGCTAGGCATATTTTTATGCTCACTTAATCCCAGGAATCACAGGTGAATAATTATTCTTTTCTTCTTCTTCTTTATAATACTGTACTTGATTAATATATTTTGTCAATCCAGTATGATTTGTTTAACCTTGATTAAGATAAAGTCCATGTCATAACTTTATGAAATCATTCCTTGACAAATTAAAAGAGAATTTAACAAAAGTAAAATACAATTATCATAGGACAAATCTATTAGTATAGATAATGACTTATCTTAGATAATCATTATCTAAACCTAAATTTGTTTCTCTTCTCTTCTTCTCCTTTTTCCCCCTCGTGTCTACTAATGGCTACAGAAAATTCTAAACCAGCCGAATCGGCTCCTGTCTTCAACATCTCTAAAAGCACTCTTATCTCCCTCAATATGTCAAACATCACAAAACTCAGCTCCACAAACTACATCACCTGGCGTTTACAAATTCAATCTCTTCTTGAAGCACATGAGTTACACTGTTTTATCACCGATGATAGTCAAATTCCTCCTGAAACTATTATCAATGATGATGGTGTCTCTGAACCAAATCCGTCCTTTGCTGCCTGGACTCGCCAAGACAAGATGCTGTACAGTGCGTTGATTGGGTCTCTTACGCTTGCTATCCAACCAATTGTTGCACGAGCAACTACCTCACGTGAAGTCTGGGATATCCTGTACCGTACGTACGGCAAACCATCCAGAGCACACATCAAACAATTGCGCCAACAACTGAAACAAATCACCAAAGGCACCAAAACTATCAATGAATACATGAGACTTATCATTGATAAAGCCGACAAACTAGCCTTACTTGGGGCTCCGTTTGATCATGAAGATCTTCTTGATGCTATCACTGAAGGTCTTGGTGAAGATTACCGTGCTATTGTCGACATGGTAAACGGACGTGATGTGCCTATCACAACTGATGAGCTACATGAGAAGCTAATCAATCGTGAAAACACACTGAATATCACCAACACCGAGCCTTCTCTTCCAGTTACGGCTAATGCAACACAGGTTTGACCTCAGCAACAACAGTCGAATCCTCGAGGTGGCTCCTTCTCAGCTCGTGGTGGTTTTAGGTCACCACGTCCTTATCTTGGAAAGTGCCAAATATGTGGAGTCCAAGGCTATGGTGCTCGACGATGTCCTCAATTTCAACCACAACAACAATATCAACAAGGACAACCGATGTCTCATCCTAGTATGCAGACTACTCCAGCGTTTCGAGGGCAATCACCGTGGCTTGCACCACATCTTCCCCTCCCCACCACCGCAGTGGCCGCAACAAGCTCATCATGTCACCACCAACTCTCCGTACTATGCTCCTTGGCTTCTTGACAGTGGTGCTTCTCACCACATCGCCAGTGATCTCAGCAATCTCTCCTTGCACTCACCGTACAATGGTGGTGAAAGTGTGGTGATTGGGAATGGTACACATCTCCCTATAACACATACGGGTTCTACAATCCTTCCCTCAAAACCTATAAAATCTTTCAAATAGACTCCAAAATTAAAATGAACAAAACAATATTTTTTATTTTGAAAATTTTATAATTTTCCTATTTTTAAAAATTTGAAATCATACCCCTAAAATTCCATTCCTCAACTATAAACAAACAAAATCTAGGATTATTTAACCAAATAGTATAAATGTATATTTATTTATTTTTGATAAAACATTTAAATTTATTTTGTTCAATTTTATTTTTAAGATCTATATTTATGATAAAAGCTTTTTAGGTCTATCCTAATTTTTTATTATTATTATATCATAAACATAATTAAGATACAATCTAGATCAAAATATTACAAAGTAACATGACAAACTTTACAACAACAGAATAAAAAACAAGACAATGTAGGGGAATGCTGAGCTCAGCGTACGTAGACCTTTTCATAATACTTTATCTTTTTATTTTTTATTGTACACCATGTATTATTCATCCTCACGATGACATATGAGTTCCACTTCCCTTGACGCTGCAACAATACAAAAAACCTAGAGAGTAAGTTTGGCTAATTTAAAAGAATTAAATCATGGTCTCTACCTGGGTATCGAGTAATTAATCATGTAATAAAAGAAAACAAAAATCTTACTTGTCGCAGTTAGTACTTATGGAGATGGGAAAGGGAAGGCTAACACCACACTTTCCAGGAAGGTCAGAGGCTCTAATTGGGTTGAAACCAGGAATCTTTTTAGCAACGGCCTGTAGGCATTCGCATGCTACTTGACGGTCCGGTGTGGTTCGAGCAATAGCATTCAAATCTCTCACTCCCCCACAACATGCAGGCGACAGATCCCCACGTCCCGTTAGGTATTTGATACAAGGACTCACGCTTTGTACCACTGTGCCACATGAGATTGCTGCACCTACTGATGCAACTATGAACACAGTCACAAGGCATGTTAAGAACCTGAGTGCCGAAGCCATTGTCTTTTCTTTTCTTTTTTTTTTGTGATAAAAAAAACAGGGAAACTAAGCTTGTGTTTTCCTGTTGGATGTGAGGAAATAATTTATCAGCTAGCCAACCATCAGAACTCTCCCAACTAACCCATTAATTCGATGGGACCATCTATTGGTTTTGCCATTAAAGGAAAGAACTGATTATGGCTATAGCTATTAATTGGTCGGTCTGACCATTGACAAACTCGTTCCAATTCATTGTGGATGGATAAAAAGTTGTCAAAATGAGCTAAAGACTAAATTGGTCCATGGTCGAATTGCGCAAAGATCAAATGTACAATGGGCATGTCCAAACTCTTAATAATCAGAGTTTTGTTAATTTATCTTTTTCTTAAACTTAAAAGCAGTAAAACAAAATTTTACAGATTTGACAGGAAAATGAAATTTATTGGAAAATGTTATTTTATGATTTTAGGAAAAAACTAAATTTTACGGTTTTGATATGAAAATGAGATTTTATAGATTTGGTGAGAAAAATAGGATTTTCAAAGTTTTATCAAGAAAATATAATTTTGTGGTTTTGGCAAGAATCAAAATTTTATGGATTTGGCGAAAACACAGTTTTACAAGTCAATAGATGATATAACATGATGCCTGATCTTAGTAAAATCCGTTATTAGACTTCATACTTTGGAAGATGGTATTTCTTTTTTGTCAAGCTAATCTATGAACATAAAATACTTTTAAACACCTAGGTCTTAATATTTACTTGCATCCTAAACACATAGACTTTGAACATTGCATTTCTAATTCTAACACACATCGACAATCACATTGATTAGTGACTGAATATATAAGTAAATTATGTCAAAATGAAAAAGTAACGGGGTCATATTGTAATTTATCGAAGAGTATAGGTTCATTACGTGAATAAACCAAAAACTTGCGGTTCTGTCTGTTCTCCTAAACCTCAGTCACCGATCGGTCAGAAAGCCAGCAGTGACGTAGGAACAAGAGAGATACAATGTCGGCGAGCCTTATGAACAGAACCGTTTCTAGAACCGAAACCTTCTTTGCTTTCAGACTCTCACTCAACGTCCTGAGAAACTTCTCAACGCCGGCGGCGGCATCTCCGGCCACTGAAAACCCTAACTCCGATCCGACTAAACCTAAACGAACAAAGAAGAAGAACATAATCGAAGTGGCTCAGTTCTTATCCAATTAGGGAATCGGATACCATATGGCTAAAGCTCACTGGAACAGAGTCTCTTATGAGATCACTAAGATCAATCTCTACAAGGTTTCGTCTTTTTTTTTTTTAAGTAATGCTATGTTCATTCCTTCTTCTGCTTAATATTAGTATAACGTTTTCTTCATGTATATTGTTGTATAAGAGTATCTACCAGTGACTAAAGTTGCATTGGTGTGTTATGAGATGCAATTGTATTTAAGTCCACATACTAAAGTTATTGCAGCCTCAGTTTGACTAACATATTTCTCAAAATACAGGCTTACGAGCTGCGGAAGCTCCAAAGAAGATAATCGGAGTTCACAAACGATGCTGGAAGTATATCCCTAACCTGTCAAAGACCACACTTGCAACTGCCGCCCAAGTACAAGCTGTCTGATTTGTTTATTTCCATTGTTTTATGGGTACTTCGTAGATATATTTATATCTGTTTTCTCAAAGCATGACGAAGGAATGATCCATAATCTTCGGATGATAGTTGGTAATTTAAGGTTCATCTTATTAAGACTTTGACGCTTCTTGAGATGGATTTTGATGTTCCTGCAACATTGAGCCTATATAGTTTAGCTACTATATTTATTTTGAACTTGTTTTTTAGGAATTTATTGCTTGTTTTTAATAAGCCTCAGTTACCAATTGCAGGGTTTGGTTTTGCATTGACAACACTTTTTTTCTTGTCATTGAGAACCGACCATTTGAAAGAACTATTGTTGTGTACTTTCTTAAAGTGTCAGAAATTTTGTTCATTATAATTTATAATTCTAGTTCCATGTCAGAAGTCTTTTTCTTCACCAAACCAGTAGGATCCTGTATGAATCATATGGTATTAGTCTTGCCAGTCATTCTAGCCAACTCCAATGCTTGCTCTCATCATATGCTTAGGTTTCTTCATGTTATAAGGCTCTATAATTGGTATGAGACTTAGCTAAAAGAAAAGAGAATTCACAGTTTATATAGTTGCAAAAGAAAACATATGTAATTACAAATCTAAATATTATAAGAATAAAATCAAAGAAATTAACATTTTTAATCCCAAGTTTAGTTCTGTAAACCAAGATAACTCTTTCAAAATGTGCTGTCCTTTTATTTTCTTTGGAACAATTATTAAAGAAACTATGAGTTTCCTTTTAGGGCATCTCCAACCTATACACCAAATTTGGTGTGAAAAAAATACTACATTTGATATTTTGAGGCTTCACTTTTTTTTCATCTCCAACCACAAACACCAAATTCCATACCAAAAAGAATATTCTCTATTATTATAATATTAAATTTATTTTACTGTTTATTTTAATAGTTTTAATAATTATTTATTGTTTATAAAACTGATTAATTAATAAATAAAATATAAAATTTCAATTGATAAAAAATCTGTTAATTATTTTTTATGAAACTGATTAATTAATTATTGTTTATTATTTTTATGTGTATTTTTTGTTAATTATGTAATTTTTGTGTATTTGATTTTAATTGGTAATTTTAAGTGTGTTTAATTTTAATTATGTAATTTTATGTGCTTTTAATTTTAATTATGTAATTTTATGTGTGTTTAATTTTAATTATGTAATTATATGTTTTCATTAATTTTTTATTTTAGTTGATGATATTTATTTGTATATTTAATTAATTTGCTTATTAAGATATGTTAAAAGTATAATTAACTGATATATATTTATTTAAATATATTATTTTAAGGTAAGTAAGAATAAAAACTTATTTATGTCGTTGGGTTTACCATTCGGTTGAAGAGTGAAGCACGTCATATTTGACATTATCCCATTCGATTGGAGTTTTGCCATTCGATTGGAGATGGCCTTAGCCGACATGGTTACATGCTGACACAGCCACTGGCATTGACAGTGACTACTGTGATTAGTTTGATCAATGCCCTTCATCTTTTATATAATTTTTAATCCGACCTCCTCTGTACCACACATGCACACACCTACATACAAAGTTCCTAAATACAAAGTTTTCATACGTGTAAATACTCTTTAGTATGAAAAAAGCAAACTTACTTTAAAAATGTAAAAAAAAAAATAATAATTCACTTTTTGAGAATGAATCCGTACCACGGGATCGAACAATGGCTAAAAAGCACTCGGTCTGAAAAAAATATCTTCCAAACTTGAGGGAGACAAAGAAGTAACTTTTGTTAGTAATTAAAATTAAAAGAACAGAACATAACAGAAGCTGCTCTTTTGTCAGAAGCTTCTTCCTTTCTCTTTCTCCAACATTTCTTTTCTCTGCAAGTTAGAATAAACCAAAATGAACAAAATCATTTTTTGGTAATAATTGTGTTTTTATTTTCTTTTGTTTGTATCCTTTCCTCGTAAAACCCATGACCCCTTTGTTCCTCTTTGCTTCAGTCTTCAAGAAACATGCCTTCTTTTGCTTTTGGATCTCCTCATCACCGTTTGGCGACTCCCGGAGACTCGCCGTACTCAGCTGAAATTAGCATAGACGGCGACTCCTCTGACTTGGAATCCTTGTCTGAAGTCGATTTAGAGAGTGGTGGTGTGACGTCTCCTGCGAAGAAGCTACATTCTGGTGGTGGCAAGAAGAGGAAAGCGAGGAGGAGAAAGAAGAAGAAGGAAGAAGGTAGAGATTGCAGGATCTGTCATCTGCCTTTAGAGACTAACAAAGAAGATGAAGAGGAAGATGGTTCTGATCAACAAGAAGAAGAAGATGAAGCAAGAGAAGATGATGAAGAAGAGTTTTATGGTTTGCCTTTGCAATTGGGTTGCTCTTGTAAAGGTGATTTGGGTGTAGCTCACAGTAAGTGTGCTGAAACTTGGTTCAAGATTAAAGGAAACATGTAAGTATCCTCAAAGACTTCATTAATTATTTCCCTTTTTTATGTCTAGAAAATTCTATATATACTCTTATGACTCTGTGGAAAAAAGTGAAGTGTGAAACAATGAGGAAACAGAATTATATATTTTATGTACTTTGATTTATTTTATTGTCTCATTTCTAGAGATCTATATGATTACTTCTCACAAATATTGTTATCTACTGAAGCTGGAATCCACAGTTTAAGTGACACACCAGTTATTCAGTTTTTATTGCCATGTGTTGTCAAATTATGTCTCATCTTCTTATTTTCCTGCACATTTGAACTAATTGTTGCCTCAACTAAATCCTGTCTCTGTGATTTGCTTTGAATTGAGAATCTTGCAGTCCCTTTTGCTTAGTTTGATTCTCTTACTAGGTAACCATTATACCAATAGTTCTGTCTAGCGTCTTTATATTGTCTTAAACAGTAGTAACCGGTTAGAGTTAGATCTTCTTCTTGTGTTTTTGGAAGTTTGAAATGAGTCTCTAAAGGCTATACTGATATTGTTTCTATGAAACTGAGCAGGACATGTGAGATATGCGGCGCAATGGCTATAAACGTTGCTGGCGAACAGTCAAACCAAGAGAGCAGTGATTCCGCCCGTTCACAAACAACTGCTGGACAAACTCAGACAGAGACACGGGGAACATGGCATGGTCGCCGTGTTATGAACTTCTTACTGGCCATTATGATCTTTGCGTTCATTGTTTCGTGGCTTTTTCATTTCCAAGTTCTGAAGTGAAAAAAAATCCGTCTCACTCTCTCTTTTTCTCCTGTTATTGAGCTGCTTTCTTTCGCTAAATCAATATCTCATGTCGCTGGATTGTTCACACGTTTTGTAGCTGTATAAAACTTGGTAGGTTTTAGATTGTTCTGACTTTTTAGATCCTCTATAATATTCCTCTACTCCGGCTTGGTGAACCTCTGTGTGACCAAGAAGGTCTTGGCTCTTTGGGTTCCAGACACAAAAGCAACACTAGATAAACGATGTGCCATCCTACTAGAGATGTCTAGAACAAAACAACAGAGAGATAGAGACACAAACTTAGACAAATTTGATAAAATGTCGAAAGAGGTTTCGAAAGTACCACACACGAGTAAAATTATGGAGAAATTGCATCGTCTTTCAAATTCTTCGAACTTGAGAATAGTCACTGTGTATCATGACTTTGAATGGTCGAAAACCTCAATTCTCATCAGAATGAGTTTCGTTGTACCTTCCGGTCCCAAACCAACCATTACACAAGGTAGCAAATAGTTATATACTAGGATAAGACCCGCGCCTTGCGCGGAATGAAGTTATTATTTTTATTATGTTTTTAAAAATAAAACAATAGTTCGGTTTCATTCGGATTAGAGGTGTTCAATCCAGATATCGGGTTTCGGTTCGGCTCGATTTTTTGGTATTTCGATCATTAAAATATAACTACTATTCTAAATCTATATGTACTTCAGTTTGATGTGGTTTATATACCATCGGTTTTCAGTTTATTCAATTTTATACCAAAAAACATAATTATTTAGTTTGAGATCATATTATATATTATACAAATATATAATATGATCATATTTAGAGTCATATTGTCACAGAGTCATTTATTAAAAAAATATTATATATTTAAATAAGAATAAAAAACAAAAAGGCTTCTATCATCTAATAAAATGATCAAATCTAGAATTAATATCAAAACACTAAATTTTGAAAATAAAAATAAAAAACAAAACAGAAGCATGAAAGAAAAGTTTTTATATTCTTCCATATTTAGTGTTCATCAAACCAATATGTCTACGATTGAACACAACTCTGTTTGTTTAAAGATTAAAAAAAGTTGTAAAGAATTTCAACTAATTGTTGTCCATCAAATTTATAATCTTTACTTCAATTTAGTTACTGTTAAAAAAGCAAAAGATCAAAATAAGAAGTCTTAGTTGTAATAAATTGTTAGCTATTTACAAATTATAATTATAGTTCAACTCATGTAATAAATAGATATTCATGCGTCGTTATAAATATATACATATTTACATGTTTCAGTTTAATCGATTACAAATCAAACCATATCCAAATCCTATGATTTTTATAAAATCACATCCATTCAGTTTGTATGGTATATACAAAAAATAACCATATTATCGATTGTTAAAATCTTTTAAAAATATAAAATTAAAAAAGAACTAAGATATTTAAATCATTGATAACAAAAAATTTCAATGTGAAAAATTTAATAAGTTTATAATTTATTAATGTTCTTGAAAATTTATTGAAAATTTTGAAATTAAAATATTTATGTAATCTTATATGGTATATAGTTTAATCTGTATATATATATATATATTTTTATTATTGAATGATAGTTTTTACTTATATGGTTTTAAAATCATGTATATCTTTTTATAATAAAATGTTAAACTATTGATCATTAATTTTTAACATAATAATTTTAATAGTTTAGTTATTTATTCTTGTTTCCTAAAATTCAAAATATAACCTAAACGAAAAATTCTAAAGTTTAATTTTATAGCTAATTTGATTGTTTAATTTATTTTAATAATATAAAATTAAATAAAAATGATGGAGGATATATAAAATGTTGTCAAATATTTATTATTAGAATCATTAAGTGTCATATATATATATTAGTCATTTATGGTAATTCCGTAGGTTTTATTTATGGAAATAAAATAAAATAGTAATTATATCTTAGGCAACAATCATTAAGTGTCATATATATATATTAGTCATTTATGGTAATTACGTAGGTTTTATTAATGGAAAAAGAATAGCATATCATATCATTATATCATATAGTTTGACTAACTAATGTATCTAGCATCCTATAAAAATCCAATGTGGACTTACTTATTTTTCAATTGAATCTAATTGACTACCTAATTGAATGACACCTATGCATTGAGGCTTTTTTTAATTAATACAAAATTGAGGTTACATCTTTTCAAATGTTCCTCAATTAATATATAGAGGATTTGGGAGAAAAGGTTAATTTTTGGGGAAAAGTGTAATTTCCTTGTAAGACAAACAATGAATTAAATAAAGTAATGGGAAACTGATCATTTTTTTCCGTGACAAGTTTTCCACGGAACTTAGCCATTTGGTTGTGTATTATTATATTACCTATCATAAAAACAAAACGTAGTATTTTTGAGAGATAAATGTAGATTTGATACAACTACTAATTAGAATGTGAAGTAGGTGCATATTTGATGGCTAATTAACGGATGTATTCATCTTTAATTTCCTTTTCGTTAGGGATAATGAAGCAGCCATGATCGGAAAAATAGCCACTGATGTTTCAAACGTGGGATGAGAACTCATATAGAAAATGTGGAGCCGCTTTTACACCTAGCATCATCTGATGAAGTGAAGATGATAGGGATTTGGGGTCCGTCTGGAATTGGTAAAAGCACCATAGCCAGAGTTTTATTCAGCAAATACTCTTTATCAGTTCCAACTTAGTATTTTCATGGAGAATATCAGAGTTCGATATCCAAGACCTTGCTACGACGAGTACAGTGCTAAATTACAGTTACAGAAAGAGTTCTTGTCTCAAATAATCAACCAGGAGGATATCAAACTTCATCATTTAGGAGTTGCACAAGACAGGTTAAAAGACAAGAGAGTTCTAGTCGTTCTTGATGATGTGGATCAGTTGGTGCAATTGGATGCAATGGCCAAAGAAACTACGTGGTTCGGTCCTGGAAGTCGGATTATCATCACCACGCAAGATAAAAAGATTTTGAATGCACACAAGATTAGCCAGATTTACCATGTGGATTTTCCACCTAGCGATGAGGCTCTTCAAATCTTTTGTATGTATGCTTTTGGTCAAAAGTCCCCAAATGATGATAGCTTCGAGAAGCTTGCTTGGGAAGTTATAGAACTTTCCGGTAAACTCCTTTTGGGACTAAGGGTTATGGGATCTTACTTCAAAGGTATGTCCAAGGAGGAATGGACAAAGGCACTACCAAGGTTAAAGATTAGCCTTAACGGTGATATTGAAAGCATTTTAAAGTTTAGTTATGATGCTTTATGCTATGAAGATAAAAATCTGTTTCTTCATATAGCCTGCTTTTTCAACAATGAATGGGTTGAGAAAGTGGAAGAGCATCTTGCGGAGAGCTTCTTTGATGTTAGACAAGGTCTTCACGTTCTAGCTGAAAAATCTCTTATATCAGTCAGCTCAGGATATATAAGGATGCATAATTTGTTAGCACATTTGGGTAGAGAAATCGTCCGTACACAATCTATTCATGACCCTGGACAGCGTCAGTTTTTAGTTGATACAAGAGATATATTCCAAGTACTCAACAATGATACACTAGTAAGTTGTCACTTTTGTCACACCTTACAAAATTTGATAAAACTGATCAAGTTTACTTATATTGTCTTTGGAGTTTTTTTATTCAGGGTAGTAGAAGTGTTGTCGGCATAGATTTCAAGTACTCAGAGATCACAGATGAGTTATATAGAAGTGACAAAGCCTTTGAAAGCATGTCTAGTCTTCAGTTCTTAAGACTCGATGGTAACTATATTCAACCCATATCGTACTTATCAGAAAGTGTGAACTATCTACCTAGAAAAGTTAGACTATTGCATTGGGAACATTTTCCTATGAAGTGTCTGCCTTCTAATTTTAACCCAGAGTTCCTCGTTGAACTAAACATGCCTGACAGTGAGCTTGAGAAACTGTGGGAAGGAACTCGCGTAAGTAATTTTAATTTCTTTTATAGAGTATATTTTATTTGTATACATCAATAGTAACTATGACAAAATGCTTTTCTTTGATGAGTTCACTAATAAGTCTTTGTGTGTGTTGTCTTTTTTTTTTGTATAGACGATTAGAAACCTCAAATGGATGGATTTGAGTTTCTCCATAAATTTGAAAGAGCTTCCTGATCTCTCAACTGCTACTAGTCTAAAGAAGCTGAAGCTTCCTGGTTGTTCGAATCTGCTTGAACTCCCTTCTTCTATTGGGAATGCTACTAATCTAGAGGGACTGGATCTCAATGGGTGTTCAGATCTTGTTGAGCTCCCATCCTCTATTGGTAGTGCTATAAACCTCAAGGATTTGGATCTTACGAGTTGTACAACTCTTTTGAACCTGCCTTCTTCTATGGGATGTAACACTGCTCTGGAGAAATTAAACCTCAATGGATGCAAGCATCTAGTTGAGCTCCCTTCCTCTATTGGTAATGCAACCAATCTCATGAAATTGGATCTTGAGAATTGCTCGAGTTTGGTGGAGCTTCCTTTTTCCATTAGAAATGCTGTGAACCTCAAGCATTTTGTTTTTAGTGGTTGCTCAAGTCTTGTGGAGCTCCCTGCTTTTTGTGGTAATGCTACTGATATCAAAGAGTTTAATCTCAGAGGATGCTCAAGTTTAGTGAAGCTCCCTTCTTCTATTGGGAATATCACTTGTCTCAAGAACTTGGATCTGAGTGAGTGTTTTAGTCTTGTGGAGCTGCCTTCTTCTATTGGGAACATCACTGATCTTAAGAACTTGTATCTTTCCGAGTGCTCAAGTCTCGTGGAGCTCCCTTCATCTATTGGATATATCACTAACCTTGAGAATTTGTATCTTGATGACTGCTCAAGTCTATTGAAGCTCCCTTCCTCCATTGGGAATATCACTAATCTTGAGAGTTTGGATCTCAATGAGTGTTCAAGTCTTGTTGAGCTACCTTTGTCTATTGGGAATATCACAAGTCTCAAGAAACTGTATCTTAGTAAATGCTCAAGTCTGGTGGGGTTACCTTCCTCTATTGGAAATCTTCATAAGTTGTTGACGTTTCGGTTACAAGGTTGCTCAAAACTTGAGGCTCTTCCTAGCAACATCAACATGAAGTCTCTCAACGAACTTGATCTCACTGATTGCTCATTGTTGAAGTTTTTCCCTGAGATTTCTACAAATATTAAGTATCTAAGGCTCAGTGGAACTGCAATAGAACAAGTGCCTTCATCAATCAAGTCATGGTCTCGTCTGGATGACTTGCATATGACATACTCTGAAAGCCTTGGGGAATCCCCTCATGTTTTTGACTGCATCACAGAGTTGCACTTAAGCGATACAAGAATACAAGAAATTGCTTCATGGATCAAGGAAATGTCACGTCTACATAAACTTGTAATCAAGGGTTGCACAAAGCTAGTCTCGCTCCCACAGCTTCCAGAATCTATAGCCTTTCTTGATGCAGAGAACTGTGAGTCCCTAGAGAGACTAGATTGCTCTTTTCACAATACAAAGTTCATTGATCTAAACTTTGGGAAATGCATCAAACTGAATCAAGAAGCAAGAGACCTTATCATCAGGACATCAACTTGTAGATTTGCGCTCTTACCAGGAACAAAAGTGCCTCCAAACTTCACTTACCGAGCCACTGGGAGCTCCCTGTCAATGAAACTGAATGGAATTGATACGTTTTTGCCTACGTCCTTGAGATTCAAGGCTTGTGTTTTGTTGGTTAATAAGGATAACGTTGAGGCTGGTCAGTGGAACGTGATGGAAGTGTTTGTTCGCATCAAGGAGGAACAGAATGGTGTCAATGTTATGTGTAGACCAAAAAACTACCACCTTCTACCTGCGCTTTTACGGTACATGCTCACTCCACGTTTAAATGAGCATTTATACATATTCGAGTTTGATAATAAGGTGAGTTCCAGTGAATTGTTGTTTGAGTTTGAAGTCCACAATGACAAATGGGAGATTGGAGAATGTGGGCTACTTGCTCCAACGGTTTGGGTCCCTCGTGTTGATGGAAGCTGAAAAAAAAAAACATATATGTTGTAACATAAAAACCATGATTCAAATGGTTTACATTTTATGCTGTGTTTGATAAGAAAGGAGAGTAATTATAATAATCTATTCTTTTGCATAAATTACATATGTAAACTGTTTCAAATTTGGAACGAAAAAAGGGTTGTTGAGCATTTTGAGATGTTGAGCCATATGGAGGTGAGTATCTAGTCTCAGGAAGTGCTCCCAAATACACAATATATATACGCCTGCAAATAGTGGGTTACTATTAGCTACGAGGTGCTTTGTGAATATGGGCATCTTACAAAAACAGAACAAAAACTTGAAGTTGCCTGTATTATCATATGCAGACACATCTTTGGTGTAAAATCTAAACAAGAGAGTCAATTCATATGATTTAGGAAATGCAATTTTAATATTTTTCTTGACTAATTCCAAACAAATCTTCTTTAATTTTCTGATCAAGAAAATATTTAGTTGGACTTAGTCAGGAAAAAAATTGAAAACTGCATTTCCTAAATCATATGAATTGACTAAAAACTTACAGATTTGAATAATGTCTTCAAAAACGAACATGAACCACAAGCATGGTTGAATGGTAAAGCGGGCTTAGAAAAGTGGTAAGCACCCTGGATTTGAAACCTACATGACCGTTTATGTGGTTAAGCTATATAGATATCTAATTAACATCTGATTAGTTGGGGATACTCCATGTTATCAAGTAGGGGTGAACACAAACCGAGTACTCGGTTTGGTATACTTAATACTGAGTTTGGCTTATAAATATTTTGACTTGTACTTGGTTTACTAAAAACAAGTACTTGTAAAAAATTGACGGACTTATAAAGTACTTGACTTATTTTATTACTTGTTACTTGTAATTTAGTTATAAATTTATTCATAATTATTAATAAATTATTTGATAATTCATTAGAATTTATAGTTAAATTTAGTTTATAAATAATATGTTATTGTTTTCTTGTATTTAAGTCATTCGAAAAAATGGACTATATAAAAAAAGAGAAAACTTCAAGATGCTTATATAAATATAACACTTATGTTTGATGAACTTATGAAAATGGAAATAGAAATGAGTTATTTTACTATGATTTAAGAAAATATATCTTTGTTCATTAACAAACATAAGTAACAAATAAAACAACGTCAAGTAATTAATTTACTTAAATATTTACTGTATACTTATAAGTAATTTTAATAGATTACTTGATACTTAAATTGTTCATAACAAATATCAATTTTTAAAGATCAAGTATTCATTACGCACCGAATAAGAGGTAAACAATGAGTAATTGTGGCCAATAAAATATAATACAAAATTTTTAATTAACTAATAAAATAGATATTAAATATTTAATAAATGAAGTAATATATAACAAATTATGGGATAAGTAAATGATAACAAGTAACAAACCAAGTAACAAATCAAGTAGTTAAAAATAAAAATGAATTTGATACTTGACTTTTACTTGCGAGTAATAAAATTTGTTTACTTGCTACTCGACTTGATTGTAACAAGTTTGCTTTTTCAAACTGAACCGAGTTAAGTAGCGAGTACAAACCGAGTATCAAGTATTTGTACCCAGCCCTATTATCACAAAAAGAAATGAACATGCACTTAAATATGCACCAAATATCTTTTACTTTGAAAAGAGTAGATTATGTTGGACATATATTAGAAAGATCCTTCTATTGTTGATTCAAATCACATATGAAGTTTGAATCATTTGTTCAGAATTAAAACTAACAAATTACCATTCACTTACGATTAAAACGTTATCAATCATTTAAATAATATTGTGTTGCCTTGTTCATTACTCTGAATCAACAAACAAATAGATCATCTATTCTAAGTTATTCCGGATACATCAACGCTTCCAATACAATTTTTTTTTTATCACAATAAAAGGTAACATCGAAGTCTGCTGCGACTTTTCTTATGCAACGGCTGCAGGATCGATTATGAGCCCCAAAAATTCTTCGTTGATGCTACCCACACAGGACTGCAAAACCAGAGACAAATGTGCAAAAATTTCAATAAGATTTAAAGCCACAAAAACTAATTTTTAAGTTGCATTGTGAAATAGAGTTATGGATACGGTGCGCACGATCTCAGTGCCATCGAATCTCATGCCAATGATCTTTAGTAACACTTCACACTCTTTTTGGATCCTAACCTGAAGGAATACATTGGAATATATAAGGTTTCTTGAACATAGATGGAATATACACTGGTGAAAACAAGAAACAGAGAAAAAGAAACACACTGATCCATCTGATGATGTGTATTTAGGCATGTCACCAGCCTGATACTCCATACCATCTGGCATGCACTGTGTTTATTGAAAAGAGGATCAAAGACGAGTAAATATAAATATAAATATAACATAAGCTAACCATGATGTAAAGCTTACGTACATAATCGGACACGAAAATCTGAAGAGGGCCAGCTTCAGCAAAGAATCCGTTCTGTAACATTTGTTAGGAAACATCAATAACTTGTGATTGCTGCTAAAGACAATAGAGAAACTCTATATATACCTGAACGACTCGTGTGACCACAGCTTCCAAAACCTCGCCTTTGAAAGGTCTGAAAACAACGCATCGGTACTTAACGGGGTAGGTGACAAAAGAAGTCCCATCTCGTATCAATCCTTTTCCTATGTTTTCTACTCCAGTTACCGCTACTACAAACCCATGTCGGCCACTGTCACCAATAGGAGGATATATTGTGATTGAATGAATATGCATATATCTTAAAAATAATTAGGGTTTTGAGAAAACGAAGCCTTAAACCCTAGAAACAAGATTTTGAGGATTGAGGAAAATTAAAGGGTTTCCGATATCTACTTTGATGAAAATATGCATTCAATAGAAAGATCTCGAGTTGCTGATTGATAGGAGAAGTGTGGAAGAACAAAAAAGTGTTTGAAAGAAACCTGATAGTGCCCTCGACATCTTTTATGAGCTTAGAGACGAGGTTTTCACGAAGGCTTCGACCAAAGAATCGTGGATGTAACTGCATGTTCCGCTCCAAAACCATGTGGAAGAACATCTCTTGTCGTTTTTTTGGAGTTTCTCTTTCGCTCTCCTCTCGCTTCTGTGTCTCTGAGGGGTTTCATGTAATATTTATAGACCCAATGAACGGCCGGGATTGAAAACAATATAGATCTTTCTTTTTCCTTATTTTTCCATATTTTGCATAAGAATTTTTTTTCTAAAAAAATGGGAAAACAGCATGTTGTTTGCACTTGCCCTCCCTCCCTTGCAAATTTAAAACTAATGAAATTCTATGTTGCTGTAATTAATATTAAGAATAAAAACATTGGTTTTTAAATTGAATGGTCTACTACACATTGCAGTGAAATTCACATTGTATTTAAGTTCACAACTGGTTTTAAAAACCATGAATCCAGGAAGAAAAGTGACAGAAAAACGTTTGGATCAATTCATTAGCATAGTTTGGCAGTTTCACAAAGGAACTATATAATCCTCCTCTTTCAAACTCAGAGTCTCTCAAGAGAAAAGTTTTTTTTTTAAACTTTCAAGACAATTAACTCGAGTTCACATGTTAGTTCTGCTAAATCTCTCCAATATTCAAGAAATTTGCAGCCAAACAACCAACAACTAAGCAGAGAGTTTGTTTCTCAGTTAGTCTGTAACTCAGACCATGAAACCGATTACTCCTTAAGTGAATGACTGTGAGAGACAAGAGTATAGTAGTGTATATACCACTGAGGAGTTGATTGATGAAGAATAAAATTTTGCAGACATTGGGAGTGATTGGTTGAGTTGTAAGTGCTGACTTTAGCTTTAATTTTTATCTATATTACTTAAATCACCAATCATGATTTATCTTATTTTTTAAAGCTATAGCAAAAAACTAAAAAAATGGTTGTAAAATCCTTATTTTCTAAAGTCACATATTTTTTGCTGTAGAAAATATGTTGTTGTAGCAATAAATTTTAAAGCTACATCTTTTACAGCTAAATCAAAAAATTCTATAGACTATTGTCTACAACAAACTTTTACAGTTATAGTTCAACCAATCATCCCCAATTATTTTGTTACCGTCTAATAATGAGTCAGGGAAGAAGAGGAAGATCACAAGAACATAAAAAGATTTAAGAAGAGAAATGGTAAGAGTTCAAATAAGATGATAATGTAACATTTAAGCTGTTTTTTTTGTGTGCCTCTGGACAAAGTCTCAGGGAGCTTCAAATGTCTCTCCCGCGAGGTTCTAACTGCAAAATATAAAAGATCAAAGAACTCTTCAGTGAGTAATTGAATCTCAGAATCCGAGCTCAGAAATCACAAAATCATTAAGTTCAAAACTTTAACACAGAGACCAAAGCAATTGAATCTATAACTATTTATTCAAGCAACACTATTGCAATTTGAGAAGCTTAAACCAGAAGTGTAACTACCTCTTTTGATCATAAGAGGCCTCCTATCCGCAGGCTTGAGAATTTGAAAAGAGCACATTAAACTCTCATCAAAGCTCATCACTGCACCAGCATTGTCGAATTCACCACAATATTGTAGTTGGGAGCTGAGAATATAGCAACAAGCTGTCTATCGGCAAAAAACTCATACCCATCCTCCACAACCTAAAGACAGGTTTTCATTAGAACTTTACCACTAGAGAGAAACATATTATATATTACAATATAGGGTGATTGGTTGGGTTTTAACTAATGACTTTAGTTTTATTTTCTATCTACAACCATATAAATCACCAATCATGCTTTAAGTAGTTTTTAAAACTAAAGTCAAAAAAATAAAAAAAATGGTTCTATGATCCTTATTTTATAAAGCAAAAAAATACTGCTGTAAGATTGCTGTAGGAATATCTTTTCTTTTTCCATTTTTTCTTATTTAATTTTTACAACTACATCATATACAGTTACATCCAAAAATTTCACACTTTTTCCAGTTACAGTCCAACCAAACAATTGTCATCTAATCTATTAAAATAGAGTCATTCTTTTTATCTACTGATACAAGTTGTCATTTAAATTTGGACTCTTTCTAGAATCTCTATAATATTATTTGAGAAGTCACTTTCTTATGTGTCGCGTTTACATTAACTCTCACGCTGGTTGATTACTATGATACCCTTAATAAATTTTAAAAATACATTTAAATATTATTATTTCCTTTTAGAAATTTTCCAAATAACAATGTAAAATAAAAAGGAAACATTTATAAAGTTTACAAATCTATTTAAAAACGAAAATATAAGTATATATAAATATGGTTTCATAAAAAAAGGAAAGTTCACAAAATAGTAATATTTAATTTAAATATATTTTAAATAACATAAAATATACTTTTGAAGTAATAAAATACTTTATATCTATATATTCTTAGATGAAAAACAATATTTGTATATAATGTGATTCCATAAAAAATTCACACAACTAATCTTGATATTAGAAAAAGAAATATTTTTTTCTTTAAAAAAAATAATTTTAAACAATAAATATATATATATTTATATATATATATATATATATCTATTTTATTATATGATTACATAAAATAATTAAGTAAGATAAACTAATGTATGTTTAATTGACAAAACAATTTACAATTAATATTCTTGAAATATATTTTTTTATTTTTAGTATATTTATTTGACTATAATATCTTACAATTACAGCAAAAAAAATATAAATTCTATTTTACTTATATAATATAATTTTCAAAAACAATAAATTTTTTTACTGCATATTTCAAGAGATATTAAAAACAAAACTAAAAATAAATTTTAATAATAAACATTTTTTTGATCAAATAACTACAATTATTTTAAAACATCATAACACTATATAATTTAACAAAGTATATATATTATATTTTAATAGTTAGATTTATATGTTGCATAATAATTCTTTGGATTTTTTATTTTCTGTTTTTATGTTTGTCGAACTTAATATAACCATAATCAAAATACTTAAGCAAATCAGAATCTTTATTTTAAAATTATTTAAAATAAATTTCTGTTTACCATCCAATCAATCTAAATATTGTAAATATTGATATGTGTTCATAAGCTTCCAAAAATTTATTAGTTACGCATATATGTAATTTAAAATCAGACAATTTAGTTTTTATTTTTTTCTTTCTAAGCATAAAAAATCTTAAGTTATACATACTCTTACTAGATATACTTATATTTTTAAAATAACAACCGGCATAAATGCAAATAAGACGATTGATCAAAAATTTAATATATTGAGGATAAAAAAGATTATAGTTGAATTTAGAAAAATAGATAGAATCTAATATATCCAAAAGATAACTAAATCAACCGTAAAAACAATAAAACTGATGAAATATAACATATCTAAAATTATATATATAACATTATTAATACAAATTATACCTACAATATACCAAATTGATAATCAAACCGACTATTGATCCAAAAAATAATTAAACTGACAATAATATATCCAAAGTCATATGTATAATTATAATAATATAATATTTATTAATATAAATTACATATAAACTGATTAAAAACTAAAATTAAATATAAATCAATTATTATAAAATTTTACTTTTATGAATATTTATATCCGTGCATGAGCACGGGAAAATCACCTAGTGTTACAAATAATATAAGTCATATAATTGATTGAACCGTATTACTTAAATTAAACCAACAAAATTAATGTAAAAAGACAACCTTAATGTAAACTACCTTCAAAATACGGCAGATATCTATATGTATACCAAAAACACATATTTCTCCTACAAATATGGAATGTTCTAAAAGAATATATATCATCAAAATATGGAATATGGAAATCTACTAATTATACTTAAATTAAACCAGCGGTTATTTATGGAATATAGTTTTGGGTTTACTTTTATTTTTTGAACAAATTATATAGTTTGGTTTTTGCACTTACTATTAAGAAAAAACTCCAAAAACATTGAATAAACTTTTCACCTTAAAAGATCAAAAAATCAATTATTATTTTCAGACCCAAAAGGTATTTAATATTTTTAACTAAACAAAATTATCCATTATTAATCATTTATTTAAATTATGTACTTTAAAACATGTTAATATTTTTTTTATTTTAAATAACAATCACTTTGTTTTGATAAATTTCAATGGTAACTTTTAAATAATTTATTGTTTTATTTTTCTTAAATAATTTACTGATTAAAAAAATGTAAAGCAAAACTAAAAACAAAATCTAAAAACTAAAATCCAAAACCAAAAGCTGAAAACACATATTATATTTTTTTGCTTTGTTTATTTACAAAATAAAATATTTCATTTTTTTAAAAAATTTGTTTTCATCTTACAGTTTTAAATTAGATGTTCGATTATTTGAGATTTGTTTGTTGGTAATATTTGTTCAAACTAACTCAGTGGGTTTAAAAATTAAAAACTCAAACCAAAAACTGAAAATGAAAAGTAGAAACTTAAAAATTAAAAACCAAAATCCAAAATCTAAAAATAAAAACTGAAACTAAAAACTAATGAAAAACAATCATCACCACAAATTTTGGTGAACTGATTTTATATCAAAATATTATTTAAATTATGACAAAACCCAATTATATAAATTTTTAATCATAAAAAATTTCCGCGCTTTTAAGCGCGGATCAAAATCTAGTATGAATTACATTTAACTCGTTGGAATCTCTTGCAAATCTACAAAATATGAAAATATTATAGAGGATTCAACAACGTACTCACTGCAGATCTTTTATAAAAAAATTCTCCAGTGATTTGCAAGTGTAAAAACACTAATAAACAATTAGTCAATCCACTTAACCAAAAGGACTTCCACAAAATCATTTGAATTTTGAACCATGTCTTCAATATTAGAAGTCACAAATTTTAGCATGAGCTAAGCTCAAATGCTCTTCAATCATTTGATTTCTTTATATTATTGTTTTACCTTGTCCATTACTCTGAATCAACAAACAAATAGATCCTCTGTTCTAATAGTTATTCCAGATAAATAAACGTTTTATAGGATTACAATACAACATTTATCACAAGTCATCCTTAATTTGTAAAGAGTACCATCGTCTGACTGACACTTTGCTTATGCAACGGCTCCAGGATCGCTTATGATCCCCAAAAAATTTTCGTCGATGCAACCCACACAGGACTGCAAAACACAAAAGACAAATGTGCAAAAAATTGAATAAGATTTAAAGCCACACAAAAAAAAAAAAAAAACTAATTATGTAAGTGGCATTGTGAATAGAGTTATGAATATGGTATACGCACGATCTCAGTGGCATCGATTCTGATGCCAAAGATCTTTAGCCTCACTTCACATTCTTTCTGGATCTTAACCTGCAGAGGAATATATTAAGGTTTTCTTGAACATAGATGGAATATATAATGGTGAAAAACAGAAGAAACAGAGAAAAGAAACAAACTGATCCATCTGATGTTGTGTAACTAGGAATGTCACCAGCCTGATACTCCATATCATCTGGTAACCTCTGTGTTGATTGAAAAGATGATAAGACGAGTAAAAATATATATATAATAGAAAGCACATAGAAACCAAAACAAAAGAGGCAGTAGCTCTAAACTATGATGTAAAAGCTTCTTACACGATTGGACACAAAAATGGTAAGAGGGCCAGCTTCGGCGAAGAATCCGTGCTGTAACAATTTGTTAGGAAACTTGCATAACTTTGTGATTGCCACTAAAGACAATATATAGACAAACTGTATATATATATTACCTGCATGACCGAAGTGACAACAGCTTCCAAAACCTCGCCTTGGAAAGGTCTGAAAACAACGCATTGGTACTTAACAGGGAAGGTGACGAAAGAAGTCCCATCTCGGATCAATCCTTTTCCTATGCTTTCTACTCCAGTTACCGCTACTATAAACCCATGTCGGCCACTGTCATCAATAGAATGAACATGCATATCTTAAAAATAATTAGGGTTTTGAGAAAACGAAGCCTAAACCCTAGAAACAAGATTTTGAGGATTGAGGAAAAAGGGTTTTCCGATATCTACTTTGATGAATATATCCATTAGATAGAAAGAGCCCGAGTTGCTGATTGATAGGAGAAGTGTGAAAGAACAAAAAAAGGGTTTGAAAGAAACCTGATAGTGCCCTCGACATCTTTTATGAGCTTAGAGACGAGGTTTTCATGAAGGCTTCGACCAAAGAATCGTGGATGTAATTGCATGTTCCGCTCCAAAACCATGTGGAAGAACATCTCTTGTCGACTTTTTGAGTTTCTCTTTCGCTCTCCTCTCGCTTCTGTCTCTCCGAGCCTATCTATGTTCATGTCATATTTATAGACCCAACGCACTGACCTACCAGAAGGTTTTCGTTAACCGTAGGATTCTTAATAGAATGAACGGCCATATTGAAAATAACATTGGAAAATCGCATAAAAACCTTGAAAGTGACTATTTCTAACACTTTAAACTTTAAAGTTTTTTCACTAACATTTTAAACCTACAAAGTGACATTTTTAAAACAAGTCATTTAGCAAATTTTTCAAAAAAATAAATATTTAATAAATAAAAATTTAATAAATAATAAAAATGAATAAAAATCAATTAAATCTTCCAAAAAATTAAAAAAAATTTCAGAACATAAAGAAAAATTTATAAAAAATAATTTCAAATACCAAAAAATAAATAATATTCTGAAAATTAAACAAAAAATTAAAGAAAATTCATAAAATTGAACTTTTTTGAAAATTCATTTGATTTTATATTTTTTTATTTTATTATTTATTAAATTAATATCTATTAAATATTTATTTCTCAGAAAAACTTGAAAAATTACCTATTTTATTTGTTATTTTTTTCAGAGAATTTTTTTTAATAAATATAAATATAAGAAATAATAAGAAAATAAATAAAACCAATTGAATTTTCAAAAAAAGTTAAAGAAAATTTCAGAACATAAAGAAAAATTATAAAAATAAATAAATTGAAATATCAAAAATTAAATAAAATTCAGAAAATTAAACAAAAAGTTAAAGAAGATTCACAAAATTGAAAACTCAAAAGTTCAAATAGTTTTTTAAAAATTACAAGATTATGTTTTTAACTATTTGAAACTAACAACTTTAATAGTGATATGTTTGAATTTATTTTTGCCAACGATGATATGTCAATTTATAACTGGAAAATTGCATAAAAATTACAAGATTTCTTTTTCAAAAATCTGAAATATTATAGTTGAGAATAAAAATTTCAAATATATCACTATGGACGATGATGGCTTCAAACAGTTTTCAATTTTTTAAATGTTTCTATATGTTCTGATATTTTCTTTATTTTTTTAAAAAAATAAATTAATTTTGTTCATTTTATGATTATTTGTTAAATATTTATTTTCAAAAAAAATTGATAAATAACCCTTTTTACCTGTTCAACATGTCAGATTTTCAAATTCAAGGTTTTTGTGACACAAATGTCATTTTAAAGGTTTAAAGTGATAGTGAAAAAACTTCAAGGTTTAAAATGATAATAAGTGTCACTTTGAAGGTTTTTTATGCGATTTTCTCAAAATAATACTATTTTTTCCTTATTTTTCCATATTTGGCATAATATTTTTTTTTAAAAAAAAGGAAACACCATGTTGTTGCACTTGCATTAAAAAAAAAAACCATGTTGTTGCACTTGCACTCCCTCCCTTGCAAATTTCAAACTAATGAAATTCTATGTTGATGTAACTAATATCAAGAACAAAAACATTGGTTTTTAAATGGAATGGTTTACTACACATTGCAGTGGAATTCACATTGTATTCAAGTTCACAGCTCTTACAAAAAGTAATAATAATAATACTAGATGATAGCCCGCGCACATGCGCGGTTGAAATTTTTATACTAATATTTATTCATTAAATGGTTTTTAACATTTTGCAATACTACAGTTTTTATCGATTATAAAATGATGAATACAAATGTTAGTATCTTAAATCATCATAGGTCTGGACGTTTGAGACTGTCGATTTTGGTTTGATTGAGACGTATTTTCAGATTTTGGTATTATTCTCATAAATCCTATTTGAATTTTACTAATTATCGAATTAAATTCGATTTGATCTTCTCAATTCAGTTTTGATTGGATTGTAACCAATATCTTAAATCATCCAAAAAATATTTATTAAACATTAAAAGTTGACAAAAATTTGAAAATATTTAAACTATTAATAAATCTAATTTAAAATTAGTTAAATTATCTAAACAAACTAAAAGATATTTAAAAAAAGCAAATAAAACTAACTACAAAAATATTTCGAATACTATAATTTGTATCTACTACCCTCAAACATTTTCACTGAAATTTTTAAATTAACATATTTATAATATAAATATCTACTAATGATACTTCATATTCGTACATTTTATGATAATTTGTATCTTGTTTGAAAAAAAACAAAGTTAAACCATTGATCATAAAATTTTCAATGTGGGATTTTACTATTTTTAGTTATTTATGGTCGTTTTTAAAAAATTTAAAGATAGAACCTATAAGAAAAAATTTAGTTTTTTTATTATATATTTAATGTGATTGTTTAATTTATTTTAATAATTTAAAATTAAAAAAAAAAGAGAGAGGACACAAAAATATGTATTATTCATAATCATTAATTACATATATATGTTAATCATATTAGGTAATTTCGTAGCTTTTATTTAAGGAAAGAAAATATATTGTTTTATACCTAGCAGAGTTGGTACCTTAAAAATGTATATATATTATAGTCCTAAATGTAAGAAATTAAATGTCATATTATTTCATTCCTAGCAAAGTTGGTCTAATAAAAAATTAAGACTGAGAAGCTCTGTGAGCTTGACACGTAAGCATGCTCTCCAAGGTTGTGCATTTATGAATGCTTCAGGATTAATATATAAGGGATAGGTTTTAAAAACCATGAATCCAGGAAGAAAAGTGACAGAGAAGGGTTTGGATCAATTCATCAGCATAGTTTGACAGTTTCACAAATGAACTATTTAATCCTCTTTCAAACTCAGAGTCTCTCAAGAGAAAAGTTTTTTCTTAACTTTCAAGACAATTAACTTGAGGTCACATGTTCTGCTAAATCTCTCCAATATTCAAGAAATTTGCAGCTACAACCCACAACGAAGCAGAGAGTTTGTTTCTCAGTTAGGCTGTAACTCAGACCATGAAACCGGTTACTCCTTAAGTGAATGACTACGAGAGTCAAGAGTATAGTAGTTGTGTATACCACTGAGTTGGTTGAGATGAAGAATAAAAATTTGCAGACATTATTTCGTTACTGTCTAATAATGAGCCAGAGAAGAAGAAGATCATAAGAACATAAAAGGTTTAAGAAGAAAAATGGTAAGAGTTCAAATAAGATGATGATATAACATTTAAACATTTTTTGTGCCTCTGGACAAAGTCTCAGGGAGCTTCAAATGTCTCTCCCGCCAGGTTCTGACTGCAAAATACAAAAACCAAAGAATTCTTCAGTGAGTGATTGAATCTGAGAATCTGAAAGGCCTAAACCAGAAGTGAAACTACCTCTCTTTTGATCATAAGAACCGAGGCCTCCTATCCGCAGGCTTAAGAATTTGGAAAGAGCACATTAAACTCTCATCAACACTCATCATAGCACCAGCATTGTCAAATTCACCACAGTAGTTAGGAGCTGAGAATATAGTAACAAGCTGTCTATCCGCAAAGAACTCATACCCATCCTCTACAACCTAAAAACAACATTTTCATTACAACCTTCCACTAGAGAGAAACATGAAATATAACATAGTGTAGTAGACCAAACCTGGTGAGCACGACAGATGAGATCCATATCATTCTTTATTAGAAACTCAGCAACTTTATCAGGCCCAAACGTGTAAGAAACTCCACGATCATTCATCCCCCAACCTTTAACATCTTTACTCGGATCAGACCAAAGCAGATCACATAACAAACCAGTGTCCGGAACATCCGTAGGTCTCTTAATAGTCTTGATCTGTTCCACATTGGTCAAATCGGGAGAAAGGCCACCGTGCATACATAATATCTTATCGTCTATTACAGCAGCCACTGGGAGGCAGTTAAAAGAATCTGTAAAGACCTTCCAGAGCCTCACACTGAACCTGCGTTTACATTCGTCATAGAATCCGTAGATTCTGTTGATTGAAGCACACTCGTGGTTTCCTCTTAGAAGGAAGAAGTTCTCAGGGTATTTGATTTTGTAGGCAAGGAGGAGACAGATTGTCTCCAAGCTTTGCTTCCCTCGGTCCACGTAGTCTCCTAAGAAGAGATAGTTAGCTGTAGGAGGGAAGCCTCCATACTCAAAAAGTCTCAATAGATCTGAGTACTGTCCATGAATATCACCTGAAGAAACCAAACATTACAAAACAACAGGTGAGTTCACATAAATAGAACAGGATCTCATCCAAACAAACAAATCAATCCTAGAGGTTACATCAATAACTAAGATACTCAGCTAATCTTAGGTTATACACAACTTGTGTAACACAAGGCTAAGCTCATTTAGCTTCAACAAAATAACGTTGACAATGATTTTAACCTTTTCATGAGGTCTCACCCAAGACATAGAGCATTCCAATTTCCAACGATCTTTATGAGTTTATTTAACTTCTCTTTTTGTGCAAGAGCAGCTGCTGCAATCATATGACTGATTAAACCTCTTTATCTATCTTAGCTACTCCATTATACTTTAAAAAAAAAAAACTTTTTTTGTTCATCCTTATCTATAACTTGACCAAACACACACACACACACATATCTCTGTCTGAAACCAATTCATGTTTCAAAAACCTACTAAAAGAGTCAAGACAAGAAAAAAAACATAACTTTGTATGGAAGCTGATCGTAGAACAAAGCTAACAATCATGGAGACCTCAGATCCCAAAAACAGAGGATACATTAGGAAGAAAGTGGTTGATTTACCGCAGATCTTGATGGGAGCTTCAAGCTCAAGGAGGTTAGGCTGTTGAAGGAAAATCTCTCTAGAGACGAGACAAAGCTGTCGGATCTCAGACTCGTTGAGCATGACCTGTTTGGTTCCAGGCTTAGGGTTTCTATAATCCAACAGACGACGAATGATGTCGTCGAGAACGGCAGGGTCCATGCTTCCCTGCCCTTGTTGCGCCATTCCAAAGACTCCTCTCCCCACACGATCCAAAACAACACCCAATCGAGTTCTGTCTGCAATAAAGTTTCAACCTTTCGGACAAGGAATAATCGATCGCCCAGATAATTAAGAAAAAAAAAGATCTTGTCTCGATCTTTGGACCAAAAAAGTTTGGCCTTTGTTTCCTCCAAGTTTTACTTTATAATTTTTCTTGTTTCCAACGAATATCTGTTGATGGGTGAGTTTATCGAAGGTTAGTGGTTTTCACTTACTTTTTTTTCCTTTGGTTATTTATTTATTTATTTTATTTTTACTTTTTAATTTCAAAATTAAGATAATAATACAATGATAATGGCTTATAAAAAATCATCTCTTTGTTCGTGTTCTTCCATTTTTGATGGATTTGCTGGTCCCAACTCTGAGCACATCATTGATTTTCTTTTAGTGGAAATAATATGTATCACTTGATAGAAAAAAATGAAATATTATTACTTTCACTGTATCTATATATTTTTAATAAATATTACTTTGTTTTGGTTGAATATGATCAATTTTCTTTTTGCATTTTTTCATTGTTTTCTGGTAATATATTTGATCAAATGAATTAATTAGTTCATGGGTTTGCTTTTTTTTTTTGTTTTTCTCTCAAATTTATTCATCAGTTATGTTATTAACCAAAAAAACTAATAATGTTACTTAACTTAATTGGTTTTAAATTAAAGAGATAAACGTTGATAATTATAAGAATCTAACGCTACACATATGTTAATTTTAGATTGGGATTCTCTGTGGTTTTTATTCAACTTTTATTTGTTTTCCGTTTTTTTTTCCTATACTAGAAATAAATTAATTAATGAAATGTTCATACAGGTAAACCAACTCCACTAGTTTTCTTGTTATTTTTACTGTTTTGAAGTCATCTTGTTGATCCTTCAATAGTTAACCTATGAAACGTTGGATGGCTCTATATATTGTATAGAAAGTGGTATATAAAGATATCACCATCGTTCTAAAATGTCCAAAACATTCTTAGATAATTATCACACATATAAACAATGATCTATAGACCTTTAATAGTTGGAAATTGGAATATTACTTATGAAAAACAAATAAGAGAAGTATACTAACAAGCTTTTGTTCTTTTTTGTTTAGTTTTTTTTTTTTGCTGAACATAAACCCACCAAAGATGGTAAGACAAGATTAGTTAAGATAATTATTCTACATGCTCTTGCAATGTTACATTTCACCAGACAAGAAATCTTTAAGAGAAGTGGTTTCGATCAGATTTGTTACCAGCCATCATGATCACAATGTTGGAATCTGCATGGTCTCTTAGTTCGCGTAGCCACCTTAAGGCATTGTCAAAAGAGTATCTTTTGGTGATGTCATAGACAAGAAATGCACCTACTGCACCTCTGTAATAAGCGCTTGTGATGGCTCTGTACCGCTCTTGTCCTGCAGTGTCCCAGATCTGAGCCTTTACTGTCTTTCCTTCAACCTGAATAACCGTAAGACAATCACAAGAAACGCACAATCAACCGGTTAGGTCTTGTTTTCAAGCTTTCATAAGCATGATTTGCAGATTGTATGACACAGTTACATGCTTCACCAATTAACTATGTATGATAACTCTTGTTACATGAAATTAATAACTGATGAGTTGACTTTTGACGATGGGTTGACTTGGGCACAAGTTGTAGGAAGCATTTTTGTCCATTGGCTCTCTCCACCATTCATTCACTGACATAAAAGTTAAACAAACGTATCGCTCATGACTCATGGCCAGCACATCTAAGATTCTCACTTGATATAAAACTCTCTCAGATAATATTTTAAACAACTCCAATCTTAAGAAACCACAAAAAATTTCATTGGTTAAATATTAGACCAGCCGCAATGGGAGGGATCGAAGGAGTCCTTAGCTCTTCATACATGTGGGATATTAATAAAAAAAGACGTATCTTATACAATAAAGTTAACTTTTCTCCATTCTCCTTGTGCCAGCTCAGCATTTGTGAGGAGGGCAAAAAAAAGACATGTCAGCATTAAAACAATTCTCGGATTCAAATTGGGCCATACCATATCATCCGCCAGCCTCTTTGTCTCCACTCCCAATTGTCTTAATTATCACCGCTGCAACTAGATCGATCGATTGACCGTGTAACGTTTCTCATCATCATTCAAACCATGTCATTAACTTCCTCCATTAGACTCATCCGTTAAGATCTCCACGACATCCACTTCAGTTGCTCCCTCTCACAGCTTTTCTTTTAATTATAAACAGGGATGAAACTTCCTAGATCTACATACTCCACCCTGCAACTATGGTAACCTCTCTATCATGATTTCTGATATAAACGCGTCTACGTTTTAATCATCATATCTTACTCTTCGATTTGTATGGATATTGTGATGGGGGTTGATCCCGACTTTAGTTTTTCGAAAATATTTTCAGCTGCAATGGGTTTTGTTTCTTCTTCTTTTAGACCACCGTCGATGTCACTGGAGCTATGGAGAGAATGCAGATGCAAGCGACCAGCAGTAACCTTCTTAACTCGCTGTCAAACCCCACCGATCGGTACACTTCCACCACGACGGAGCACCGATCTTCCCAGTCCGCAAGATCCCGAAAGCAAAACTCCTCCACACCTTCTTCGCTATTGTCGAACGGGATCCTCTCATGGAAGGAGAAACATGTGTCTCACTTCTGTGTGGTGACCATCGCTCTGCCGTGGCTCGCTGGATCTACCGCTCCTCATCGCGGTCTTAAAAGTGAACATCCAACGCGATCTGCACCTCACCAACACGTTGCTTTATCTAATGAAATAAACAAGAACATCAAAGATCCATCTCTCATAATTCAAAATACAGATTTGGAGCATCTCACATAGGTCGGAAACTTCCTCTCAATCCATTTCTACGAATAATCACTCTTGCTTTCTGTTAGAACATATTGATGTATATCCTTTAGTTTCCTTTCTTTCTAAAGTTCTTTTCTCATATAGTAAATTACTTTATCTAGCTTACGATTACGTCGATTTTTTTTAATCCCTACATTTGTTAACTATTTTTATTGTGTTGCAAAGAATTTCATGGTTACAGGAATTTGTTGCACGCGAACTATAGTAGAAGTTCAGCTAACGCAAGATAAGCTCTTTATAAGTTCTTTTCTATTTGGCATGTGTGTGAATTAGTCTCTTCAATTTGTTCAAAGTGATTCTCTTCAGATTGATCATAAGTACATCATTCAATAAGTTATATTGCTTTTAGTTGGCCCTGCAATNTGGCATGTGTGTGAATTAGTCTCTTCAATTTGTTCAAAGTGATTCTCTTCAGATTGATCATAAGTACATCATTCAATAAGTTATATTGCTTTTAGTTGGCCCTGCAATTTACAGTATCTGTTTTCCTCTCAGTTTTTTTGAATGGTTAAACCTCAAATCAATGCTCAAGATATACACCATAACCAAGAGGAGTTGCAAAGTAAAGCAAGAAGTGACTGGAGTCTAGGGGATGCACATTCGTATGCTATGTAGAGTTGTTCTGTCAACAAGAGACAGTGAACATCAGTTAAATCAAACTAAGTAGCCAGTTTCAGATTGTTGGAAGGGTAAGTGTTCTTTTATGTTTAGTAAAGTGACCACCCTAATCTATAGATGATTGAACATTGATGAATATGATTCGTGCAACTTTCTATTCTTTTACAGTTTCTCTTATTTATTGTTCCAGGTCGCACTATACATGAGTTTAATAACAAAGCTCTTCATTAGGGGAGAAGGTTATAGTATGCAATAGTATATTCAGGTTTGTTTTGCTGTTTCTCTTAATTTCTTAAATTGATTTAACAAAATAATGGAGAGACTGGGATGGAGAGGTGAAACAGCGGCTTCCATAGTGTGTCACATTTTGCCAATAACAAGTTAGATTACATCTTAGCTCTACTTTATTCTCAATATTAAAAGAAAGTTCTTCGACAATGCAGTAGTCTAATAGCCTAATGCATGGAAAACTGGTTTGGCTACAAGGGTTTTAAGCAATTGACTTTCGTTTTTTTTTTTGTGTTCTTCAGTTAGAGAAAATTATCAGCTTGGGAATCTAAAAATAAAATACACTAACAGTAACTGACAAAGAATTCAGATATTTGAGGATAGGTCCTACTAACTGAGGCTCTAAGCGAATATTTAATTGATTTTCTNAATGCATGGAAAACTGGTTTGGCTACAAGGGTTTTAAGCAATTGACTTTCGTTTTTTTTTTTGTGTTCTTCAGTTAGAGAAAATTATCAGCTTGGGAATCTAAAAATAAAATACACTAACAGTAACTGACAAAGAATTCAGATATTTGAGGATAGGTCCTACTAACTGAGGCTCTAAGCGAATATTTAATTGATTTTCTGCAAGATGTTTTTGAGAGGAGCTCATGTATGAAAAATATGAAGAGAGAGCAACGTTTGTAATTTGATGGAAAATGAGTGCTTGAAGTGCAAGTTATTGTATTTAGTTAACTATAATTAATTGGGCACTGTCATCGTCTGCGGGTTACTAATAATATTTACAATGATCACTGAAGGTTAGGAGGAGCTCAGCAGAAACTATAAACCTTCAAGAAAACTACTACTACAGTTTAAATGACTCTCACTTATGTTGTGTTAAAAATAAAAATAAAAAATCTCAAAAATTGTTAACCTTATAAATAAGGTTATGAAGTTTAACAAACAAATAAAATAAAATAAAATAAAATAAGGACGCTATATGGAATTAGAAATTTATATTTTAAATTTGTAATATTACTGAAAAACAGGAAAAAAATGTTTTTAATCATTATGTTAGAATGAAAATATATTCACAATTCACTTAAACCAATAAACAGATGCATTAATACTTAATATTGTAAAGAAAATATAAAAGTCAAAGACTCAGTTAGAAAGTATATAATATTGTATTTGTAATAACAATGTAATACCCTGATTGGTATTTTTAAAAGATAGTACCTGTAAACAAAATAATTTTTAATAAAAAAAAAATAAGTTGTGCATATCTATTGACAATATCATGATTATCTTTTAATCCAAAATTAATATTGTATTTTTAATAATAATGTAATACCCTGATAAAATAAGTTGTGCATATTTTTTGTGAATATCTTGATCATTTAGTTCAGAATTATAATTTAACTATAGTTAGATTGTAATATATTTTTCTCTGTTTATAGTTTAACAAATGATATAGTAAATAGTAATATGTTTTCATAAAATTTTTATTGTATTTAACTCATACAACATTTTGAAAGTTGTTTTATTTACATTTTTGAAATTTCTTTTTAATAATAGATATAATTTAGCTCTATTTAAAGTAATGAGTATTTAGCTTTACCTATTACAATAGTAACAAAATATAATACAAACATTAAAAACAAACAATCAAAGTACTAAACATAAATAATTTATATATATATATTGAAATATATAAATCTGTGTGTTCATCCTCTTTTAGTCCATAATTATATTTTAACTATAGTACGATTGTAATATATTTTTCTCTGTTTATAGTTTAACAAATAATACAGTAAATAGTAATATTTTTTCATAGAAGTTTTAGTGTATTAACTCATACAACATTTTGAAAGTTGTTTTACTTACTTTTTTGATTTTTTTAAAAATAAGATATATAATCTAGCTCTATTTGAAGTAATAAGTATTTAACTTTACCTATTACAGTAGTAATAAGATATACTACAAAAATTAAAAAGAAACAGCAAAGTACTAAACATAAATAATATATATTGAAATATATAAATCTGTGTGTTCATCCTCTTCATACATAATAAAAATATATAAATTTATAAAAATGGTAAGAAAAACATTATAAGAAAATCAATTATGAGAATACATTAACTTTATCATGTCAACAATTTTTTTTCCTTTAAAAACTATTTTTTATGTTTTTAATCATTGAACTTATGTTAAGAAAAACTACTAAGATGCTGAGAAAAACACAACAAATAATTTACACATTATCAAAACAAATGAAAACAATAAACTTAAGAAAAAATTAATAAAATGAAATAAATAATTTCATGGTACAAACACGAGATTAATTTTTTTTATATCTTACTAAATGTATTTAAAAATGTTACATCATGAATTGCAAAAGAAACATCAAACTTAATTTCAATACTTATCTGAAAATATATATATATATATATATATATATATATATATATATATATATATATATATTCATAGTATGAACAAGAGACACAATAAAGAATAACATGTCAATGAAAATATAAGAATAGAAAGTATAAGAGTAGATAATCTAAAATAAAACATGCATATAAAAAGATCTATCTGACAAAAATAAGATAAAACATATCCTCATTAAAGTTATCTCAACAGTCGGAACTATAAAATTTAGTTAATTGCAATGAGATGGAAGTTGAATATCGTACCATCAAATATTTTAAACCTAAATGAAAGATTAAAATAAAAAGAAGCAATCATAAAAATAATAAATTATACATTATATATTCTACTATTTTCAAATAGAAATCGTGTAACAAAAAATATAACTTATATAATAATTAGATAAAGATATAACCTCTAAAAATTAATAATAAATAGAGTTAATATTGTTGTGAAACTATTATGAAAGTTAATGCTATTTTACTTCAAATAAAATTAAACATTTTAAAGTAAATTTATATTATTAATTTTATATATTCGCCCGCCCGTAGGGCGGGTTTACCCTAGTTGGTTAATATTACTACGGATCAGTTCGTGAATAAGGAATGAAATGACTTGTTCCTTAGAACACGTGGCGGTGGGAGATTAAGTTTCGTTTTGTAAAAAAAAACTACGTGTTGCTCCACCAACACACATCGTGCAACTTCAAAAGAGCAAAATAAAAGTAGTAAAATTAGAATTCAGCCGCATCAAATGAGCTTATGGCACCTAAATTTATACACCCTAATGACGTGATCATGAAGTAAGTAGATAGCAAAACGAAAGGCAAAGATGAAGAGGAAGCAAAGACTTCAGGGTTTAGGGCTAGATTTAGTTTTAAAAGAAGACAGAGACTGGGAAAACTAAGAACACCACAAATTGCAAATCCTAACATTTAAACCGCAAAAAGATCACGTGAAAAAAATGAAAAAAGAGCTTGAATCGACACATTGCAAGATCACAGAGACACACCCATAAATATGATTTTGGTTCAAATTATCTCTGATACAAACACCATCACTCATTCACTTGATAATAGAGAGACAACGGAACCATCGAAGTGATCATACCTTTTCACTGAATCATGAAAAACCGAGTTTCCACCCTCTTTGGATCGGCTTAAGGATGAAACTTCCATTGAAGGAAACATTCCATGATCATGAAATTTTCAACTAATTGAGGAAATACTGAGAAAAACTGGTTTACTTGTCTTTAGGGTTCGTATTAGAAATGTTTTTTTCCTTTCTTAGAACATACGACAAAAGAAAACGACAAGAGAGCTGAGGTGGCAGCTTAGCAGACTGACAAAAGTAAAAGAATGTTTCAGGGGTATTACAGGAATTAAATTTGTTTCAACAAAACAAAAAGGCCCAAAAAATACTTTATTGGGCCAATACACATTGAATGGGCCTGGTAGTTAGGGGATATCTCTTCTAGTTAAGTAACGCGCGGTAGAGACTAGAGAACAGAGGAAGCCTAAGCCGACGAGGAAGATGAGAGAGACGGTGAAGTTAATAAGCATGGAGGGTTTCGAATTCATCATCGACAGGGAAGCCGCCATGGTCTCTCAGACTATCCGTAGCATGCTCACTTCTCCAGGTTCCTCTCCTCTCCTCTGTTTTCTTGTAGAGTTAGTGATCGCAACCACGGTTTCTGTTCTTATGATCTTACTTGATTCTGTCAAAATCTGCCTAATTGGTTACGAATCTGAATCAAATTGATCGAAATCTTGTATTCAATCGTGTAATTGAATCTTCAATTTTTAACGAGGAAGCAAACCTAAAGTCATAAGCTTTTATCGTTTCTTCACGAGAAACTAGGAGTGTTTAGATATCGACGTGTGATTGATTCCCTTTGTTTAGGGCATTGAAAAGTATTGATCTTGCAATAGTGCATTCAATGTTCGAAAGAGATTGCAAGAAGCTCTGTTTTAGATGCAGAGTTTATGGAGATCTGATGAATACACTCTGTTTTTATTTTCAGGTGGCTTTTCGGAGTCGAAAGATGGTGTCGTGACTTTCCCTGATATCAGCACCACCATTCTAGAGAAGATCTGCCAGTACTTCTATTGGTCTCTACAGTACTCCAGGTCCCTTATCTTTCTCACCTTGTCTGCTCTAACACTATCTCTATATAGCCTCTCGTAGACTGTCAAGAACTTAATCACGATTTGTAGCCATTTAAGTTTCACCTAGTGTAAGAATAACCATCCCATGGAGGAATAGTTTCATTACAAACTCTTTACATCCGTTGCATATCAATTCAGTTGGCAGTCAAGTTTTCATCTTTAGGAATGGTTTGTGATTGCAGTGTTAGGGGAATGTATCTTAAGTGTTCTTTGATTTTTACAGAGGCAAAGAGACGGAGTTCCACATCGAGCCTGAACTGACTCTGGAGCTAATGATGGCTGCTAATTACCTTCACACTTGAAGCCTTACAATGATAACGCTACTGGATCTTAATTGGAGTAGTATAGCTTTGTTTCAGGTCTGGACGTAAACATGTAAATCCCTGGAGCACTTATGTGGGGACTTCAACATTTGACAAAACAAAAATGCTTTGAGTTTCTTGCTGAACTATTGAATAGCTACAAGGGAGTCTACTTTGTTTACTTGTTTATGACTATTTACTGCTGCATCAAAGTTGTTGTGGCGTTATTCATTGCTTATGTTCAAACATTATGTCCTAATAACGATTGGTTTTGGTGCGGAATAGATATGTACCGTTTGATATTAACAAACATACCAATTTATAGAAAGATACAGAACAAGAATCGTGGGACACAGAGGGAAAGTGCTATTTTTAGCAATGAAAATAAGAGCATGCCCATTAGGAGATTTAAGGGAGGGTTCACACGTTTTTCGAGAGAAACAGTGATGAACTCGGCGCGCGTGGGTTCGTTATGGTGAACCCGGTTCGTCACAGGTTTGCCATGTGACAGGCTGTGATTCGCCAAATATTTTTTTTTTTTTTTCCGAAAAAGTAAAGAATTTTTTTTCCTTTTTTTCTATGAACCCCTCCCCATCAGGTTCACTGATGGGAACCTGATGGGATGCTCTTAGCTCACACTTGTTGGCTCGTTTATCGTGTGCAAACAAACAAACGAGGGTCGAAAATGTATTTTGCCCTTGCTTATGGTGTCACGTGTAAAAAGCTCTGCAGCTATCTGCCTGAATCAGAACACTTGCAGCACTATCATGTTACATTCTCAAAACCAAGGTAGTATAGGCACGTTTTCCAAGACGAGGATGTTGCTTCTGCCTCCAAAATGTTCCAGAACTCGTGGATACATTTTGGATTCAAACTATCGTGGCTCTAAACTATCCGACCACTCCCTTCTCAAACCTTACTAACCATCGCCTGCCACAAACATCAGTCCTATGTGTCACTTGTTTTTTTAATCCAGATTTTTATTGGAACTCGAAACATGTTAATATCATTAGAGATTCTATCAGTTTGATGAAGTTAAATGTTAAAATGATAAATTTAAATTGTAATTATAATTATTTTTGAAGCATATACATTTTTGCTTCATTTAATTCCTTGGATTATTGAACATCAATTTATCTATCTATAGCTACATTGTTTTAAAAACTTTATAGATAACAAAACTAGATTTTAATTAGACTAGTTTCTTGACTTAGTCCATATATGATATTTACTATATAAACTCCTCTGATACCCATAGAAATAATAAACCAAACCAACTTTAACCATTTCTAAAGATGGTGAAACGAGGAGCTTTCTTTTGCTTCCTTTCATATCTCCTTGTCTTGTTGTTCTCATCTTCAATCCTAGCAATCACACATGATCATCAAGATAAACAGGTACAAATGATCAAAATCTCTTGTGTCTAGCTATATATGCGCATCCCTTATAGGTGAAGGTGATGATTATGTTGATAAATGATGATTGTCATTGCATTAAGGAGTATATCGTCTACATGGGTTCACTTCCTTCTCGAGCAGACTACACACCAATGTCCCATCACCTGAATATTCTTCAAGAGGTCGTGGGAGAGAGGTGTGATTGATTTGATTTATACATTCTCTAACCACTATATTTACATTATGACGATTCTAACAATGGCATATGTAATTACTCTAGTTTGATGGATGGTCGTTTGTTGAGAAGTTACAAGAGGAGTTTTAACGGGTTTTCGGCCCGGCTCACTGAGTCAGAACGAGAACAAGTAGCCGGTGAGTGTTCTTCAAGACCTGAATAGTCTGTAAAGATAGAGTCACTAACGAGTAGCCTCCATTGTTAGTATTTGATAGTGTTTACATTTAGTATGGAACTTTTCTAAAGGATTTATAACGATCATCTGAAGACAAATTTTGTATTTTACTTGCTTCCATTTGCATCTTGCAAAACCATATTGTGAAAAAACTGAAACTATATTTTAAAAATGTAAGATTCCTTTTGAGTTTCTTTTTCCACAAGTAAACCTGATCAAATCATTTGTGCTATTGTTAGGTATGGAGGGAGTTGTGTCTGTTTTTCCAAACAAGAAACTAAAGCTCCAAACGACAGCGTCTTGGGACTTTATGGGGTTAAAGGAGGGAAAAGGAACCAAGCGGAATCCATCTGTGGAGAGTGATACAATTATCGGAGTTTTGGACGGTGGAATATGGCCGGAATCAGAAAGCTTTTCTGACAAAGGCTTTGGTCCTCCTCCAAAGAAATGGAAGGGAGTTTGTGCTGGTGGCGAGAACTTCACCTGCAACAAGTAAATATATCTCTTGTTCTCTCCCAGTGATCTCTATAGATGTTGGAAGTCACCTTGTTACACACGTTTCTTATATAGTGGCTAGAGCATATATGTTTCCAAGGAGCTCACAATTTGCAACCTTTTAAGCAAAAATGTTTTTTTAAACGTAAATATCAAATGCAACTGAAAGGAAAACATATATATATTTTTTACGGATTATTGTGTCTAAATCCAAACGTAAATGCCAACAGTTTAGAAAGTGATATTTTTTTCACATAAAACGTACATGTAAAAAAAAATTACATTAGGTCTAGTTTATGTAAGACTCTTCATCAGGCAGAAGCTTTGACTTGAGGGTCTGAATGAAAAGTCTTGCTTCTTTTTTGGACAGAGACTAAACTGTTAAATCATTTTGCAGCAAGCTGATAGGAGCAAGACACTACTCACCAGGAGACGCTAGGGACTCAAGTGGCCACGGTACACACACCGCATCTATCGCGGCTGGAAACGCAGTCGCAAACGCCAGCTTCTTTGGGCTCGGTAATGGAACCATGAGAGGTGCCGTTCCAGCCTCTAGAATCGCAGCTTATAGAGTCTGCGCTGGAAAATGTAGAGACGATATACTACTCTCTGCGTTTGATGACGCTATCGCTGACGGTGTTGACATAATCACCATATCTATAGGTGGTATTGATTGGTGCCCGTTGGAAGAAGACCCTATTGCAATCGGTGCTTTTCACGCTATGTCCAAAGGGATACTCACTGTAAACGCGGCTGGGAACACTGGTCCGAATATAGCCTCTGTCACGAGCTTAGCACCGTGGATGTTAACCGTTGCGGCTAGCACAACGAATCGTGTGTTTGTCACCAAAGTGGTTCTTGGTGATGGCAAAACACTTGTCGTAAGTGTCAAGTAACACATTCATTTATATCATCATAGTAATTTTTGTCATTTTAAATTACTAATGTATTTTCTGTTGTTTTTTGTAATAATAGGGAAAATCAGTGAATGTTTTTGATCTTAAAGGAAAGAAGTTCCCTCTGGTGTACGGAAAATCTGCTGCTTCCTCTGCCTCCAATGCCAAATGCGCCGAGTAACTTCCTCCGCAAGAAATACCATTTATGACCTAGAAATAGTATTAAATTGTGATTGGTGATGATGAGATTTGCTTCTTCTTACAGGGATTGCACGCCAGATTGTCTTGTCGCATCCCTGGTGAAGGGAAAGATCTTGGTGTGCAATATATCTTTCCCCTATGTAGCGTATACAAAGGGAGCTGTTGCAGCTATTGTTAAAGATGGTTCAGACTGGGCTCAAATGGAGGGTTTACCTGTATCTGGTTTAGAAGAAGATGATTTTGAATATTTCCTCTCTTACATTAACTCCTCAAAGTAATTAAACAATCTTCTCTCTGTTATATATACGCTTTGTAGTGTTTATGCTTTCCTTATTCTCTTTTTCTTTTCTTGATCTGATTCTTTAGGTCTCCAGAAGCGACTGTTCTAAAAAGTGAGACGATCTTTAATCAGACAGCTCCGAAAGTACTTTCCTTCTCTTCTCGCGGTCCAAATATCATCGTTCCTGATATTCTCAAGGTATATATACTATATAGTTACTGGCTATGTTAGATTAATCTTTTTTTTATACAATCTGAGAGAGTAGTGAATGAAAATGCAGCCGGATATAACAGCACCAGGACTAGAGATTGTGGCTGCAAATTCACTTAAGGCATTACCGTTTTATGACGACACAACACATGTGAAATACTCTGTCGAATCAGGAACTTCAATGTCTTGTCCACACGTTGCAGGAGTAGCCGCCTATGTCAAGACGATTCATATTAAATGGTCTCCTTCCATGATAAAATCTGCCATTATGACAACAGGTGAATGAAAACTATATACTAAAGTAATAAATCATAGTTTCTTGTCCCGCAAGAAAACCATATACTTTTGTTCACACTCTGTTCTTCTTTGGTTATTCAATCTCGCAGCTTGGTCAATGAATGCTTCCCAAACTGATTATGCATCAACCGAGTTTGCTTATGGATCTGGCCATGTAGATCCAATAGCTGCTACTAATCCAGGACTAGTCTATGATATGACCAAAGCAGACTACATGGCCTTCCTCTGCGGAATGAACTACAATGCCACTACCGTGAAACTCATCTCCGGGGAAGCAATCACTTGCACTGAAAAGATCTTACCTAAAGATCTCAACTATCCATCAATGTCGGCTAAATTGTCGGATTCTAATATCTCCTTCACCGTCACTTTCAATAGAACAGTCACTAATGTTGGTGACTCCAACTCTACATACAAATCAAAAGTTGTTTTAACTAATGGAGCCAAGCTAAACGTCATGGTCTCGCCTCGTGTTCTATATATGAAGTCTGTGAATGAAAAGCAGTCATTCACTGTGACTGTCACTGGCCACGGTCTTGACCCAAAGATGCCTTCTTCTGCAAGTCTAATATGGTCTGATGGGACTCATCATGTAAGAAGCCCCATTGTTATTTATGCTGGTATCTTCCGATCATTATCACCATAGTCTTCATCGTCACCATGGCCATCATTGTTTTTATGATTTATGACATTCTATGTTTTGGTTATATCATTGCTCTATGTTTTCTGGACGTCCTATGTGTGTTGTTGATGTCTTATGTATTTAAGACATCGAATGAGATAATTCAACCTTCTTTTTGTTACTCATAGGACAAGTTCCTCTTATTTTTCTTTTGATGTTGGATTCGTCAAGTAAGTGTGACAGGAAACCCTTAAAATGTAATCAGTTTCGTTTTCACCCTAATGCAGACATCATAAGAATCTTTCAGATGATGAATCAACAAAAATAGATAAACTTGAAAAATGGGCTCTGCAAGCTGAGCCAAATGAGAATGCTATAGTTTCCAATTAGTGTAGACAATCCCTAGCGACATAGCTTTGACACAAACTCCAAAATTTCTCTAAAATAATAGGTTACATCTACATTATAGTTGGC